TACCTGAGTCGTTCGCAGTTTGTAGTTCTTCGATTAGTGGTTTGAACGTGAATCTTATTATTGAAAATTCACTGTAAACAACTCACGAGATAAGTTTGTTCTTTATAAGGTCAACTAAAAACCTTACAAACATAGGTTAGAAACATCAGTAATATATGGTGCGACACGCCTTCATCTTCTCTTTCCAATGATGCAAACCGTAGTTCTGCAACTTGTTACTATTAAACGTTATTCAAAAAATACTCACGAGCATTCATGCTGCCAGCACATATGCGAAAGAAACAGATCTTATTGAAATTTTACTATTATGATACTAGTTGAATAGTGATCAAATAACATAGAAAAATAGAGCAAAGCACGCTCTGTCTATTGGTAAAAGGAGAAACTTTTTTCTATCTCTGTTTGAGGAAATAAGACATCTCGCTCACTACTTTTGGATTACCCTGAGTAATGCTAGATTTCATGTTTAGCCATTGCTGACTAGGTATTATTAGAAAGGAAACAATTGATGTTTGCTTTCATTTAATCATATATTACATTTTTGAATAAAATATTCTGTCTAGAGACAATTAACACGTTATTACTTACATGTAAGAAAATTAATCAGTTATAATATGCTTGTTTTCTTTTAAAATTCCCTTCATAAATTCCTTTTAAAACGGTGAAATGAGTGCATATCTTCGAACGAAAGTATAAATTTATAGAGGAATAAAAATGTTAACCAAAATCATGAAAAAATGTTAAAAATTCAAATGATTTTATAGAAAATCGCGTCTGCAGACAATGATATGATAAAAATATTAAGGTAATGTTAGAAATAAAACTGAAAAGACATGATTTTTCTATCGTAATCTGAATACCTTTAAGGTTGTAGTCCTTTTTTTAATTTTCAAGGTGTTATCTTTAAACTGAGTTTAATTTTCAAAAATATACAAGTAACTCTGCTTCGAAAAAATAACTTCTCTCTAGATTCAGTCCTTTTTATGAGGTTTTTCCACGGATTTGTGCCTAAATATTAAACAACTTCGTTATTCACATCTGAAGGTAAATGAATTGTCGCTGTATTCGTTGTTTCCAATGAAGAATAAATCAAACAAATGAAAAATATGTATTTCGAGCTTAAATATTAATTGAATCAGAAGTGATTTGGTAGAAAACAAGAAACGCTCCTTTTTTTATTGATGTTTGAATTGCCTGATCTTCTTATTAATATTGCTTTTTTCTAACAGTGATAAAATTTTTCTCATATTGTGGTATTCTGTATAGAAGCAACGCACTCAATGATGTAAAATGCTCATGAGAAATATTTTCGATCTTATCAAAGAGAATAATGGGGTGTCGGTTTCTAGAATACCTGAATTACATAGACCGCTTCTACTGTCTTATACATTTATAAATGCACCTATACGGTTTCAAGTGCACCCCTATAGTATTTTCGTCTGTTGCATGTGTAGAAATGATCGACTAGTTTTTAATCTGAATATTGTTCGTAATATTCCTAGAAACTATGTCTTATTCTACTCGTAATAGGTCGTAATCGCTTTCTGTTCTGTTTTTCTCTTCATAAACTTCAATCGAATCCATTGAGTTTGTATTGCCTTCGAAATATTACTTAACCAAAATAAGCTTTGTAATCAATTTGTTTTGTATAATTAAATATTAATTTGTACAAAACTAAATGGTTACAAAATGGCTTTTCTATTCAGCAAACCACATGATGTTTAAAGTTGATTGATTCTGAAAAGCAAAAAAACAACATACAGAGAGAATATTAATTGAAAATTATTCTAAACAGAATCTCATTTGTTTTTCTTTTGTGATTAATAGCGTGTTGCAAACGGTGCTATTGCTACGTATATGAGAATAGAAAATCAATTCCAATGATAGCTTCATATTTGTCATCTTATAGGTCATATTATTCATTTCTTCCACTTAAATGACTATTTCTGTCATTCATCTAGAAAATAATATTTTCTTCTACTATTTCATATAGAGAATATGAATGACAAGAAAGAGGAAAAGAACTGCTAAAACAAAAAATATTCACAGTACTATCAAATGTCAACTAACCAACTTTTGTTTTATATATATTTTTTTTTAGATACAACTTTAAATAATAGTTTTAACAATGCCTACATTGACGAATTTGGGTCTTATGGTATATTTTGCCTTGGTATCACTTATAGGTACGCTTGGTAATGGGATAATTTTATTAGCCTATGGAAATAGATGGAATTCATCGAAATCAACATCAGTTATATTTATACTTATTCTTGCTTGTGTCGATCTATGGACATGTCTTATTGTTGTGCCAACTATTGCTGTAATGGAACATCACATGTTTGAAGTATCAACGCCGCTGTGCCGATTTTATTCATTTTCAAAAATTCTCATTATAATCTCATCTTTTATCATGTCATTTATTGCGTTAGATAGATTTTTAAATATTGCGACACCACACCATCGATTATTGAATCCTTTTCGTGTTAAAGTAAGTGTAAAAACACTTTTCATATTCTCAAGTGAAAGTGAGAACAATCTATTATTTCAAGTTTTCAACATTAAACAGTTTAACTCTAGCATCACTCTTGTTGGCAGGTTGATTCATGATTATAGAACTTGTTTTGATAAGAATTCAGTCCTCTTATTCATATCATAGTGGATCGTTAACGTACACAAAATACGCATTTTGCTGTCATTGAATTCTTTGATTTATCACTGTTTTTCTTGTATTAACATCATTAAAAAGTTCCTGAAAACTAGAATAATTAAAAAAAAACATAACTTCCGCTTTTAGTATATTAATATAAAACATGCTTCATGTTTATTTAATAGGTTTTTATTCTATAAAATGCGCCGTGCCCTACTTGAATAAGTAGAAAAAATTTTAACTTGTACCTATGTACTTCATAATAATTTATCTAATAAATGTATATTGCTTAAAAGCAAACTAAAAATATGCTGTGAATACTAATCTGTACTAAATTAATTTTTTCGCGAGACATCAAACGCGTTTTCTGTTATAGTATTCTTTTGTAGGAAGTTCTCCGCAATTATCCAGGGATTCTAAATATAGTGTCATTGATCAAGTTTAAAGGTGCCGATACCCGATTAATAGGCTCGATGACTATGTGCATCGTGAAGATTTTGAACATTCCGACTGCTTTCATCTATGTTTCTTGTTATTTCATGCATTAAGACGTTCCCCTCCCTCCCCTCCTCCCCTGTGACAGCATAAGCGTCACTGATGTTATTTTAGTACCTGTTTGTTTCTTTTCCTAGCTGCCCTCTCTTGTTATCTTGTTTGTTTTTGCACCTATTATTGTTAATTCATTATTCTTATTCTTCTCTTTTTTCTTCAAGCTTCTTCGTATCTCTCTCTCTCTCTCTCTTCAGTGAGATATACTCTTATACTCATTCTATCAATATCTTTCGCTCATCATTCGAGCGTATCTTCTCTTACTACTATTTTTCTTCTCTATAAAAAAGAATCATTCTTTTGATTAATTACATATTACCTTTCTTTCTACTTGATTGGTCCTTACAATCAATCTAACTCGATTGTCCCTTACAATCGTTCCAACTTGTGTCAGCTACTTGCTAGTAGAGTTATTCTTATTCTCAATTATTTCTGTTCATTGAATAAACTATTGGATCTTCATTCAATATTCAATACTATTTTATTTTTATTGCTGTCATTCTGCCATAACCAATACTGTGGCACCTGACATTTTTATTAGTTGTCTCTCTGATCCTACAAAAGAATACTATAACAGAAAACGCCCCCCCCATCAGATCTGAGTTGTCACTTAGAAAGGTCGGTTTGAGGTGAAATTTTCAGGAATGACTGGTCTTCATTAGAAACAGTCGTGATAAAAGTGTCAGCTCAATATGGCTTATTTACATGCGAATTATGGCCACCAGGAGAATCCCTAAGGCTCTGCCAGTAGGAGAGCTATAAAAGTCGCGCTTGTTTTAAATTAAACCCAACACCAATACAGCAACTTTTGTCAGAACAGAATTTTAAAATTTGCTTTAGTTCGTGTTTTGCGAGTATTTTATTTGAATAGGGGGTCAAAATTTGGCTAAAAATGGCCACCTGTTGGTATAGAATCCGACTTTTCTAAGTTCAGGAATCAAATATAAAAAATCTGATTGGATAAAATTTTACTTACACTTGAAGCTTCAAAATAAAAAAATGACCTTAATATCTTAAATCGCTTGAAACTCGTTTCATTGTTTCTGGTAAAAAACCTTGTTTTGAGAAAAACGATAAAGTGTAAAAATCATGTTTTTTTGTTTCAATTCAAAAAAAATTCGAAGAAAAGATCTATTTGTTATATTTTTACAGTGAACCTTTTCGATGATGTTATGAATGATATCACCTCGTTCCGCCTATAAACGATCTTTGCTATTAGCTCTATTCTTTCAACTGACTCTCCTATACTTATGAAAAATGAGAGTTTTTAACTTAATAAACACAACTAACATTGCTTTTAACCCTTTCAATTGAATGAAATCGATAGAACTGTCATTTCTGCACACATGCATTGTATTTCTTTAATTGCAAGACAACGATCTGTGACGCAAGGAAAAGAAAAATCGTCGTCGGGTCGAGAACTGCCACTTTTTATTCGGAGAACATTTTTATGGATAACAAACCTCATATTCGTGATCAGCGTACTGAATAAGCTATGTCTAGATCAAACTCCGGAAGAAAAGGGAAAAACAAAATTTCGTTTTCGCGAGAATGCCCAACGCAAAATGGTTTTACAAAAAAATACACTATTTTGTTCAGAATTTTATACTGATTCCAACCGTATAACTATTTTCTCAGAAAATAGTTCGGTCAAAAGATGACCTTACCGTTACTTGTCTTTTCTCGAAAAACAAGGCAGTACGGTTTAGTATTTTTTCGATAAATCCCTTAAAATCGAACCTTTTTTAAAAAAAAACTATATAATATTTTGAAAGAGGAGACTTTGAGGCATCTACCCATGATAAAAACTCAAACTTTTATCTTTTCGAAAAGGTCGCCTTTTTTAAGGGAGATGGGGGGGGGCTTTAATTGTTTCTTAATGAAAACAACATTGATGTGAATTATACAGCACGATCTTTTTAATAAGAGTTCAGGTCATAATAAAATCATTGTTCACTTGAGTTGGTCATCATAATAGAATTTTACTTGTGTACTAGGTTACTATTTTGCATTCTTTTTATAAAATGCTTTTTTCATGCACATTATGGAAAGTACTCATAAGAACTGTATACAATAAGTATTTTGATTATCTGTAGAGAATCTATTTATTCAATACATGTTTTTATCATGCAAGCAACGTTACCTTTTTTTCCCTTAAAATTATTCCCCCTGTCTTTCTTGTTCATTATTTATTCAATTCTTTAAAATATATTTGATAGATTGCAGAGTTTCTTCTTAAAATTTACAAAAATAAAATATTTAAACCTATCTAGAAAAATATTTTATCGTGGGTGATATAGTATATTGATTAGGCTGTTTTGTTTTGTCAATCTAAATCTAAATCTAAATAGACGATATATAATTGAATTAAATAAATGATACAGATTATGACTTGAATGATATATGAGAATTTAAAATAAAATTTAAGACATCAATTTCTGTTTTTTTTCAACACTTTACCTATTAAGAACAACTGCTGGTATTTCTTCAGATTATAACTAACTACTCATTGATTTTCACATAACGCTGTATCAACCAATTTGTATATGGGATCAAAATGCTGTAAATAACACCTGAATTCCATTTGTAGAAGAAAATAAAACAAAAATTATTTATAAGATTATTTATAAAGACAAGTTTATAGAAGCATATGCAAATTCTTATCACGTTCAGTTGTTTTTGCTAGAATTTTGTGTTGACATATGACGTATGTACTTTTGATTAAGGATAAGCAATTGTTAGAACATACATACGTAGTGTAAAATTCTATTAACATTTTCTGCAGAAGAATCATTCGATTTGACTTGACGGATCATAATGACCTAAATTTTATGTTAAGTGTTCTTCAGTTTGAAATATCCGAACAAAAGCTAGAAGTTTGCCTAATTATTATCGTGGATGATCTCACAGGTATGATGGAAAAAGGAAGAAAGGAAAAATATCGAAAGGGAAAAATGTCGAAAATAAAAATATCGAAAACAAAATTAATACAAATGTAGATGGATAAAAATGCTGAAAACGAGAGTATTTNGATAGAAATGCTGAAAACGAGAGTATTTTGAAGTACAAGTCTCCCTCAACCTCAATTCAATCTTGCATGGTCATTTTCACCTCATATTTTTGTTTTCGACATTTTTATTTTCGATATTTTTCCCTTTCGACATTTTTCCTTTCTTCCTTTTTCCATCCATTCATCTCACACAGCACGAGTTTCTTTTCTATGTGATGATTCATCTTATCGAGTAGATTTATTTGCATTTTTTTATATAAACTTTTAATAATTAATGCATGAGCATAACACTTTGACGAAGATCATATTTCAATTTTCACATTAATTATTTATTTCCACCTGCGCTTCCACGTCGAATATGAGAATGTCTTCCGGATAGAATTGAATTATTATCAGGCATTTTTGTGAGGAAAACAAAAGTTCAAAATTGTGTTCGTACAAAGGAAAATGTAACGCTCTCCACGCAGTCTATAGTGTTTGTTACGGAAAAGATGCGACAGCCGTTCTTATTATGGATAAAATAAGTAAAAACTACTTCGCAAAAACTCAAACATATATTAATAAGTAGGCTACTTAATATGTCCGAGATATTAAAAAATGAATCATTGCTCCAGTGTGTTATTTTTTTCACTTTCAAAAATTACGTTCTCCATGTGCAAAGTTATCTTTACACTGGAAAACGTATAATATTTGTAGTTGATTTCATACACATTAAAAATGGTTCGATTTTTAATATGGTTCATTTTTCAAGTCATATGAATATGAACTACTCTTTTATTCATTCAATCGACTGCGTTATACTTTCTGTTTGTAAAAGTCATTTTTTCTGTTGAGAAAGTGATTTCTGGTAGTAAACAGTTTCTTGACAGGTTTCGTTTATTATTACTGTGGTCACATTTAGTAATCAAATTTGCTAGCAAATAATTGCTTTTTACGTACGTTTATCGTAAATGGATCAGCTTATACATAAAATTAGATGTTAATATAAAGAAATTCAGTCTCTCTCCTCTGGAGAGCTGCTTTCCATGGAAATCTGTTTAGATAAAAAAAATTGTTTCCTCAAAAATAGCTTTTACCACTAGGAAAGTGCTATCATTTTTGTTCAAGAATAGTGCCACGTTAAACGTGGAGAACGTCCAAATTCCACGCGGGGGCGTAACGCTCTCGTTCGAGTGTAACCTATACACAAAAGTTGGCCTTATGGTGCCATTTCTTCTCATCACATCTATTGCCTTTATCTTTCTGTCCTTGATATTTGTCTTCATCTCTCATTCTCTTTCGTTCTCTCAAATGATTGAGTATCTAAGCGTGTGCTTTATATGTACTCGGTGCGATCTATGATTTGAAGAGTTAAATAAAGCGTAATACCACCGGCACGGGCATCTCTTTTATCTAAAATTGCCACAAATAGCTCATTTGATGAAGCAACATTTAATTCTAAACACTTCTAAGCAATTTTTATTCGATAGACTTTAATATTAATACATAATCTGTTTGTATAGTCCCTACCATAGATGTCCATCGCGAGTGAAAATCTACCACAGCCGCGACGCCACGTATAAACAACAGAACCGCTGCCGCTGCATTAAAAATTATACAAAATCTATTTTTTCACAAAAATAGGTAATATATATGATATAGAGTTAATAATTCCTGTTCGATGAAATACTAATGTAGAAAGAGATGAGAAATAGCAAAAATGCTTTAGAAAAACAGTAGATTCATTCTTTTTATAGGGTCTAGAGATTTTCAGTGCGAGTGAAAATCTGCCGCTACCGCGATAAGATTTTGAAAAAGTTACCGGTACCACGCCGCGATGGGCATCTATGATCCCTACAGTATTAACATGAGAAACATGATGTAATTAATGTGTTCCTCATTAAAAGACAATTCATTTTCTCTATCTAATTTTGACTACATTTTCCTCAAGCCGTTTAGTTAAGCTCCGATAAATGCAATGAATAAATTTATTTACTTATTAGAACCAGACGCTTTTGTGAAGCATCTTTTCGATCAGCGATTTTACCAGTGTTCTTGGAGATACAAAATTCTAATTTGCATACTTCAAAATTTCTTATCAATTGAATTTTATAAAAATTCATCTAGAAAGTTAGTTGGAAAAAGAATATTTTCAATTTTTTTCTCAGCAATTCGCTAATAACTGTTCAACTTTATACAAGATAACAATTCTAAAACACATTTTCGAGTAGAAAAAGCTTTTATATTAAAATTTATTGGAATGAATATGATTCAAATAAACATCAACCGAAAGAGAAAAAAAAACAATTATATCCTTTATTTTATCTTCTAGTCATTATTAACATTATTTATTTTAATTGGCATTGGATTAGGTGTATTAACGGCATTAGCATTTTCGTCGCCACCATATCGAGAATCGTATCTTGCTAATTACACGCTAGTTTCTTTCAATGAAACAGATAAATTAATATATTGTTCTGAAGAAATATCGATACTACTCGACCATACAACGAACTCTTCACTCGATCGAATGCAAAGGGAAAATTTAGAAATATCAATTCCTCCATATACCAACATAACAAATCTGAATTTAACTTACCTATCAACTCACGTACGATGTTTTGCTGATACATCAATTATATCTGAAACAATACGAGAGATTTTACGACATGTATCAAATAAATTCTTTTTTACTTCAATTGGTATTGTGACAGTATTTTATACAATAACATTTGTGTTGGCTCTACAACGACAAAATCCTCGTATACGTGCCTTAAAAAAAAGCTTAAATGTTTTGAATAAATTCAATTCTCATTCACCAACTTCTCATCAAGCAAATACTCATAATCAACAAGAACCGAACGAATCGGTACTGCCATCATATTCAAAATTATATTCTTCTGTTAAAAAGAAAATTTCAACTAGCAAATCTAGACACTTATCGACTGATGACAATGCCGAGTATGCTATGTCTAATATTATTAGTAATGACGAGTTTACTGATCAAAATATTCTAAATGAACCAAGAGCTGATTTTTGTATAAGCACATCAGAAACAGGTTCGGATGCTTTGCAAATATCAACAGAAAAACTCTCGAATTTAAAGCAAGTTTCATTTCAAATCGAAGATAATGACAATGCAATAATTAGTAATAATAATGATAAACAACAATTATCGTTTAGGACAAATTCACTTGATACAGATTTATACCTGAAGACAGACACATATTATAGATTTTCATGTCCATGTTCAAAAGCCCGACAAATCTTAATTAAATTTCATTTTTCACATCCAACATTTGATATAAATCCATGGTTATGTTGTAGTTCTTGTTGTTTAAAAAAGCCTTCGTCATTAAATGATCATGACTTATCAATGATAAACTCAACTGAAGATGAAGCATCAACAATACTAACAGCAACATTACCGAATACTCAAGCCAAGCATACACTTATATCAAATAGTGCAATATTAAGAAAACAATTACATCGCTATCGTTTAAAACAAATACGCATGGCATCAACATTCTTATTAATTACTGTTTCATTTGTTCTTTTTTATTTACCCTCAATATTAAATGCTGAACGTTATATAAAAAGTCCTTTAATGATTTATTATTTATATTTATGTACGCATGCATTAAATCCAATTATTTATTGTTTTATGAATAGAAGTTTACGTGCTTATGTATTTACAATGTTTAGATGTGGACCTCGACGAAAAGAACGTCATATTATAAGTGGAGCAACAACGACTCTTGAAAGATAAATTTAAAACTAACTATCATTTGTATGTTTTACTTTTGTTTCTTGTTGTATATGTAATTGTGTGCAAAATTTTATTGAGAAAATAACAATAAAAATCAGTAATTTGACCAATAAAATATATTCAATCAAATAAATGTCTAAAAAAAGAACAAGATATTGATCTAGAGAGATTTATCAAGAGCGTATCGTCAGAGAATTCCAAGGGATTCGTATAGTGAGCTTTCTGTTTGATTGTCATAGACTTCCACTAAAATTAGTATTCATTCTATTTTTATTTCCAAATCTTATGGGACTCAGTTGAATAGCACATACTTCTGACACACGCACAACGATTGAGATTCAGCTTTATTAATCAATGAAAGTATTAGTGCTGTCAGATTTAGTGATTGTTTTTTATAAATCATATAGTTTTGCAATTTCTTTTACTAATCGCTCGAGGATATGTTGTATATTACCATTTATGATCACATTTTCGCACTTTGTCATAGAATTTGATGTTATTCTTGGTATTTAACTCGCAAAGATAAATATTGGAATTATGGTATTCGCTAGATTCTAATGGAAACGATAAGGCAGATAAGTTTTGAATTAAGAGAAGTTTGAATCATTTTTTGATATGATTAAAGTAGTAGAAAACTTACTCATCTGAATGCAAGCAGCATTTATATGTTTGTTTTTGGACACGCATCTGCAAAAAAAAGTGACGCTTGCCATATAGTGAGTGACTGATAATGTGTTTATCTTCTGTTATATTAATAGTACATAGAAAAACTGCATCTTAGCCTCAGTCAGCATACTCCTTGACACTTATTCATTAGTTTTTCTTACCTTTAACCCTTTACTCCCTGGCACTAATCTAGCAGAGCTGCTATTAAGTCGACCATTGTAGTTGATCATACTAGTGCTCAGTATAACATTGATATGATCGCATTTGAAGGAAGTCCTCTCCCTATAGAGATACAGGATGGGTCAAAAATGACCCATTCGTCTTGGAAGACATAAAATCGCACCATTTAGCAATTCATATTTTTGCTAAAATTTTGCGTAATGTTGGATTTATATATCTGTAAAAAGTTATAAATTTCTTCGTATAACTAGTTATTTTAAGAAAAGTGATTATTTAGAATCGTACATGATAAGTTTCTTTTTATTACATCAAAATTCATGGTGAAAAAATAGTAAACAAATCAAATATTCGTCTATGATATAAGTATTCATTTAGTTTTTACAATGATAGCTTGTAAAACAATTACGAGATACATTGAGACAAAGATGAACTTGACATTTAGAACAATACACATTCGTCTTCAATGTACAACCATCATTTTTAAGTTCAATTCAATAATTAATTGCCTTTTATTGATTATTACCTATAATAAACGTTTTTACCGTTGAGAGATAGCTTATGACAAGTTTTCATCGAAAACAAACCACATACAAAAAGTGCTAATTTTATGTCATTCCTTACGAATGGGCCACTTTTGACCCAATTTGTTCCAACCAATCGTAATGACTTATATTGAATGAATCATTTTTTAAGTATATACGGGTAAATATATAAGGCCGTTAGTAAAATTTATCAACCATTTAAATGAGAAAATAATTAATGTATAAAAACACACAAAACAAATAATTAACGAAATTGAAAATTTCCATTTTTTCTGACAATCATCATTTTGTCACGCAGGTATCCTAACTAAGGAACTATGATATAAAATTTTCTTTTTTACCATGTTTTTGCTCATTGAGTTCTCTACACAATGTCCAAGAGCTAGTTTGATCTCGTGCTTTATAAGTTACTACAGGCTGTTTCTATGAATGGGTCAAAAATGATCCAGCAGGGGGTAAAGGGTTAAACTACAATGTTCTTTTTTCTATAAAAGTTCATGCGTCATATAATATATTCTTGATCATAGGAAACATTTTCTATCCAAGGAGACAATATAATAAGTAAATGGTAAATTTAGAATAAAACTACTCTTGACATTAATTGAGTATGCCAATCTTCCTGTCAGTTTTCAGTCTTTTAGATAGAAAAAAAGTTTATTGCAGACATCTTACAATGGAAAAAATAGAAAGTAATATAGAATTAAAAAAACAAAAACAAAATGGTGCTAGCAAAGTGTTGGTTGAAATTAAAAGGCTAAGATATTGAAGCATGATAGTATGAGAATTTAGTTTCTTGAATATGTTTACGCAAAAAAGAAATTCAATTAGAAAACAATCGATTGTGATTCAACAGTTCTGATGAATAAGAAATAATGATGTAGTTCTTTAATAGATCAAACAATTTATTTATTTTTGTTACAATCTAACGACATATTCATACAATTTTTATTATCTATATTGGAAAGATAACGCTAATAAGTGATATTTTACATATGTTGGTCGATACTTTTGGTTTTATCTGTTTATAGCAGAGTTATTATTTGATAGTTATAGTCATAATGGTCATATTATCTCTTTGAAATAGATTTTCTCCCATTCTATTTACAGTACAAATAGACGATGTAGTATCGAACAAGAAGCAACAATCTATTAGAATTCATATTCAACAAGGATGGATACTCATGAAGACGAATAAGAAATCTTGGAAATTTTTGTACCATGAAATTTTCAAATTGTACTTCTCTGTGTTGTACGTAAAAGAAGAGATACGCACATGCTGACTTGATTTACAATGTTTTTAGAAGCGATGCTTATCAATAGATAGTTGAATGAATTCAATTGATTGTTTCCTATTCTACACAAGAGAATGTTATATAACGATGTTTCAATTTCAGAGTTGATATAGGAATTTGAGCACTCGATCATAATTTATTAAATCCGAGTATTTAAATTATATGATATGAATTTCTTTGTCATATAAGTAACCCAAATATAAATGTTTTTATGAACGAATACGTAGATGTTGTGGTTGACTTTTACTACACTGAGGAGTTCACTTGGTCAATGATAAAGACAGCGTAATCCTACAGTCAACTTTAAAATACATGACCTGCGGTTTATTTCAAACATTATAAACAATGATATAGATGATGAAACATGGAAACATATTCAAATTGACTCTTTTGTTTTTATATCATACATGAACATCTTCCGTTTGAGATTTGTAAATAGAAGTTAATCATAATTATGACCACATACAAATACATATAGACTAATTTGATATGTAGCAGCATAGCTAAAATAAGAATTTTTGTTTACTCTACTCAACTATCATTTGATATGTAGATTAAAATTTCAAGATCGATATGAAAGAACAACGTCAAGATTTCGAGAAAATTCCTGTGGGCAAATCAATAATGTGTCACATGTGAAATGAAATCTATCTGTCAAATGTAGTATATTTAAAATCAGTTGTTTCTTTATAAACTTACATAACAAGAAGGTTTTGTATTACGAACATATGTGTTTCGTGAAATGAACCGCTCTTATATTCATCTCGCATTCTACTTAGCGTACTTCTATATCGCATTACATCTATATGTATTTTTATATCGTCTCAGTCTAGACTCAAGTGCTTGCATCGAGTTTCAATTCACTTTACGTTTTCAATACACCTTTCACTGAACCTGTGTGTGTCTGTTATTCACCATAAATGAAATTTTCCATCGACGGACGAATTCGAATTAGTCATGAGCGTCAAAAGAAAACTGAAATTAAAATATTAATAAATGTGGAAACTTCGGATTTCATCCGAAAGTTGTGTGTACTGCAAAAAGTGCATGGGACATATGAGTCATTCTAGAATGTCTGAACACCAAAATTATCATGAGAAACTAGGCAATTTGACTTCTGGATGCAGTTTTTGTGCATTTTGAGACGTTTTTCAGGCGAAGTTTTGTTAGAAAGCTACGGTTTAGTTCAAAACTAATCTCAGATTCGAAATCGGCGTTAAAAACTGAGTCGATTTATATATGTTGTGAATAATTCTGAGAAAAATTTGTTTTTTGAAAAAAAATCCCTGTACCCCTCCTCAGGGATGGCCTGGTCAAAAATGACAATTTTTTCGATAACTCAACCATTTCTTGAGGGATCCTTCTCATCTTCGAACTCGACCGAGATATTCAGCAGATTGAACTGTGTGGAAAATTTCATCACGATCTGACTCTCCTTTCGCAAGTTATCGTGCCTACGGCCGGACACACTGGCCGATTCTAGAGTGTACTCACTTTTTGGGTACACAAAAAACATAAACATGCGCAATGAAAATTTCATTGAAAACATATTTCAATTATTTCCAAAAACAGATATTGTTGAAAATAGGTCAGAATCTAGAAGTTATTCAGTGAGAAAGAAAAAGAGAAAAATAATGTAACTTTTGGCAATGAGTTCTCATGAACTAATTGTTCGATATATGTAATTATTCATTGGGAAACTGTTGAACCCATTTTCATAATTTTTATTAACTTCTATTTCACTGGCTACTTTAGAGCTTTCTCAAAGCGATCAATTTTCGATAGCACGATTCCTTCGTTTGCAGAACCATTAAAATGTAGAAATAAGAAAATATTTCACGACTTGGTTTTTTCCTTGAAAAAGTGACGTTAGTAGTTTCTTTTATAATCGAAATTAGATCAAAGATGACGGCCAGCAAAATTATGCTAATTATATGAGGCACTATTCGTATTTATCTTTACATCAAAATAATGAGAAACTAAATATTCATTAAAAATATCAATCAAATAATCAAAATTAGAATCTTCAACTAAAAGAATCATTTATTTTTCATTTTGATTTTCGACAAATCACAGCATTTGATTTTCTTATACATCAATTATACAGCATTTACAAACGATAAACATTGGTAATCCTTGTTTTTACATTTATTTCATTTTAATAGAAAGATGTCTTATGAAACTTTCAAGAAATAATCGGTTACTAGGTGTTTGCCATTTCATTTGATTCTTATTACAGCCCTGTTAAACATGTGCGTATACCTGGTTATTCATGAGTATAAAAACTCAGTGGTGTGTTTTTGCGTTCGATATGTGATTTTGTTGTTCTCTCGTCTTTTTTTTTCATTTACCTGTTGTTGTCAACTGTTATTGATCGGATAAAAATATATACATAAAAACACATATTTTGTTTTTCTTACCTGACTTTATTGTCAATGGTCACCGTAAGTAAAATATTTTATTTGTAGCTTCTAGAATCTTCGCTATTGAACAATTCTTCATATCAAATATACGTGAGGAAAATCTGTTTACTACTATGGCATTGATATCATCGTCAAATTCAGCAGCTTCTGACGCTCGTGATTTACGTAATATGTTTGTGTTTTGTGTATGGTAATAAACAGTTTTTGATATTCATAGGTGCAACTCAAAATCCAGATGCATTTTTACGCATAAATATATTAAATTTTCAAATTCATCATAATCAACCCATTGATTTAAGAGAAATAAAAACACAAATTGAACTTAAAGAAAAACATCGATCGTCACAACACTCTGTTGAAAGTAAAAATCAATGATAAAAATGTTACATGTATTAAAAAAAACATTTTTTTTATATTTAAGAACCAGCACGAGTTAAGTTTCCAATGTATATTGAAAAAGATCAATGTATACCATTTGATGCTGGTATATTGTATAGAATAAAGCGACAGATTATTATTCGAATTCATGCCAACAAAGTTATTTATGTATTTGAATCAGACTTAGATGCATTGAAAAAATTATCGGATGGTTATCGCCATCGAGTATACGTTAGCTTAGTTTTGAAAAAAAAGTAAATTTCCATAATCTTTTTAGTTCTATTTTACACCAAAAGCTCAAGCTGATATGCTTATTAAATACAAAGGTAGATTTATTGAACGTCAACATAAGCATAATGAAGTTTATCGTTCATTTTCTTATTCTTTTTCAGATTCCTTAGGTCGAACTATTCGTATTGTACATACTAATCAAGTTAGCAATCGTTATGCTGAACGACGGCAGCAAGTTTTTAAACATTTTGGTCATCAATTTGTAGCAAAAATATTCAAATTACCGACATTTTGTGCCGTTTGTTCCGAATATCTTTGGTAACTCAATCGACCAGGACACTAAAAGAAGATAAATTTCTTTGGGCTTTACTTTAGGGGCTTTTCTTATAAAGGTTTTCAATGTCAACAATGTGATTGCGTTGTACATCAAACTTGTTATAGTCGATTTGCATGTCCATGCCGAGGAAAAAAATATCTCGATGTAAAATACATTTCGCTCGATGAACAATGTGTTGGATTATATATTTTATTTATAATTTAGCTCAAAATTAATGTCGCCCATAATTTTGAGCAACAACCATTTTCTTTAAAACCATTTTTTTGTGATCATTGTGGAAGTTTTATTCGACCTGGACATGCCCAGCGATGTTCATGTATGAAAGAATATTTTTATTTTTGAGATACGATTTTAGTCAATACTATTTATGTAAATTCAGATTGTACAGTAATTATTCATCGTCGATGTATATCGAAAGTGGGCAATTATTGTGGATGTGAAGAAAACGTTTTAGCATTATACGATAAAATGAAAGAAACCGTATGTATACTGAAAAAAAAGAACAATGAAAATTTAATGCTTTTGATTTTTAGAGTGATTACGAATCAAATAATTTCTATCAATATAATAGTGATTTATATGCAATTTATTCAGATCTCGATCATACTGATCGACAACGCCATGCACAAAATGCTATTGAACGTATATCAAAATGTTATCGACCAAATATAACTTCAGGATTTGATGTTAGTCATCTTAAGTTATTACGTGCATTAGGTCAAGGTATGAATGGAGCGGTGAGTACGTAGTTTCTGTCTTAAATATTATCAGGTTGGGAAATTTTTTTTTATTGAATTAAAAAGCAACTCAATATTAATAGATTTTTCTTTTAATTATTCGATTCAATATAAAAGGTAAAATAGTAAATTATAGAAATTGTTGAATTGAGATGTTTTGTTATTATGATTCGTTAGCTCATATTTTTGCATTTCTCTTATTATAAACAATTATATTAGACATGAAAATGAAGATTCTATGAAAAATTGAAAATTGATAAGATCTAATCTAAGTACAGAAAAGCATGACTCTATTATTTGTGAAGCAGTAAAATTACACAAATAAAAACGTACAGCACTATTTTTTTTCTATCACAAATAATGAAATACACATCTTTACAGCAGATTAATTACAGACGAATAACTCAAAATCATCTTATTTCAGTTCAATTAGATTCGATGCTTTGCATGTTTTCTGTTGAATATATCATAATGGGTTTAGGACAGGTGGTCGCCGAACAGCTGCGCGCGGATAGTTGGTCGCAGGACAATTGGTCGCGTAGCGTAAATAAGAGGAATATATAGGGCAAAAAACAATTGAACATTATTTATTATTTTATAAATAATTAAATAGAGAACATTACAGCGGAATCCGAACAATAAGACAACAAAATGTAACAAGCAAAACAAAGTTTTCAATAGTGAATAAGACACCCACACCCCAAAATTCATAGAGACCAAAGAATTTTTGTTACAGTTTTTCGATCAATTGTATACGAGTAACTGTTGTGTATTAATGATGGTGTATTTTTAGAAGCTTTTGTTAGAGTAACAGACATTACTACTTTCGTAAAAATGACTTTTTTCAATTTTCAACAACTTATATACACGTATATGTATACATGATTATCGTTAAATGAAAATGATCATTAGAGTAATATCCTCAATTTGAGCAATATTGAATTAATTACATCACTTAGCCAATCATGATGATTATTCTTCCACACCAGATCAATCCCTTGTATTAGTGTCGTGTGGTTATTATACTCATATTCCTCTTATTTACACTATACGACCAACTGTCCGTGCGACCAATTGTCCATGCGACCAACTGTCCTACGACCAACTGTCCGTGCGCAGCTGTCGGCGACCAAATGTCCTGTGACCAACTGTCCGGACCCCATCATAATGTACGATAATATTCTTATCATCCTAAGCCGATGTAAAGTAGAAGAATTCGAACTTCAGGTAATTATCTTCTCCTAAAAGAGAAGTTTCTCTGGAAACCAGCATTCATGAGAAAATCATATTTTTTATCCATAAAATTAGTTAGATTAACAGTGTGATACCACCAGTTTTACCCACTCTTAGAAAACGGTATGATGATGCTTGCTCTATTTTATTTTAGCGGGAATTTAGAGTACTGAAATTTCACGCTGCATAAAATACGCATCTTCTAAAAGTTATAACAAGAATGTTTATATTATTCAAATGTTCGCAAGCTTCATAATTATAAATTATCAACAAAAAACTTTTAGAACTTCTAATATTGATTAATTATTCTATTATAAATAAATTTCTTTTAACATAGGTTTATCTAGTAAAATATGGTCTAAGTAATTATGCGATGAAAGTACTACGTAAAAATGTTGTATTAGAAGGTCAAGATTTAGCATATGTCATGTTAGAAAGAGAAATATTAATACAAAGTCAGTTAAATCCATTCATAGTTCAACTTAAATATGCATTTCAAAATGCTGAAAGACTTTTTTTCTTAATGGAAGTTGCTAGAGCTGGTAATTTTTATCGCATACTTATCAAGCAAGCACCAAGACCATTTCGTTATGAACGAATCGTATTTCATTCGGGAGAAATAGCTTGTGCACTTTTATTTCTGCATTCAAAACGAATTGTAAGTTTAATACAATTTTTATTTTTTATTTTGCTTTTAAAAATCAATTTTAATGATCCAAATTTAGATTTATCGAGATCTTAAGCCAGAAAATGTTCTTGTTTTTGATGATGGCCATGTAAAATTAGGTGATTTCGGCTTATGTAAAAAGAGCACTAATCAACATCCAAAAGCAACAACATTTTGTGGCACACAAGAATATATAGCTTACGAAATATATCAACATTATGAATATGATGAAAATATTGATTGGTGGTCATTAGGTGTTATGATCTATGAATTATTTACATTTGTTACACCGTTTTATGATGAAGATGACGTACAAATAGAAGAAAATGTTCTTTATAAAAATGTCTGTTTTCCTGAAACAATGCCAACTGAAGCACAAAAAATTATATCTGGCTTACTTGAACGTGATCCAAAATCTCGTCTTGGCAATAGACAATCACCGCATGGACTTTTAAGTGAACAACCTTTTTTCCGGTAATTAAATAAACAAAACAAAAAAAGAAATCTATCAAAAATAAAATGATTATTTCTCTATGTTACACAGTTCACCATATACATTAGATAATATTCAAAATCAACGAATACCTCCACCATGGACTCCAACTGTACGTATATTCAAATTATTGAAATTGTTTCTTTCTTGAGCTATGATAAACTTTTCATTTTCTGATAAAAGTACATCCAGAAAAATTGAGTAAACCAAATTTGACTTGAATTCTCACAGTTTAAATCATTTTTCCAATCTCAAGTGGTTAAGAAAGTAATACATTTTTTTATTTTGCTTCTTACTAATCGTAGACATTTTACTTGAATCTGATTGTCTATCACAATCTATGCCAGATAATTGAATGACGACATTTTCACTACGAATAAATATTTATTCAAACGAGAAAATGTTCTGAAGATTTCAATTCAAAATAAATTTTTCTTCATTAGATGTTGTATTTCTAAAAAATAAAAATCTCACCCTTTTCTTACATGAGATGTAAGACTGTCATATTCTCAAAATATCAAGAAAAATTTCGATAGAACTGAAATTATGGAGTACGCTTCCATTAACTTGCAGATCACTGTAAGAGCACAAGATCAGTTTGAGACATATCAGCACTGAATTTATTGCACTAGATTGTATCACAGAACCCTTATGATTTTGGATTCAGATTGGTGGAATCTACTTTATGTCTATAATTTCAGTACAAAAGCAATTTTTCAGTATCATTGAGCTCTATATTCTATAGGTTCTGATGGAAAGAGTGAAAAAATAATGCTTGAATATTATAGAAAATAAATTACTTGAGTTTTTGTAAGAAATAAGAAAAATCAGAAGAATCGATATAGAAAATAAATTTTTTACAAGTTTGATGCTTGGGTAGATACTGCGTAAGAAAACTTGCTTCAAACACAAAATTTTCGTTCCAACGGTTGTGCACTGTAAGTTAATAATATTTGTTATATTCGAATCAATTAGACATGATTTAATTCTCTTCTTTTATTTTATTGAAATTTATTTTAAATTTAAATCAATTTGATTTGATCTTATAGTTTATTAATTTCAATTTAAAATTTTATAAATTGGGACGTTTCGTATCTCGATAAGATACTTCATCAGACATAGAAATTTAAGAATGGCATATGTACCCAGGTGAATCAATCCGATACCGAATCCCATCGGATTCTATCGGGTCCTACCATCCGACGAAATCCTGTGGATTGCTGGTTGAGGAATCAATGTCGAATCCGACAGTCATATTTCCAATGATATCCGATTGTCGGAACCAATGAAATCTGAAGCATGCCGGTTCCGATTGACGGTTACTATCGGATTTTACTAGTTTCCGATATTAGGATCCGATATCGATTCCGGAACCAGGAAGCCGACGATAATCCGATAGTTTCCTTGTGACTTCCGAAGAGCTACGTCGGATTCCAATAGGAAACGATCGGAACTCATCGGATCCTAGACTAGGATTCATTCTCCTGGGTACAAATAAACAAATTTTCTTTTCTTTCAGTATTAGCCATACTGTTGATAGTGATACGGAAAACAAGACGGTAATAGTAATAGCTAGGTAAGGATTGAATCCTTTTTCCGTATCACTATCAACAGTATGACTAATACTGAAAGAAAAGAAAATTTGTTTATTAGTACATATGTCATTCTTAAATTTCTATGTCTGATGAAGGATCTTATCGAGATACGAAACGTCACAATTTATAAAATTTTAAATTTAAATTAATAAACTATAAGATCAAATCAAATCACATTAAATTGATTTAAATTTTAAATAAATTTGAATAGAATAAAAGAAGAGAATTAAATCATGTCTAATATATCAATCTTCTTAACAAAACAAGAATATTCGAATCAAATGAAAACTGTTCGAAACGCGCTAGGATCGAAATATATTCGAGTTTCAAGGTATTTTCTGTCGATGTCATTTATGCTCACAGTACAAAGGCTCATTAAAATCGAATTCAACTTTTTCCATGGTACATTATTACACGTATCATTAACAAAATAAGTTCTAGAACTTCTTTTTGTAAAATTGCACTTAATTAAGTGTGTGTTTCTTGTCTTCATTATCCTTTTCTTCAAGTTGTGCCTAACCATGGCGCAAAAAACACACATTAAATATTAATAAAATAGTGAAGTGTCGGCACATGACACAAACAATGAATATATGGAAGCTTGAACATCTTGACCCGTCAACTTTATTGGAAGTTATTATTTTACATTAGTTCTATTTGTGGATGAAAATACTCACTTGATCTCACATGTGATCACGCTCGTTAACTTACGATATTCAACCATCGTTTATGAACTACTTTGATGATGACTATTGAATTGAGTTACCTAGATAAAGCCTAATGAGCGTTAAGAAACATATTAGTAATTGTGTCTCGGATTCCATTCATAGTTTATTTTTCGATTTTCATCGAAGCATACATTGCAAGGTTCTTCTAATATTATATTTAATGAGACTCGATTCTTATTAATCAATGTCGATTGCATTGCTAGTGGATCTATCTATCATATGATAAGAATCATTGTACGCATTTGGGAATATCAATTCGAACTATTTTCTTTAGATGATTAATCAATTTGTAATTATTTTTTCTTGCATTTTAGTCATTGACACCATTCGAATCAAGTGGTGAAGATCTGCGTCTATCTGAGCTCGAACAAAAGGATAAAGTGTTACTTTTATCAACACCACCAGATGCGTTTCGTGACTTTTCTTATGTCAGTCCTAATGCTATAACAAGTTTGTAATGGAAAACAAAACTCGCTTTCTTTTCTATAAATATCTCATTTTAACTCTTTTTCCTGAATTTACTGCAGTTACTGGTAAAAAAAATCGAGAACTTTTTTTTTGTATAACAGATAATTTTATACAAAACAATATTTCTTTGCATTGTACAATACTTGAGATTTATTGAAAAAACGTTATATACTCCGTGTCAATAAACTTAAAGATTTTATTAAATTTGTTAAAACTGATACTCATTTTAGATGACCGCTTTACTTTGGTTGGCGATATTAAATTTTTCTTTCTTTCCAAATAATCTATAAAAGAATATGAAAATTTTCATATTGGAATCAGCCTTCTATACTTAAGCGCATTCATGATTTTCATCTTCCGTTTTTTTTTGTTTTTATAAAAGAAGTTTCTCATTATTAGCTAGTGGCAAGAACAAATTTCACTTCAGTGATACTTACATATAATTAGCGTATGAACACGCAACTTATTATAATAAACGTCTTCATGTGAGCGTTAATTTTCCTCTATATTCAAACTTTTAGTAATCATACTGGGCTCATAGCATAAAATGCATAATACGAATCTGTAACTTCCTAATCAACTTATTTAGACTAGTTTTACTTCTCAATTTAAGTGAATTCGAAAATGCTTCGTGTAATTGAAATTGTGTTACTTGATAAATAATTCTCACTAAAAGCACTCTTAACTAGACTATTTTTGTCTTAATTGAACAAATATTTAGTAAAAGAATATATTAAGTGTATGCTTCTTTCTCTTGTGCACATTCACATTGTTTTTGTTTATGTAAGCTTTCAAAAACAAATTCAATTGATTGTAGGATATATAATACCGAAAGAAGACTTAATTTAAAAGGTCTATTCAATTACTATGTAAAATGGAAATGAACCTATTCTTTAAATTAACTATTTTTCTTTGCATCTAATAAGCATCTCATTAAGAACTATTGAAATTTATTTTCTATATTTAATTGAAATAGAGATTTCTTGTGTCAGATTTGATCCGAAATTTACTGTCGAATGTAAATATGTGTGTAAGCTAATCGTGTGTTACTATTGATAGCTTCAAAATTTTCAAAATATGTCAGCCACTATTGCAACATAAATATATATTTTCGATCGTAAAAAAACTTTCGATATCTATAATTAGTTTTCATAAATGTTCTTTTCTATGTTTTTATTATTAAATTTTCTAATATTCCATGCTTTCGTTTTTCACTACAGAAACCCATGAAGCTAAGAAAATACGTTTGAAAGGCATAAAAACTTTCAATTACTGCAGCTAGAGAGCCAGTCTCTTATTTCCAACTAGGGTCAACATTTTTATAATACTTGATTGAACAGAATATTTTTGAATTTAGCGAATTTACCAGTTGATTGTTGGTAACTTTTCTTCTGAGAGATAGAAATATTATCAGCCATGATGTGATTGTAATTTAAATGAAGTTAAAAATTCACAGTTAATATTTTTCTATGTTGAGTACCTTTGTTCTGATATTGACCTAGATGAGCTTATATTTACATAAACAACTTTTTTATCTCCAGAAAAAAACAAGAATACGCAGTAGGACAACTCGATAGGTGTTAATCTCTTAAAGTTCACGTCACTATTAAAAGTATTGTTTTGATCAAAAGAATCGGTACTTTTGTAGACAAATACAATCTAACAAAGGAGATTAGGACCAAAGTTTAAAATAAATCCGAAAATTGAAACTGAATAGTAGACTATTAATTACAAATCATTCGTTATTTGTTCAATAAATATACCAAACGATCCGAAATTTTTGAAAGTTGTCAAATATGAATCAAGACAAGCATTTTTACTCGAGAATAATTTTATTGAGCATTATTACTGTATAAGTAAAAATTTCGACGAATTTTTCAATTCACATGAGTAAGCTGTAGCGCCACAATTCTATTGTGAACTTTAAGAAAGTAGAGTCAATGGGACATTGACTCCTTAGAATGATTGATAGCAACTGAGTAGGAGTATTTACTTTGCACTTGTTTACAAAAACAACTGGTAGCAATGTTTGCTTAAGTAGTTCAAAAAAAACCACTTCAAATGAACACATTTGAAGAATATTGATTAACTATATACACCAGTAGATGAATGAGAGTTTTCAATCATTGACGAGTATCCATATCTCGTTTCTATTAATCAATGCTATTCATATCTCATTAGCATCACTTCGTTTTTGAATAACTAAAATTTCTATTATTTTCATTTGCTTTGCATTATTGATTCTAAATCGAATTCCCTTTTCTTGGTATATAAGAAGTCGAATGCGAAGCAATAATCTCATATGGCATCGATAATTTTGCCGTTTTCCATTGACGTTGTTGCCTGCATTCGTCACGTATATAGTAGTACTTCTAATTATCATCTCTATATTTCTTGCTATAGTTAATGTTCTTGCTTTCTATACGCATAAATCCATACGGACGTTCTTGCTAATTTTATTGCTACGATCCAGTTTCCGATTTTTCCTATCAGCAAATGCCAAGCTGATCGAAGAAAAGCATAGCTATTCGACGAGCTACTAGTAATCAGACGATTGCCGTCATCGATAAGCATACCCAAGAGAATAAATGAATATAAACATGTATGTATGCATAGCTGTTGTCATAAGGTCTAGTGAGCGAATAAGAAATAAATTGCTATATGAACAACATTCCCCTATAGAGGAGGCATGTGCATTGCAGATGAATCATATCATAACAATGATGTCTTGCATTTATTTGCCTTTCTATGGGCCTAAGGCTCTTTTTACTATATTTTTTCCTTTTTTTTCTTCTCTGCTGACCGACCCTTTGATGATAGTGTAAGCCATATGTACTTGTCGCCGTAATTTAGTTTCTATGCTTTCTATATTGAAACAAAAAAAATGAGAGAAGAACAACCCAAGAACATTTTTTGTTCGTTCACCATCCTCCAACAACGGATTTAATAATTCTGCTTTTTCTTTCTCCCCTTTCAGATAGAGTGATATTTTTGTAACACAAAACATCTATACAACGACAGAAAGAAAGAAAGAAAGAAAGAAAGAAAGAAAAAAGACAGAAGTCACACTAGCACACACGCGCCTGCTTCTATTTTTTTTTGTTGGTCGACGCCTCTATTTTTTATTTATGGCTTCTCTCTCCTTCTCTTCTTCTCTTTTCTCTTGTTTCAGAAAATACAAACCAGAGCAGGCGTTGTCACTGACATTGGCATGTAAAAAAAGCTCTTTCGCTTTGTTCTTCTTTCTGCGCTTCTATTCTCTCTTCTTTCTTCGGCTGGTCGTTTATTGCTGAAGTCGACAACAACAATAACATCAATAACAACAACAACAACAACAACAACAACAACATACACAGGCACACACACACACACACATAGAATGAAGGCGCAACGCGCAGAGCAAAGAGCATAGTGGAACAACAGCATCCATAATCAGAAAGAAACTATAGAAAACATATTGAGTTTTTACTTAAAGAAATCATTTCGTATCAAAAACGTCTTCTTCTTATCCATTACTATGATACCATCAACATTAAAAACTATCTTTGTCGATGGTGATCTCGACGATTCATCAATTTTACTCGATGTACAACATCCATATCGTGATAAAGATCTTCTTTTAACAAATCATTTCGATGATGTCGACGATGATATTCGTGATCAGGTGAGACAAAAAAAATGAAATATACTATTACTAAACTTATCTGCTGTCTATCTGAGTATTTTTCATTCGTAACCTTTTTGCTTTTATTTTCGTCAACAAGTACGCGTTGTTATGCTTGCATATGTTATGTGAAGCTCTTAACAAATGTTATCCACCCTCACAGTCCACCCTATTTTCATGTTCGTGAGGTGTACCATGTATGCTATCATGTCTCGTCAAATAATATTGCTGTGAGACATATTTCATATTTAAAAGTTTTTATATACTGAGATATACGAAGAAGCATACTGTGATCTTTGTTCTAGTGTCGTAAGCATAGTTAAGAGATAGAAAAAAAGATAAAAGTCGATTACGACCATTTGATAAAGACAAAACGAGCTTGCATGAATATATGTTGTTTAGAATACTTTGATTTCAGATTACAAGACGAACACTGAAAATTTCAATTGAAAATATTTACTTTTTCTACCCGATGGGAAAAAGTAACACTATAGAAGGTTTCATATAGAACTTGTAAAATAACCAAAACTCTAATGTTTTGTGTTCATTAAATATGTTGTTTCAATAAAAGAACTAAATAAGAAGCTTATTAATATGATATCAAATTCTAATTTAGTTCATTTTGCAGAGAAAGAGAGATTTTATGAAACTATTCTTATGCATGTTATGATTGACATGATGTCCTCAAGCTATGAATAAGCATACATCTTTATCATCATACATTTTATAGACGATGTTTTTTATTTAGTTCATAGAAATATACACAGTTTTTATCTGGAATAGATTACATTTTTGCGCACGACCAATATTTTCTATTATAAGCTTAATATTTTCATTCTTTCAATATAAGCATTTTGATTTTGCTTTTTCAAGAGAACTTTTGAGGCAGTCAAAGAAAGAAAGAAAGAAAGAAAGAGATACATATACTGTCCTTTATTACTTTCACATCTTTTCAGATGACTGATACATTTTTGCATTTGATGACATACAACGATGAATTCCAATATGTGTTGTCAATTAAAAAAAATTAATATCTTTTTTGGTTCTCGCATTCTTAGTTACAACTATACATTATTGTTATTGCTTGAGTTGTTCGCGTTCGATCGATGTATCTATGTATGTACTGGATACATATAAATATAACCTTGAAAATGCAAATGTCATTCATTCATGCCTTTCTTTTTTTTCTTCTCTCGTTTTTATTACTTCGAGCAAGTTTATTTGATCGATTAGCTGGATTTAAGTTACCGTTTTGACATACTGCCGTGAATAATTGGAATAATAACGAAGGACAGAAATAGCCGGAAAAGTCAATAAGTAACAATGGCAACATAGTTGTTTTCAAAAAAAAACAAACAAGAATGAAAAAAGAATGGAATTTTACATTCTGTCTTTATTATAAGGATACACATACATTGATTAGTTCTATGTTTATATGATTCGTATCAGACCATCTGCATGTCTATGATAAGTTTCCTATGCACAGATGTGTATGAATTTTTATTATTATTCGTATGGTCATTAAAAATATGTTCGAACGGATATCATTAGTTGTTGCTATCGGAGAGAAGAAAAGAACTTAAAAATTAGATACAATCAATAGGTTCAACCGTGTCTCGTGACAATCATTAACGTTGATACACTCATATTATTTGACCATGTATATGTATATCTCTATATATGTGTATAAATGGGAGAGAAGAGAAAGAAAGAAAGAAAGAATGAAAAAAAGAAGGAGACACCTTGGCGATCTGTTCTTCTTACAGTACATAGAGAGCACTACTGACGAGAAGAAAAAGAGAAGAAAAAAACGAGAGCAAGCCGAAGTAACTTTGACAAATCATTACTCAGTCAGCCGCTTTGCACATGCTGACAGAGAAGAAGTTCCTTTGTCACTATTAACAGCCGGGTAATCGCATCAATAATAGCAATGTTCGATTTTGATAATGATTTATGGGTAAGCGAAACTAAAAGAAAAAATCAAAAAGAAAAAGACTAATGATTCCATTATATCGAAAAATAAAATTTATCAAAGAAAACAGTCACAATTATATGCGCTACATGTTGACATTAAAATAGATAAATTTCTTTATATGATCCCATTTTTTATCGCTTCGATATAAGTAAAGGTTATTCTCTAGAACTACCAGTTATCAAAAAATAAAAATGAATCATTTTCTTTTCCTTTTTCTTCTTTGTAAATGATTACATGACTTTTTGATAAACGAAATAGAAAAAAACATACTAAATAAAGGCATCAGGAGAGGCGTTGGTTACCAGCCACCTGTGCATATATATATATAAATGATGACCTTTAACCTAGAATAATTGAGTACTTTTGCTCTTTTACTGTTCTATTTAATTGTAAAAAAAAGTGCATCCAAACATTTTAATATTTAATATTTTCCTTTAGAACTCACCATTCTTTGGTCTATTTCCACCAACAGCGGATACATCATCTACACTTCTGTCGGCATGTATAAGCCACGATAGTTCAGGTTCAAGTTCAAATGGTTCATCCACGGCATTTTCTTTTACGGATTCTGCATATGCATCATCACAATCGCCACCACCACCACCACCACCACCACCATCATCATCATCATCACAATCCCAAAATTTGAATAATATCACCAGTCAATCCATTTCAATCTTGCGTGGCCTTCAATCACAACAACAACAAAATTCTTTACAACAAAAATCACCGATTAAACCAGTGGCATCAACACATTTATCGTTACTTCCTGGTTTAACAACCTCATCGCCAAGTTCAAGTTTATCAAGTGTTCATTCAACAACAGATAACTTATGTTGTGCATCATCATCATCATCATCAGCTTTTTATACCAAACAACAACAACAACAACAGCAAGATTATCATTACAACTATTGGAATTGTCCTGGATGCCAAGAAGCTTATAAACAAAATCGCCCACAAGTTCTTCAATGTTTTCATTCATTATGTGAAACATGTATAGAAAAGTTATCAGAAAAAGAAAATCGAAACATATCTTGTCCATTATGTGGCTTAACAACAATGTTGACAGATATTTTACCTGATTATACAATACAAAATAATCCTTCAAATCTATCGAATGATTATATGTTACCATTAGGAGAGAGTTCTACACAATATTGTACGGCATGTAAAAGCTCAGAATCAATGGCTGTAGCTAAATGCTTCCAATGTTCGAGTTTCCTATGTCATCAATGTGTTTGTGCACATCAAATAATGAATTGCTTTGAAGGTCATCGTGTAAGTTAAAAAAAAAAAGAATTTCTTGTAGAATATTTTTTTTATCTATTGATACGCTTGTCATACTTTCAAGCTCAAGTTTTTTCTCTTCTTCTGCTCCTCCTCATTTTTCCATTACAGATTCTAGTTGATTGATCCTTTTCTTATTATATTCTTGTCATCATTTCCATTGATGTCTACAGCCAAATAGACATGCATATAAATAATCTAATAATAATTATTGAATATGCATATCCATAATTCAGTTAGAATTTTTTTCTTATTCTCCTTCTCTTTCCGATATTCTTATTTTTTTTCAAGATGCATTCAGCCACTTTTATGTTATCTTTCTCTTCCGGTCGGATCCTATTTCTGCATCGAAGAATTCAGACGCTCAAATTCTTCTCTTTTTTTTTTCTTCTATCCACCATTGGATGACTTGTATATTCAATAATCCTAGCTGATCGTATGAAGCCAACGAAGGTCAAAGATATTCTGCCTATCAGATAGAAATACGGAAGCCAGGAGTTTAGCTTCTGAACAAATGATTATCCATGACAGATTGATTGTACTTATAGAGATAGAGGCATGCCCGAATTATAGCATCATCATTTTGTTTATCTATCAACAGCAACTACGCTATATAGATTCGACTGAATGACGAAGAGAAAAAAGGAGCAAAAAATGTATAAGAAACCTTTTCCCAAGGATCTGAAGACGTGTAAAGAAAGAATGAAAGAAAATTTGAATTCTAATAAAGAGACTAGAGAACGAAAGCGAACGACAAGCGCATGCAAACAAGCAGAACACAACACTATTGTCAACTGAACTTCTTTCATTTTTCTTTTCTCGTCTCTTGAGCAACTCAATTTACAAAAAAAACTGATGATGATGATGATGATTTGTTCTTTTTGTATGTTCATATTCAGTTGTGAGAATTTGCAGAAGGCAAAAACAAAAGTCACATTTCTCCTCTTTCCCTAGTCTTAGTAGATAATTATCAAACAACAGAATGTACACAGTCATTCATAGTGACTGTCGTTCGAATACAAATATAACTAATGTGAGCTTTTTATTAACACTAAACAAATGAATAATTGATGAATTGACTTTGTATTTTAGGTTGTGCATATAAAGGAACTTGATTCAAATGGCAATGATCTTCGGTTAATTTTTTGCCCAATACATAAAAATGAAACACTAAAATATTTTTGTGCTACTTGCAATATGCCAAGTAAAACCCTACAAATTCATTTTAACATCATGATAATATTCAATTTTCATAGTTTGTTCAACTTGTGCGACAACTGATCATGGTCGTGTTGGACATGAATTTATTTCGTTAAGTGATGCTGGTAAATAGTCAATAGATTTTTGTTTTATAATATTCTAATTTCAAACGATAAAAAAGGATCACATCAAGTAGCAAAATTACAACATATCGTTGAAAATACTCGTCAACGTTTAATAGATTTAAAGCATTCACAAAAATTAATCGATCGATCATATACTTTATTACAAGTAGAATAAATTTCTGTATAATATATTGCAAAGATAAATCAACGTTTTTTTTTTTCACTTTCTATTAGACTCAATATAATAAAGCACAACATGATATTAATGAAACATTTAATTTTTATCGACAATTAATTGATGAAAGAAAAAATGATCTTATTAAAGTAGATTACTTTGTTTGCTTTGATTAAGCTTATTGTTCGTGTTTTTTATTCGAAGGAATTGGATAATACATTTGGTGAAAAACAAAATGTTTTAACAAATCAAATACAAAAAATTGATGAAGCTGTTGAACGGGCTAATTTGGTAAGTAATAATAGAGAAAGCTTGATAAACTTCTGTAGACACTTTATGAACAAATTAACCTGCGAGAGAACATATTTTTCAGAAAAAAATAAGTTGCCCTAGAGCTCTCTACGCCACATCCTCGATACATGGCACTAATTTGCTGAAAAGTCTCCAAACTGTAGACCTAATATATCGTAAATTCAAATGAATATTGATAAAAAAAAGAATGGCAGCAAATAGATTTTCCTCCGGTATTAAACAATGACTCTCGCTCGGTCAAGATAGATCGTGAATAGTTCAAGGATATCGGTATTCAGATTTTCTTCGCTCTATTCAATGAACTTATTTTTGCTTGTTTCCTAGTTATTCTAAGTTAGAACAACTGTAGAACTACACTGTTTCTAAACTTACTAAACGAACTATTTTCCTATTTGTTTTAGCCATTGGAGTTTTCTGACCGTTTATTTAAAAATTCATCAACGACAGAAATTTTAATGTTTAAAAAACAACTTGAGAATAAATTGAATGCACTCAATATTATTCTACCCGATACTAATGGTCAATCAACATTTGAATTAGAATTCGTTTCAAATTTTCAAGTAAAAAAAAACAAATTATCAATGATGTACGTTAAGTATAATTCTTTTCTTTTTCTTTCAAGGCTATACAAACCGGTATACGAAATACGTTTGGTTATGTAAGATCATCTCCAGAAACAGTAACATTGGTAAGTCGATTTTTAAGAATGACAATTTTCATTCATTCGTCTATCTTTCTTTTTAGAACAATCCTTTCCAACCTCGTACACAAAAGGTAACGACTAGATAGAAATGCAAATTTTTTTTATTCAATAACTAGAAAACTGAAACAAAAAAATCTGATCGTAAAACTAATGAGTTTGACATGTTGTAGAAATGATTTAAATGAAAAATTAGTTTTTCGACGAAATCGACCCGTGAAGGAGTAGTCTTGAGTACAGAAAAGTTGAATTTTCATCAAAACTGATAAATCTGTTTAAAAAAAGATCATTCACAGATAATTTTCTATTTAATCGAAAAATTTTCGTTTCTTTTCTTTCATCTCTAAAATATCGATTGTTTTTATTAAAAGTAAATTTTCTATTTTGCTCATCTGTGTTTTTTGTCTTGTTTAGCTCATCAATGAAAATTTCAATAAAGTAATTGGTCCACCATCGGTAGCTGGTTGCCATAACCATAGTCACCATCAACCACCAAATAGCCTTTCAAGACTGAGTCCAACAAAATCACTTCAACAACAAACAGCTAATACAAGTCATCTATTAAATGGTATTGATATACTTTCATGTAGTTTACCTCAAACATCAATGAATAAATATTCGAATTTATCCACATCAACACCAACACCAATCAGTTTTTCATTATCATCAAATACTCTTGATATGCATTCATATGAATTATGGTCAAATGCAGCACAATCTCAACAGCAACTATCAAGTTCATTAACATCAAGTAATGGTAATGGAAATCTTAATGGACAAGATTCTGTCGTTGATCTTGTGGATAGTTTATCATCACTTGACGGTTATTCATCACTTGCTCAGAATTTATTATTACCATCGCGTTCAAATAATTCATCATTAAAACGACAAAAGATGATCTATCATCAGAAATTTGGTGAATTCGGTGTACTTGAAGGGCAATTTACTGAACCATCGGGTGTTGCTGTTAATGCTCAAGGCGATATTATTGTTGCCGATACAAATAATCATCGTATACAAATATTTGATTCTAATGGTAAGTTTAAAATGTTTTCAAACTGTTTTCAAAAAATAATTGTTTTTCGCTATGTATAGGACGTTTTCGTTTTCAATTTGGTGAATGTGGAAAACGTGATGGACAATTATTATATCCAAATCGTGTTGCTGTATTTCGTCAATCAGGTGATATTGTTGTTACTGAACGTAGTCCAACACATCAAATACAAATTTATAATCAGTATGGACAATTTATACGTAAATTTGGTGCCAACGTCCTACAACATCCACGTGGTAAGTTGCAAGTTTCTCATAAATAATTATATGTAGATGCAATCTTTGTATTAATAGGTGTTTGTGTCGATAATATGGGTCATATTATCGTTGTTGAATGTAAAGTCATGCGTGTATTTATTTTTGATACCAATGGAAATGTTTTGAATAAATTTACATGTTCAAAATATTTAGAATTTCCAAATGGTGTTTGTTGTAATGACAAACAAGAAATATTTATATCAGACAATCGTGCACACTGTATTAAAGTATTTTCATATGATGGACAATTTTTACGTACAATCGGTTCAGAAGGTATAACTAATTATCCAATCGGAGTTGTACAAAATAGTCAAGGTGATGTACTTATTGCTGACAACCACAATAATTTCAATTTAACAATTTTTAATCAAGGTAAAATTAAAGCTTAGACTTTGCCAGGGCCATCGAAAGAAATATTGTTGTTTGTAATCACAATTTCTCAATTAGAACTCTGCATACTGTTTTTTCAGTGGTATTTGTATTTACAGTGGATGTTAGTTGTAATGCCGAATGTCAACCGTTAGCAATCAGACGAAGAACTCTGCGGGGTGGGCAACAAGTCAATAAGCCGAAGATAGATCTGCAATATTTCCGCATTATTTTGAGCAAATACGCTGACTTTGTTTTTGTGGAATGAGAAAAAAGTGTTTTTATTCGTAAGGACAATATTGACAAACGTCATTTTGGTTTATTACCAGTGACGATGACATATAGATTCCTTCTTTCTCGATGACTTACAATTGAGATTTTCCTGTGTCGCAATGATAATAGATCAATTTGTAGTATTTACAACATGATATTGAATTATTCTCTGTAGGACGTCTAGTTTTCTATAAAAATTTTAAGTAAAAATGTTTATCATGAAAGTTTCATTCAATGGAGTGATCTCAATTATATAAATACAAATGTAAAACTACTACTATATTTTCCCATAATATTGACAGAGAAGTGTCTAGATTAACAAATAGAAAAGAATTTGATATCTCAAAGATAATTGATCTGAAAATTCTCAAACTTTGCCCGGAAAATTCATTTTGTCGACGCCTTGATAGTGAGAAATATCCAGCGAAAGAATTCTATTCTAAAATTTTGTAGTAACGTTTAGTTCACGCAAGACAATAATTAGAAGATGCAGTCGAAAAACTTTTGAAAGAATAAATCCTTTGAAGGTTACTATGATTAAATACTCTACTACTATATGGATCGAGAAGATGTGAATGAATTGCGAAGCTGTTTAGTTGAAATCAATCAAAAAAAAAATTATATTTTTATACTGAATTCAATATTATTACATCACATTCATGTTTTTTTCAACATTTGTTTTAGTGAGATGCATTTCCACATGCATGATCCTTGGAAAAAGCATGAGTTTAAACTATATGGGAAATATAGATGTTTGCTTTTTCAGGACTATTCTATATTTAAAGCGAATCATTTGATGCGAATGAAAGAGAAGCTAACGCTAAGTGATGTTATTCATAAATAGATTTTCTTTGTATGAATTAGAAAAAAAACATGATATTTACCCAGGTCAATGATTACGGAGGACGGATACCGCAGGAACCGGCCGGAAAGATGTGGAAAAGTCACCGTATCTCGCCGGAAAGCGCTGGAAAGTGGAAGCATTATTCCGGTCGGAAATTACCGGATTTTTTTCCTGTGGATTCTGGCCAATTCCTGTGCTTTCCAGCTGGAAGCTGACCGAAATCCAAAGGAAAAAAATCCGGTAATTTCCGACCGGAATACTGCTTCCACTTTCCGGCCGTTTCCCACCGTACCTTCACGACCTGGGTAACTTGACATCAATAGTAAAATATAATTTTTGTCAACCATTATATATTTTCTCGTTGAATATATATTTTTACTATGATCTATAATATAAAATGTCTAAATTTAATTTATAAGGTTGAAAATAAACTTTATTTACAGATATATATATTCCATATTTGACTTTTAATAAATTATTTCTTTTCATAGATGGTCAATTAATAAGTGCTCTAGAATCCAAAGTGAAACACGCACAATGTTTCGATGTTGCACTTATGGATGACGGAAGTGTTGTACTAGCAAGTAAAGATTATCGCATATATGTTTACCGTTATTCGATGACATCGTCACCAGCGATTGGATCTGGTGGAGGCAATGGAATTACGGGCAATAATACAACACCTCCATCACCTCTGTCATCTTCATCAACAACACCAAGTAGTAGCCAAATGATGGGTGCTGAATGCACATCGCCGTCTTTAATGAGTGGGCATAGTGAAACTACATCAATTATCAATAATGGGTATTAAGAAAGAAAAAGCTACTTCTTCTTTTTTCGTTTTTTTTATTCACACTACATATTACTGTTCACTTCAAGCATCATTTTGTTTTCATTTGTTTTTAAAATATTTATTCATTTCCCTGATTTTCTAGTCTGCACGTGCCATTGCTTGTTGTGTAGCCTATTTGATTTAAGTTCTTGATTTGTTTTCTATTCGATTATTTTTGTCAGAAACATAAGAAAGCCGAAAACAAGGAAAAAAATACAAAAATAGAAACCGTTGTTTGTTGTTTGTTAAAGTTTTTTTATTAACTAATCTATTGCAGTTGTTTTGTTATTGTTGTCTACTGTTTTTCCCTTTTTCTATTGTTTGTTATTTTTTGTTTTATATGTGTCTAGTAGTTTTTTCTTTTGTTATTCGGTTGTTTTTCATTTTATGTATCTGCTGCTATTTTCAATGCCTGCTGCGACAGTCAGATCGATGTCGCTCTATCTGAAAATCATGGAAATTGTTTTTTTTTGTATGTATATAGTTATATCTAGCCTATCTTCATTTTTTATATGTATAGTATGGTCTTTGTGCTTGTATATAGTACTTCCTAATATCCATTCCTCTCCCAGTAAAGAGTTTATCTATATATTTTTTAATATCGTATCTATTTATATATATATTTTCTGTGTTCATTCTCAGTATACTTCGAATTAATCAGCGTTTCGATCAAAATTAGTGAGCCGTATAACGTTACCTATGATCAAAATAGATGATTTACTCCTGTAGATTTTCTTCCATACTGTAACTTTTCTCCGACATCCGAGACTATATCATTAAGCAAACGAAAAAAAAAGAAGTCAAGTCAGAGTATCTATATATTGTTTTGTTTCGTATTATTAGCAAAAAAAAGTAAATGTATTTCTTTTTTTTCTCTATTTTGTCTGTTATGTACTGTGATTGTGCTTTGTGACGTAGTTTATTTTCTTCTGAAATATGCACACTAAAGGAAAAAAACATACACATTTGTTCGCGCTATATATTTGGTGGTTTTTTTTATACTTCTTTTACGGATGAATAAGAAGAGTTATAAGACGAAAAAAACAAAAAAACAAGCAGTGTTCGTTTTTTTTGTATTATTATTATTTGCATACTCATCATTAATATTTCTCCTTGTTTGTTTTTTTCTGTTCTGTTTTTTTTTTCGTTGTTATATGTTGAGTTTTTATGAATATATCCTAGTTATTGTTTCAATTAATCAAAATTTCCCTTTTATATAAGTTCATGATTACTTTAATCATAAATTCAGATAGATGATACCAAGTAGAATGATCAAATCAATATGTATATACATGAAAAACAGAATAGCATAACAGATCTTTTGATTGATAGTTTTACTTGCTGGCAAAAGTCATTCATGACATGCAAAACAAATAAATCATGTAAAAAACTTTTGATAAGTCAGAACAAGACATTATCGGAATCAATAGGTTTCTGATATGTAGCCTGTCTATTGAAAGTCTGTTTTAGAAATCAGATCTAATCGAATAGTACTTTGTTTTATCTCAATAATACTTTCTAAACGAAATATTTTATTCCTGATTATTTCCATTCAATGTCGAGCAGATCGTAGACGTGTTAGTGAGATGACTACAATCATGGAGTTCATAGCAGAAGCATCTATCTACGCGTGCTAACAAATATTCAGAAGAGATCTGATGAGTACCAGTCGCAAAACTCGACATATAGAGTGCTAATGTGCGTATTAAACTGTTAGTCATTAACATAGGATTCATTGGAAAAAAAAACATTTTTTTACAACGTGCAGACATCAATTCTATCAAAATATGTCCTCATAGATCATTATGTTCTAATGCTTCAATTAATACTAATAATAGTGTGCTCTATATACACTAAATCAATGATCAGTCAATTCTAAACGGTATATCCACGGTTAGAATAAAGACGTTTATAAATAGCCGATGTACATAAATTCACTGAAGTAAAATATTTTGCTTTATATAATTTATTGCCCGTTGATGATTCAAATGAAAAGAGAACAACACTGATTGCAATAGCCTTTGTTTAGTGCCACAATAAAAGAAAAACTAATGTAATAAATGTATGAAAAAAGGAATAACAGAAAAACAACAAAGCAAGACGTGTATTCTACTTTATGATAGATGATGAAAATATTTGAATGCAATAACAAATTTGAAAAATGCAAAAGCATCCATATGACCTTCATCATAATGTTGTCATGATTTGATTTAACATTCATCTGTTATGAATATAGTCCCCGTGCCATCCCATATTCTTGCAATCGATACCAACGATTGTTCCTACTCGAGTAAATCAATTGCAATGTAAACGTTTGGATGTCAAGAATTTACATGTACATGTTTTTTCAATCGAGAATATTGACCTTCTTAATTATGAATAGACTACGTAGTGTTGTGTTACATTTAGAAAATTTCTTGGGATTTTGTTCAAACAATAGATGTATTAGTCATATCTTTTCATCCAGATAGTCAACGTACAGTGAATTATGTACTCTAGATCTCCGCTTCGGCGGCATAAATCAAAGAAATAATTAAGATGAATATCACTAACACAAGAATTTAACAGTAAATAATTTAACCTTGAAAACATTTACTATCTTTGACATTACTTGTGTAATAGCACATAGTAATGTTTTCTTTGTGATAAAAATAAAAAATGTTAGCTACAATGTAACTACGACTATGCGATACATCTATGTTAACGGAATATTTTTAGTGAAAACGAAAATTGTTGGAACAGTAAGTGATCATAGCTGAACAAGAGATAGGAAGTATAACGAAAAGTTTATGGTAACACGCATAAAAACATGATACAAAGAGTTGAATAAAATATAAACGTAGATGTATTCATATCAACTATGTTATACGAATTCGTTGAATTATGAATAGTCTCAATATTACTAATATTGATTTCTAATTTAATTTTGTCGAACGTATAAATCATTGCATAGGTTTCGATTGATGTTATTTTTAATAATAAAATGATCTTTATTCAAAAGGTAATAGTCAATGTTATATTAATGATATCATCTGCTCAAACTCGCTGCGGTAAAGATTTTCTTAGATTTATTTTTCTTCATAATTGCATTACTAATAATTGTCCTATACAATATTAAATTATGTTAACTACGTTTTTATTGATCACAAAGGATATAAGGATAATGATTTAGATAATGATAGAAGTCAAAAAGGTCATCGCCAATATAGTTACATATGTATCAATATATCACATAAGCTTGTATTCAATTTAATATATGAACTGTATTGGTTGATTCTTCACGTGTATCTGTTTAGATTTCACGGCAAATTCGTAGATGCATTTGGCACGAGCAGATTTGTGGTGTTCAATCATCTGTGTCATTATATAAAAGTTTCTTTTTACACTAGAGTACTATCATCTCCATATGTGTTTAACACTAATCATGTGCATGCAATGATCATCTTTTCCGTCCTTTTTTCTTTTCTCTTCCTTGTATTTATTTATTTTATAGGAAACGATACAGCAATAGGAATTTACTCTTGTAGTTGTCATGAAACGATATACATATATATATATATATTTTTTTTTTCTCATTGTTCAAATAATGATAAGTAAGTAAAGTTCAGTATCAACTACGAATCAAAGTGTTAATATTCCTTAAGCTTAATATATTGTTTATTATATAATAATAATAATAAAAGGAACGACTATCGTTGATGTTGATATTACCCTTTTTCATTTGACTATGTTCAATATGTTGTTACACGATAATGAAGAAGAGCTCATTAAGAACGTATGTTACTCTCCCATAGGATATGTCATATGTACAATCCTAGAAAAATTGACGAAACAAACAACATGTGTAAATCATTTCAGTTCTTTCTTGTTCTCTCTCTGTCTTTTTAGAAATAATAGTACGAGAATGAATGAGGGTAAAATTGGTGCTTCGTTGTGCATACACATCATTTTCAAGTGATTGGTAACAAAAAGAAATCGTTTCTTTTGTTGGTATTCATCAAGGTTAAATAGGATTAGCAGAAAGAAGAACATCAGGTATGAAATGAATTTCCGGTACGTATGCTTGGTTTAATTTTCAAGAAAAGAAAAACTATTTTAACACAGTACGTTAAATCATTAACATAAGTAACAACAATATAAAAATGATGTCAAAATCTATGCAAAAGTAAATCGTAATGAATTTTTATTTTTCGCTGTTTGTTTATATAGACCAGTTAGATAAATGGTTAACCTCGTTTTTTTTTCCTGTATGCATACATAAGAGGATAAATTCATAGATTTAAATATTATTTCTACTTATGGAGTCATATAAGAATCACTTGATGGTGTTGACAGTTTTCGTTCGTTTTATCAACGCAATTGCATGACTAAAGAATTTTTCTTTTTTCTTCTTATAGATTATGTAATATCGGTCGATTAGAAAGTTAATATTATTATGAATCCAGAAGAACAGCGTTCAAGTTGTCCAGGATTTTTGGATGAATATGGCATTTGGAATAATGGCTTTGATTGCCCATCATTATCTGGCCAAAAGCGTATATGCTGTGGATCAGAGTCTCGTCGTTATTGTTGTGCATTAGAAAATTTACAAACAAGCTCATTTAGTCCATTCAATCTTCATGAAAAATCATTTTTATCAAGAAATCAAACGAATATATCTTTAATTGAAAGAATTAATTTAACTTTTCTAACGCTACCTATTCTATTAACATGTATTTTAATAATTATTCTTTTATTATTAATTAGTTTAATAATATTCGTAATCTTTTATCGTCTTTATAAACGAAATCAAAATAAAAAAGAAGAATACTTATCAACAAATCAATCATTATTTGTTGATCATTTTCCATTTTCACCTCCACATCATCAATTATTTTTTAAAAAATCTAATCCTCAAACATATCTTTTACCTCAACAACCAAAAGATGCATTAACAGCAAGTGTATCATCATCATCAGCTCATGTACCATCTGAGCATTATTATAATGATTGGAAAGAACTTTTTAATAATACAGAACAACCGATGAATATGTATCCAACAATATCATCTCATAGTTTGGAAACAAACGATAATCAATCATATCTTTATTCGAATTATTTGTTTCATGGTAAACATCAACAAAATGGAATTACTGTCTAAAACATTTTGTTTTGTTTCCGTTAGAGTCGTTTTTGGTACAAATTATTTCTTCTTTTTTTATTATTCATAATATATATATATATATAGATACATATAGAAAGAGAGGCAGAAAGACACGTATATGAAAACGATTTATTCGAAAGATAAAAATTGTGAATTTGTTTCTTTTTAATACTATGTATTAGGTAATAATTTTCAAGCGTCTAAATAGCATAGTTCAAGGATAGATCTAAAGATTATATTCATTCTCGTTTTTTGTCAATGACGATCGCATTCTTTTATTTCAGTTGGCTACAAAAGTCTAATTTATAAAAACTAACATTGATATGAGCTAAATTGATGAATATATTGAGAGATCATCAATAGGTCAAATATATTTCTGAGCCAAAATTATTTATGCACCGTCAATCATAAAATTCTTATTTTTCTTACATTATGATCGGTTTAACCTTGTACGTGCTTCACTAATATTGATATAATAAGGCGTTGTAAATGCATTTTTGATGACTGTAATAATTATTGATCATAGAAACTGATGACGATTGAGTATTGATTTTAATTTCGAGTTTTTTTTTAAGGTTTTAGATAACAACAACTAAAATAAATTGATTCTATCTAACTTAAATAATTTCTACTTAGAATAAAATATTTTATCGATTTGTTCAATTTAAAACTATATATATTTTTTAATGAGCACGTGTGATTAATGAATATATCATTATTATTTAATCGTTGTTATACATTCACGAAATTGGACAATCAGTTTGAAAAATTACAAATTTGGCGAGACATCTTGACAATCAGAAAAATCTATAATAAAGTGAGATTGATCAATAATAATCATCTATATCATATATATATATATATATATGTTTTGTTTATACGACCAGTTTTACATTGCATCGTATATTACATAATTCCATAGTCTGATTCGGAGAGTGAGTGAGAGAGAGACAAAACCCAGCGTTGATAATGATATGAAACAAATAAATTATTAACACATGAATAATAATCTTAGCATGATAGATTTTTTTCACCCAATGCCTGATTTAGGCAACCACTAAGTGCTATTACACATGAATCGTTCGATTTTATCAAAAAACATTTATATACATAGTAAAATCCATTTTTTTTTCTCTGTAGATGATTGAAGGTTGATCATAACTTTTCATGTTCACTAATATTGAGACAAGTGTGTACAAGATTTATTCGCATGTAACCTAAAACTCAGTTATTAGGTTTTAATGATCCTTTTACGTAACATATGAGATCGATTTGTTCTGTATAAAATAAATCACTCGAAAATTACATCCCAACAATGACACTACTATGTTCAATAATCGGTCATGTTTTTTGTTCTAATGAATAAATTTTGCCTGTACGCAAATAATCATGTATTTGGGTTTTTATTTTTGAAACAACAGTGGGAAAAAACCGTAAAATAAAGTCTATGATCATCTTTCATTGAGTTATCAAAACATATAAGCTACCAGAACAATTATAAATGATATATGCGGAGAACGACAATGATCTATTTCGTGGTAAGATTATTACACAATCATCTAGCGTATGTATCAATTAAGAATGATCCTATGAACACAAAAATCTTTTGGGGAAAAATGTCTGTTTGTATATATTCTAACACATAATTATTAAACAAATACCGATGAGATACATGTTTCTGTACATGTGTTCAGATGATTGATTGATAGTTGTTGTTTAACTGAGTTTGGTACATTCCGATCGATCATAAATTTTGCAATGAAAATGCTTTATTTATTAATTAAAATGTTTGATAAAGAAATATAATGCGATGTCGAAGATTTTTACAACGCCAGGTTGATTTATTCCACAAACATTAATATATTTTATAGATTGATTTTTCGGGTTCATAAAATACTTTTTTTGCCGGTATTATTAAGATGTTGATAATGAAATTAAGATGCAATTTTCCTAATTTTGAAAAGTATGTTCTAGGCTAATAGAACAAACCTAATAAAAGATGTAAACAAACTAGCATGATCTATAGGAGAAATAAATTTTCTTCGTTCTGATGTAGAATCAATTTTTGTGACTCTATAAAATATATGTATGATTACAAAAAAATCAGTCACATAAATTATTTTGATGTAACCCAATGAATGATATTTATAACAGCATCATTTTTCGTGAAACTAATGCATGATAACAAGCTAACTTAAGAATAGATTTAAAATTGTTGTAGTCAGTTAAGCATATCAAATAGTTGACAAAATATCTTCAGATATCCATGTAACATTTAGACGAGGATCATTATATTTTCTGTCTCGTTTTAGTCATTCTAATATTCATTTGATCTTATCAAATGATATTGAGTAATACAAAATGATTTCATGAATTTAAAAGAAGTGAATCTAACCAATACAACATATACCTTCTATATTTTCAATGAGTGCAAATCGAATTTTATTTAGTCATTGATTTCATTTCGTTTTGCCATTTCTTTAATATAGAACTTTTAAAAATTTTTATTTAACAATCAAGAAAATTTGCTGCCATAAGTAACTCAAGCGCTTGGTCAGGGGCAATTGGAAATTCTGGTATTTCATTTGGTGAATTCGAGTATCGAGCTTTGTAAGCAAAATATGAACAGATACGTGCAAGAACCTATAAATAGAATATTGATTATATTTAAATCAAAATTATAGGATTTATCTTTGTGTATCACCTGCGAACTGATACTTCGAAAATGAATAACATTTGTTTCATTCTCTGCATATTGTCCTGAAAGAAAGAACGAAAACGAAAAACATGCAATTTATTTCATCGTAAGAAAAATTATCGCATAAAACAAGCTACAAACCTGGTCCACTTAACATGGCTTTTATTGTTTGAGAAGTCAGAGCAAGGTCACGTTTAAGATAAAATTCATGTTCATCCGATGAGATCAATTTAACATACATATCATTTGGAACAGAACTAGTTGGCTTCATTGTATCTTTTCCTAGTGTTGTCATCATGCTTGTTATGGGCTTGTGTAGATTTACAATAAAAGTGATTGTGCTTTGATTTTGAAATAAATTTTTGTAGTAATAAAACTAGACTTGTGAAATTGTCTTACTTTCTTATGTTGTTGCTAATATACACAGAGCATTTGATAGGCTGTTGAAAAAGTTAATTCACCATTCAGAAGAGTATGAATATATGTATACCAATATCTAGAGGCATCTTTTGAAAAACAAACAAAACAGATTTGTGCCCTATATACATTTGCTATTTTGAAACACATTTTCTCATTTTTACTCTAAGTAATGATCAAGAAGTAGAATAAGAACATTTTTCATCGATAATAGAACAACATATTTTTGATTTATGACATTTAATACGATATTAGGAACATTTGCCAATGCCTGTGGCGCTGCGACAAGGCTTCAGGAGTTGCAAATCTCCACACTATATAATTCAACAAAACATGAGCTACGTGCTAAAACAACATATGCTCTAGAAAGTTTTATACTATGAAATTTGTTTTTTTTAGATACTAATTGTCATTTTGATTTCGAAAAATCTTTCGTCTTATCTATTTAATGTGTTCATTTCTATATTTTGTTTAACTATAAATAATTTTATTAAAAAGATATTTTTGACAGTAAAAATGAATTCTATTGCTATCGTCTTCTATTAGTTTGACGCTTTTTAAAATTACTTTTCACTTTATTTCTATATTAATTTTATAAATCATTTCAGCATTATCACTTATGCAGTTGACATCTATGGTTTTTATATCAACGCCGGCTTATATTGAATAAGTCAGGATATTCTTCTTCAACGTCAATGATTGTGTTCTGAGTTAATTTCTATTCTAATTGAGCGTACCGTATCTAGTCTGCCGCTGATAATTGATCGAGTCGATCGTCGCAGATCAATCCGATGGCAACAACTACGAACTTTGAAAAATACTAATTGTTTAAGATAAAACTAAGGAGAATGAAGATAAATTAATTTTAGATTTCGTAAACGTTTACAACTCGTTGCCATAGTTATGAAAAGATACTTCATTCAAGTTTAAATTTAAATCGATATATAGGTGCTTAGAGTTTTAAAGGTATATTCAGTACAGTAGTAGATAATTAAGGCGTTTTAGGAAATTAACTTCTACGTAATATGAAACTTGATGTTTATGTTTAAAAGATACAAATTTATTGTTAAACTGTTTGTAGTAGGTTGAATTTTATTCTTTAATATTTTTCTCAAGATTTCATTTTAAAATTCAAGTATTAATTGAACTACTCCACTCCTATGAATGAGATACGAGCCTAACAATGATCATTTTGATTTTTGGAAAACTCTATGGTCTATATTTTAAATAAAAATCTTCAATGTGACAGACTTTGTCTCTTGTTCATCGTTTCAACTAAAACCTATACTTCATTAAAACTATCAAGATAAGTAATAACATGTTCATGCTTAAAACATCTCAAAATCAGTCGAACCAAAACCATAACGATGATTTTTACTTTTAAACATATTTCAACGAGATCAACTGCGCTCTAATATAATCATGAGTCATCACATGTGTATTTATTACTACGCATATTTAGTTGAACCTACACTTATAATTCACATAAACACTTTACAGTAACAATAGCAAAGATAAATTTCTTATCTGAATCTTAGATTATGAATATCTAACGAATTTTTCTTTCGAATTTATTTCTGATTCAGAGTTCAACCGTACCGTACAGATTATTATGGCTATTCAAGTAGAATCAATTTCATTCTAAAACTATTATGAAATGCATTTCTCTTTTACTTACTTATAGCACTCACGGCGATGAGTTATGTGATTAAAAGTTGTTTAATAAATCATTTTTTTCAATCAACTAAATTAGCTGAAAACTTCATAGTTCTCTGAAATGCTAGAGTAAGATAATTTATACACTTTCTCATGTAAACGAGCTAAGATAATATAGATGAATTTTCTTGTTTCATTTTTTCAAAATAAATAGTATTGAGTTCTCCAGGACGTACTGTCAATGATTAGATATCTTTATCTATTAAATTAAAAATAATGAAGATGGTTCTACTTTGAAGAATCTGCGATCGATTATCTATGAAACATTTGAAAATTAATATTTTTGTTACTCTTTCACTTACGTGTTCGTTATATTTCTTTAATCATGTATGTTCGAAGGAAAACAAAATTCAATAGATCGTAAGGTATGGTGGTAAATCAGCGAAAAACGTTTTAGCGAAAAATTTTGAGCGAAAAGTTTTTGAGCGAATTGTGAAGGGTAAAACAGAGAAGTGTAAAATAGAGAAATCTTCAGTTTAACTTAACATAAAAAATAATGTGTTTTTTAAATTTAAAAGAAATGTAATACATGAGCATCAAATGATATAAAAAACTACCGATTTAGAAATAAAGTATTTGAAGGGTGTGTGTGGGTGCGGGCAAATGTTGATGTTGCCCATTAGCTTTAACGAATTGATCACTTGCATTGGTATAAACATTCGCTGCACAGCTATTTTTGATTGACAAACTCAGTACTTAACAGTTTTTGTGGACTTTTTTAGTCGATAAACATATCCTGAATAAATAAGCATTCGTTTCCCTCGATTTGAAATGGTAAAAGAGAGTTTTGTCGGGTCAGTCATCACTGGTGAGTGAAATGGACTAAATGAATGAACTATGCAACATCAATTACGGACGATTATATATATCGAAAAAAAAAAGAATATAATAGATTAACACGTTGAGAAGAGTGAAACGGACAAGTGCGGTCATATATGCAGACACATCAGCATGATGATTCATCGTCAAACAAACAATCGATTTTTATCAAGAAAAGATTTCTGTAATTTCTACAGTCGCTCTTTTTGCTAATAAAACCACTTCGGGTTTTTGCTATTTAACTTTTCGCAGTTTTTATTTTCGCTCATTTTTTTCGCTATTATAATTTTCGCTCAATCGACACCATATCCCATTACTTACTTGATGACACTCGTAGTTACTGATAATGTGTGTCGACAATGCAATATGAGGCTTTAAATAATCCTATTTCCATAGAAAGAATTCTTTGAAAATATTCTGACTAACGTCAAGATCTTAATCATCATCTTTCTACTGTTTATATAATGGATTTTGAAACAGATTTTCTCATAGGATAATATGTCATTTAAGACATAAATTACTAGTAATTTATGTTGTTACGCATATAATTTGGTAGGAGCCACTTTTCAGTCATCTCAAAATTGATTCTTGTTCTGAGATGAATAATTTCAACGACGAAAAGTATATACAAAATGCTTTTAACGAAAATATATTCTTGTTTTGCATGAAGCCATCGAATAAAATAACATTTACTAAAAGTTCCTTTCGATTTCTTGAGATTATTCAAAAATTTCCGATAGGCAAAACATAGACGTCCATACAATATTCAGAAGAGTCCGCGAAACAGCATTAGTGGTTTTATCTTTTTGAACTTGATTAAATGGCCAGTGCGCGAACGCAAATGACCGCGGAATAAATTATCCACTCGAGAAAGTCCGATGTGGACCTTTCGCAGGCGTCAACGGGAGCGGGGTGCAATGCTCGCGCCTCAACCTGGAGCATTGACGTTGTTGATCGTGAATGCATCCGTGGCAGGTAAGTATGAGTGATGGTACAATTTCTTCGACTATATATATTGAAACAGCCAGCAAACATTGCAAACTAGACAAACGAAAGAAACAGAAAGAAAGAAAACTGTCTATGACTCATAATCACCATTTATTTTATTTATTTATTTATTTTAGTTTCTTTCGATATTGAATCGTTCACACGCATTACACCCAATAGATTAAATGTATAAACTAATCAAGAAAACAATTTAAGTTCTAAAATAAAAAATTTGATTCTTCTGTGCGAACTTCGTTGTTTTATTCTTTGTACTATCATAAATAAGTAAGAAACATACACAAATAGATATCTTTTATTTTGAATGAGAATGATAAACATGTTCTAGTACACATTACAGTATGTTAGAATTTTTATTTACGAACGAAGTAAATCATTGAAACTAGTGGATGTGTAAAATTGAAATATTTTCCAGGAAATAACAAGACACGATGATTCTTACTTAAAGATCAGTGTAACTCTTGACTGTGATAAAATCATTTTTTTGCATGGAATATCCATTCAATCTCATCAACATAAGACGTTTGCCTTTTAGTTGCAATGAATCATCACGATGTCGTACTTAGTATTCACTATAATCTAATTTATTAGTTTTCTCAAACAAACATATTCACAATAATTACCTGAAAGTTTATCACTAACAAACTACGATGGTATTCAAAGCATGATTCGCCGACTGTTGACAAAACCGCATCGAACAACTCTTACTGTTAGTTATTCATCAATTAATAACGAAATTTACGTTTATGAATACGACCATCTTAGTCGAATTCATAAATTGTTCATAATTACTTTGGACACTAAAATATTGCACGTGGTCTATTCAACATGAAACAATGGTTAACTAAACAAAACAGAATTACTCGTGTGAACTAATCAAGTGTAAGAGATAAACACTAGCCGATTAACTTGATAAAGGATTTTTGCAGGAGAAAAAAACAGAGTTAAAAGAACAAGCAAATCAATTATTCTTGTTGTAATGATAAAGAAAGAAAGAAAGAAAGAAAGAAAACGATGATCAATGATTGTGATTAGAAGACTGGCATACTTCAAAAGCATAGACACCGGTTAACCTTAAAGAATTACTTCAAAAAAAGAACGCACGATGATAAAAATCAAAGGCTTATTCTCTATGATATAATTTAAATGTTGGTGAATGTGCCACTGATTGATTTTTTTTCTTTTATTTCATGTCATGTTCTTCTAAAATCTCAAGTTGATGGTATCACATATTCGTTGTTCATAAACGATATTGTCAAGTGTTTGTGACAATGTTGATTATCGATCATTTGCATTTGTCCATCTGCTTCAATCTCATTTTCTTCAAAGAGAATTCTTTAATGTCTTAAATAAAATTTACAAAAAGAAGAAGTGAATTGACCGACACATTCATACCAATTATTTCTTTTGACTACACAGATGCAAATGTATAGGAGAAGAAACGATCATAGTCTGACACCGTATATAAATAGTATTACTCACAGTATGTAGTCAATTACAAATCGTTTTTCTCGATCATTTAACTCATCGACACCTGCTTCGTCATGGACTCAGATTTTTCTTAGAATAAGTCTAATGAAAAATTTAGATGCATCTTGAAAGATGATGACACTGCTGTATAAGTAAAATTAACTTATTACTGTGGATGATTAAAAGTGTTCTATGACATTTAATCTATACTAATATGTCTTTTTTTCTTCCGCTCGTGTCAAATTGTTCAATGACATAATAGTATTCTTTTTTCTTCTTCTTCTTTTTTTAACGCATAAAAAAGCATGACATGTATTTTTTTACTTTTCATTCTTAGAATAATGTGGTGAATTTCACATATTAGAGTCGGAAATAGTTGATTCATATTTTATATATGACAATCGAGGTCGATTTTTGTTCGTATTATTTGACATGAAGACGGTGAATATATGAGCAAAGGGGACAAATGTGAAAACGTGATGCTCATAAATAAAGGGAATGATGACGCTCACATTCCATTTCATACTTGACATTCATTGTCCTTTTTTCTCGCTTTCGTTAAAGATTTCCTTCCTGTTTGACACGCTACGGTTTATTTTCTCTTTCTCTATGTCTCTCTCTCTCTCTCTGGACGACTCTTGCCGTTGTCCATTCATCAAATAATCATAAACGAGAAAGAAAAGAATTACGAACTCTTATTTCTTCTTTTCCCAGAAAATGATGTAATCAAATCATATAAACACGCACGCAAAGAGTCGAACGAGTGATTTTTATTCAATCTGTTTTACTCTATTTCTAATTATAAATCAACAAGTAAGTCATACAATCGAGTATCAACCAAAAACATTTTGACCAAGTCTATATAAATGAGTTGAACATTCATTGTATCAGATAATTATTATATATATTTTCGTAAATTATTGTTTATGGAAACTTATGAGTGTCAAACTATTCTATACAAGTAACTACGACAGATTGTTTATCATAATAGCGTAGATAGATAGGTAGACAGTAACATGGTCATTGATTCTCATGATGGTTACAGACGAATAAATGCAATGTTATGACAGATAATCATGCATCTATATATATATGCATCATAGAAGTGACCTTCATACTAACATGCAACATTCACCCTTGATCTCATCCTCACTATCATTTTTGTATTTTTGTGATGATTTACTGATTCAATACATACATATAATCACAGATGTATGGAGCACGCTGTCATTTAAATCTAGATTTCAATAAATATTTTCTATTTACTATGTTTATGTATATATTACAGTTACAATTACATTGGGGATAAGCAATAGTCAGTCAATTTTTTTCCAGGATTTGTTTAATGATTAGATATGATTGTTATTTAGGAACTTCTTTTTAAAGACTTCCTGAAACGCTCATTTTATTCAAGTCAAAGTCAACAAATAGAAAACGAGATGAGTAGACACAATATTAAATTTAAGTCAACACCATAATTTATTTGTACCAAGAGGGTCACGTCTTATTTTATAAATTGAAAAAAAAACAAATAATAGCTAACGGGTGTGAATGTCTGTTATCATATTAATTTTCTCAATCGAATCATACTGATTAAAAGGAAGTGATTGAATTGTTTTTCTTTTCAGATGATGTTTTTTATATTATTCTTATCTGTTTTATCTATTATTTATGGTATAAACGAAAATCAACAAACAATTAATATAACTATAAATGAAGAATTACCATTGTCAACAATACTTTTTATAACAACAAATAATATAACGTATCGTCTATTTGATTCAGGTCGAAATCAAAATTCATTTATACATTATAATACATTAAATGGCCATATTTCATTATCACAATCACTAGATCGTGAATATTTATGTTCAGAACATATATGTTCATGTACAAAATGTCAATTAACTATTGAATTGATCGAATGGCAAATACCATATCGTCTTTTGAAACTTATTTTGAATGTTGATGATATTAATGATAATATACCAAAATTTTCATCGGATAATTATAAATTGAATATTATAGAAAATGCTCCTATTGGTTTTGAATTACCAATCGAATCAGCGTATGATACAGACTTTGGTGAAAATAGTCGAATTCATTATGAACTTAAAAATCAGAGCAACGGGCCATTTGAATTAGTAACAAAAATAAATGGAGGTTTAACATTGAAAGTTATCGAAGAGATTGATCGAGAAAAACAAGATTCATATCAATTTCAATTAATTGCATTTGATCAAGGAAAACCAAGACAACAAAGTTCAACGAATTTATTTATTCAAGTCAATGCAAGTTCTATGCGATTGAATAATTATTTGATTTTGTCATTTTTGTTTAGGATATGAATGATAATTCAGTTCTTCTTTCTGAAACATACATTCAATTACATGTGAGCGAGAATGCACCTGTAGGAACTGAATTAATATTTGTTAATGCAACAGATAAAGATATTGGACTTAACGGAAAGGTATAATCTACTATAGAAATGTTCGTTTGCTTGCTTTGAGGAGATTTTTGTTTTTCTTTGTCATTTAATAGATTCATTATTCAATCAGTAATGGTTTTCCGTCTTCCAGTTGGAGAGATTATTTTCGTATCGGAGATTCTAATGGAATGTAAGTTTGATTCATTTATTCATCAAATATTAGTTTTGTTTTTCGTTAGAATAACACTTATAAATCCTCTTGATTATGAATCTGAACAATCTTATCGATTAACCATTCAAGTTCGAGATCGAGGCGAAAACTCTCTTGCGTGTTTTGTCACAATTGACATATCGATTGTTGATGAAAATGATAATTCTCCACAAGCATTTATTACTTTTGTTAATCCACTTAAAAATAATTCAATAATATCCATTATTGAGAACACTCCCATTGGTGATATTTTAGCGCATATTTCAATATCTGATAGAGATTCAGGATTAAATGGTGAACTATCATATAGAATTGAACAAGGTGAAGATTTAATTGGAATAAAAATACTTGATGAAAAATCATTTTTACTTATTGTTAATTGTTGGATCGATCGTGAAGATGAAAATTTAAAATTTAATAAATTTATTTTAATTATATCTGATCATGGAAAACCTTCGAAATCAATACGATTAGAATATCAAATAAATATTATTGATTTAAATGATTCACCACCTAAATTTAATTCATTAATAAACTGTAATTTAGATTTAAATCTATTAAAAAATCGATCATTAGGTTTGTTGAGAAAACAAAAAGGAACGATTCTGTTCATTTTAATATGTAAAATTTCGTTGTTTAGATCAACCTTTATTTCAAGTAGAAGCAATCGATTTCGATTTAGAAGATAATGGTCTTATTTCTTATTCTATTATTTCTCCATTAAATCATTCATTTCTTATTAATGATCGTGGTGAAGTATTCTATTTGAATCATTTTAATGAATCTTCTTATCATCTGAAAATCATGGCGATTGATCATGGAAAAGCAATTCGATTAAATTCAACGTTCACTTGTCATTTATTCACTTCTAACGATAATGATTTTGAGAATTTAAATAAGTCTCAATCATTAATCGATAGTAAAGTAATATTTCAATACAACTACTTCTATCTATTTATTATTTTTTTAACATTTATCTTTCTGTTAATGATATTCTGTTTTTATAAATTTATATTTAATCATCAACAATGTTTAAATAGAAACAAAACATATCATTTATATGTTTCTATTCCTCGAAAATCATCGTATAATAATAATAATGAAAGTGTTTCTAGTAGTCAAATTAGTGATAATCAATCAGAAGATTATGAAAGACTTGTACAAATACATAACGAGCAAGGATTTGATAAAGTAATAATAGAATTTATTGTCAATAAATATTAATAGATTCTTAAATATTTAGATTTCATTATTAAATCATCATCAATTTTGTCCAATTGTTCGAAACAATTCTTCATCATTAATATCTTCTGTAAGTATTTCAACAAAATCTCCACATGAACTCATGCCTGAATTGAAACAAGATAGTCGACCAGTTTCTTTATCGATTTCAACAGCAACAACATATACCAGTACCGGAGCAGATGTATCACTTAAATTTAATAATACAAATTCAACTTTCGTTCGTCTTGCAGAAGAAGAAAACATTGATGTTTAAATAGGACTAGTCATTTTAGGTGTTTTTTATTGTGTTTTTTTATTGTGATGTCGGTTTTATAACTGTTTGTGAGAAAAAAAACAGACAAAAAGAAAAGAAATCATTATTCAAAAAAATTCACGTCTGATTTTACTGTATGTGTCAATATGTACCAGATTCATATTGTAGAGAAAGAAATTCTCATTTGTCTATATTTATATTTGATTGAAATTCGATCAAATCGTATTATCTACGTATGAATCGTTGATCTTTTCAAATATAAATATTGATTACAATAAATGATGAATGTGATTATTAGACTGAATATTAAATTTTATTTAAAAGATAAAAAAAGAAGCAAAATATGTGCATCAACCGGCAGGCATATTTTGTATATATGTTTTACTTGAAAATTACTACAGACATAGGCTATCCACTGATATCATACATCTAAAGGAATTGTGAGACAACTTTTATTTATTCTTTATTTTATTCTTTTGTTGATTTCTTTTCAGAAATGTTAATAACTTTCTGTGCCTTAGCTTATTCAAAGCATGAATGAGAATTACATTTTAGACGATCGAATGGGTTAGCTGTCTTTCATGCAAACGTTTAACTTTGAAGGTCTTTTTCGGATAAATCTACCATTCGATCAACAGTTTCTACAAGCCATATCAATACTTCGTCCATGAAATGCTTTGACTATCTGATGAATAGATGAAAATGGTAAATTGCAATTACAGTTTTATCTGTCCAAACACCATATTTTCCATCAGTAACAATCGAATTGTAGTCACATTCGTAAAGTTCTATAATCGAAAGTCTGAATCCGGTTTTTATCCGATTTAATTAATCGCTTAATTGAAAAAATAAGCAACCGTTATCCCCTTCGATGACAAACATATAATTTCAGTTTTATTGATAAAGTAATTATCTTATATTTTCATTTGTTTAGCTTTTGCTATGGACTATGGAGAATTGTTTAACTATGCATTTTAAAATCAACACAATATAATGAATCGTATAAATGAAGTATGTTGACATTGATTGTTGTTATTTTCTTATAATTTTTATTCTAATAATTTCTGCTTCTGAAAATTTAATCCTTACAGATTCAATGCTTACTCAAATGAGAGTCGTATCAGCTTAGAAAATATTATATGCATTGGATATTTGCGAGAGAATCTCTGTCTACCATTTGTTGTATCTACATTTAGGAAAATGCACGGTGTTCGGTTTTCGTGGTACCCATACACTAATATCTCTTATATTTCCTCTGCTAATACTCAGTTTAGTCTCTGCAGATACTTTCAATAGACATCATATATTTGAAATTTGAAACTTGAAAACTCAATTGAATTCAAATTTCAAACAGTACTTATATGTTGCATGAATACACACACAGATCAGACGCTCTTTTTTCAATATTGATTGTATTGAAGTGAAATTAAACTGATTTATTATGAACTTATTTAGAAAAATCGATATTTTAAAATTTGATTTATTTAATAAGACGTTTATTTTAGGCAAAAATTTGATATATCGATGTTTGAGTTAAAAAATGTTTTACTAGAAACTAAATTGGGCGATGATGAGTAACATTCATTACAACGATTAAGAACATGGTTATTCAATTTTTCTTTGGATTAAAAACTTTATTGTAAAAAGAAATTGTTTTCGCTTACTGCTTCCTAGGAAATAATGTTGAAGTGCTAATATGTTTTTTTTTCCTACGACTTGTACTGAATGTTTATTTTTGTGACGTCAAGAAAGAGAATACTTGCACGAAATCTCTTAGAATTCATGATGGGCACGTAGTTACTACCTATAGAATGAAATCAATCATTATTCTTTCATGTCTTTGTGCATTCGTAATCAGAATGTGGATTTGTTGTCAAAATTCAGCAAATTATTTTGTTTAGAATTGTAAATTTTGTTGGAAAGAAGGCAACAAAATTTTTGTTTTGTATACAAAGACAAAAATATTTTTAACGGCTTACTTCCGTTTGATGACATAGTTTCAAGTGAAGCTTGGAAGAATTTCCAACAAATAAAATTAGTATAAAAACTGAGCTTCGCATTTTTATTCTTCGCTTTTACAATAAGTTAGTATAGCCATTATAAAAACACAGATATGTCTTTTCATCTCTTTCGGGATCAATTCGGTCTACGGCCAACTAGTTCAAGAGCAACAATTCCAGATAATGATTTAGCTCGAGTTATGTATTATCTGCATTGTGTATTCAGTGCTATCGAATACAAAGATCAAGACGTTCGACGCTATCGTGATTATCGCCATTGGTCATTACTAAGTGAAGCTGAACAGAGAATGGTACTGGTACTCGCATTGACTCTTAGTCCAGATGAATTTGATGGTAAAGTCTTTTTTCATTCGGATGAACTGTGTGGTGATTCTGGCAACAAATTTTATGAATTAAGTCAAGTGCGTCATCAACTTTTGGCTGTTCAATCGATTGTCATTGCTGGACAAACACGTCATGTCAAACAAATTATGACCTACAGAATGTCTTGGATTCAAAAAAATTATATTGAACCAGTGAAAAGGCTTGCGTCTTATTTTAATCAGCAACGAGAGCGGCAAGTCGCTGCTGCCCGAGCCAGATCTGCTCGCGCAGCTTATACATATCAGAATGACCCAAGTAATATTTGTGTTATTTCATAAAAATAAGAGTCTTTTTTCAAACATATTTATATATATATATATATACATAATCTTGATTTAATGATAAATAGAAATATGCAAGTCATATGTTCCAATGAGTCTTTCAGGATCCATAATAACTAAAAAAACATATTCTTTTGATGCTTCAAAAATTCGAATAACCGTGACAGAATAAAATGGTTAATTGATAATTAACATTAACGAATTCAAAGACGGAAACCATTGTATTTGATGAACATTTGAATTAACATGACTATAAAATATATAAATAATTAAAGTACTATTTACTGAGGCAAACATGACACCAGAGACGGCTCGATCTTTGAAAATTAGGGAGAGGGTTGCAGGATACTTTTTTTAAAGTTAATACATTTAGAATAGTAATTGATTTCTCAGATTTTACTCTATGTATTTTTATGTGCATAAAATACAGTTCATGCTAGCTTAGCTATCATTACATATGAAACATAAAAGTACGTACGAATGGATAATAGATTCACATTGAGATGCATAATGTAGCGTGTGGGTGTGGATGACAGTGAAGATAACAGTAACATCCACACCCTCGAGATAGTTCATAGAGAGTTTGTTCAATGTCAATAGAATGCGTTGCATTTAGAAATTCTTTCATGGGTGCTAATGCTTGCAATAATGATCTACATGTATACCATGAATAGCTTGATTCAATGTTTATATTGAAAGATCAAGAACTTTTAAGACGAATAAATAACTACTGAATGACGACGTTTACTTGATACTACGAAGTCAAAGTGCTTTGCTTTATCGCTCATACGAACTATTTATCCACGATAGAATAACTGTATCAAAAACAAACATATTTCTGTTTTCAGTAGTACGTGGTAGAATGTTTAATTCACTCATTAATCATAGAAACATCGGTTTTATTATTGTTGATTTATATTAACTGTTTGATCAAGATATGAACAGATAGATTCGTGATTGTAAACAAAATCTATTTCTTGAGAGAAGATACTAATACGACATCATTCAAATTGACAATTCCGATTAGAGAAATAACTGAAGAATTCTAAAAAAGATTTATTTTTCAACTCTGAGAAAACAAGGCTAATGGTGAATCGGAATGATTTTAATAAAAATATACATTGTCAGCAGCAGATAAGTTAAAATGATGAGTTGATAGTTCGTTTCATCGTCATGCTTACTTTTCTAATCTAAAAGTAATTCTTATCTATTTGCACAGAAAGCATTTCTTTTTATTATTTTCATCATGCATAGTATTTGTTTTCTTATTCTTGTTATTTACACTGTTTCCGTTTTGGCCACAAATGTATTCGGCATTCAATGCCCAAATTCATCTGCTGACTGGTGCAAAACGAAAGAGATTGCTACTAGTTGTGGGGTTTGTACTGGCTGAGAGTCATCTTGTTTCTTTTTGCAACGAGTTTCTTTTCTACTAGGTAACCAAACAATGTGCGTCTTTTGTATGGAAGAGAAATGATAATGATCGTGTTAATTTTACAATATATTATGAAAGTCTTTGTGCTGATTGTCGTCAATTTATTATCACACAAGTATGGTTCGCATTTCAAGCTATATCCGATATAGTAAATTTAACTTTTATTCCTTACGGAAATGCACATGAAATCTATCGACCTGAAACGCAACTTTATCAATTCTATTGTCAACATGGTCCTGATGAATGTTATGGAAATCTTATTCATGTAAGCTTAATTTTACATAGATTGAGACGCATTAGTTGGGCATGCCTGTTTTTCAGACATGTGCTATCGCATCTTACCCGGAAACTCAACAACATATGGTAAGCATTAAAAACAAAATTCAGTGCAATAAACAAACTTGAACCACATTTTATTTTAGCCTTTCATTTATTGCATGGACTCTATAGTAGATGATGTCGAAAAAGTGGCTAGACAATGTGCACAAAATACAAGCATTGATTTTGAAAAAGTTGCTAATTGTACAAATAGTCGAATGGGAAATCAGCTGCAACATGTATATGCCACGCAAACTGAGCATACTAAACCAACACAATCATTCGTACCTTGGGTCACACTCAATGGTAATCATACGGAAGAGATTCAAAATTTAGCAGAGACAGACCTTATCGCTCTTATTTGTGACACTTACAAGGTAAAATTAAATTGTTTATTTACAATCTTATGTAGAAGAATGTGTTTTCTATCATATTTAGGGTGCAAATCCACCAGCTCGATGTAAGAAGATATTATAATTACTTTTGTTTCATACATTCTATCACACAAACATGAATTCTCTTCGTGTTTTTTTTTCGTGAAATAAATATTCAACAAAAATATGATATAATTAAATTGTTCTAGTATTCAGGGATGAATTTTTCTCATGGCTAAAGTGGTAGCTAAGAATGTTAATGATGATAAACTTGAATTAATAATTATGATTTCGGTAGAGTGTGGATCAGATGGAAATTATTAAATCAAAATCATTTAAAAGACTTGCAAATTTATGAAAACTGATTAGTGTGCCTTTGAACTATATTGTAAAAATATACGAACTAAAATGTTTGACCTTATGTCTCAATTATCATTCGGCTGAATATATTTGTAGAAAAATAATGATTGAAATTGTAGATCATGCTAACTAAAAGATAATATCCATCATTCATAAGCATTTCCGTTTCAAGTTTCATCTTAAACTTGTCACTCGTCGATAAGTTTATATGCAAAAAGAATACACATTTGAAAAAAATCATATTGGCAAAAGACAAGAAATTAGCTAGTATAATGATTTAACTCTCGTTACATATTTATGTTCAGAATATGATGAATTCTTCTGATTAAAATAAAGGATATTAAGAAATCTATTTAGAATCATAGTTATTTCCACAAGATTTCAGAGAAAGCACGATTTTATTTTCATTTCATCATGTAATAGATACAATAATGATGGTTACTTCACATCTAACGTGATTAATAATGAGAAATAATTATGCGATAATAAGAAGATTGAATTCATAATAATCTATAATTACTTATTATCTTATTGTACTTTCGTTTTGTTTCTATTTCATACCAATATTCGCTCTTTTTTTTAGAAGTCTTCAACCAATAAATATGCGAATAAAACCCGAAATGCGAGGTATTATGAAAACAAATAGATGCTTTTAACTATAAACGATGCCTAACAACAGAATCAACATCTGACTGTTTTATACTTGCTCATGCTCAACATTTGACGACGTTCTTTTTTCGCTCTCGTTCTGATCTGAAAGAAAAGAAAAGAAAAGAAAAATCAATAATACTGAATCTGTAATAAGATGTCAATATTTTCATCGATTTCAATAAATTTAAAGAACTATTTTACAAGAAAAGATTTTGTATCTATTGCAGGAAAAAAAGAATACTCTATAGGTCTTTTTAAAGAAACCTATTCAAACTGTTCAATTCGCAAATTGAAAATATTTGACTACATGTGAATTTCTTTTTTTTTAAATAGATTAGATTGAAACTGAAAAATGACCTCAGAAAACAATTCAAATTCTAAACAGACACACCAATCGACAACAGTAACTCCTCTATCTGATGAATCAACGATGACAAGTACATGTGCTACTCAAAGTGATGAAAATATCAATCGCGAATGTGTCACATTTGTATGGTTGGATCTACGACGAGATTCGATTGGCAATTTTATCGGTACCCTACATGGAATTAATGATTGTGTACGAACTTTTACAGATGTATCGACTTGTCTAGATTACATAAAAACTTCACAAGAGAAAATATTTTTCGTTTCATCATCGAGTAACGTAGAACTTTTAAACACAGTAAATGCATGCATAGCTGTCGAAGCTATTTTTGTGCTCGACCCTGATACGAACAGTATACGAGCAGAATTTTCCAAGTTAATCAATATTTTTACTCAACAAGAAGAACTTATTCGAGTGCTTAAGACAACGTTAAATACATTTGAACAAATTCAATTAGAAAAATTTTCATTTGAAACAGATAAAATGTTTCTATGGTGGCAATTATGGAAAGAAGAAGTGAGCGATTTCCATATGTCCAATTTTATTTTCAGTTGAATTATTCACTTGTTTCTTTTAAGATAACCAGTAAAAAATTGAAAGTAAACGACAAGAATGAATTGGTGGAACAAGCTCGACATGATTACCGAGGAAATACAAAATGGCTGAAATTAGTTGATGAATTCAATAAGTCATACCGAACGAATGATGCAGTTCGGTGGTGTTTTCGTGTACCATTTCCATCACGTCCTCTGCGATACGCACTCATGTCACCAACTGTTAAGCTACTTTCATCATATCAATGTCTTATCGTCGATGTCATTCGTATCTTGCAACAGCAATCGAAACGTGTTGGCCATGGACAAGTCTACCGAGGAATGAAACTGTCGAGTGAACTTATCGATAGTTTTGAAACTCATATAGATCAATTGGTTTGTATGAACGGATTTTTTACGTGTACAAAATCGAGAAATATCGAATTACAATTGGCTGCATCGCCGGGATATCGGTCAGATCTTTCATCTGTTTTATTTAAAATTGATTTGGATGCATCAGTTCCGATTGCTGAACTAAAAATGGAGCATGGTTCTACTATAGTGGTTTTTGATATTGCAACAAGTTTTCGTGTGGTATGCGTCAATCGAGGTTCGATGTCTATTATAAAAATGAAGATTGCTGCCGGTGAAGGAAAGAAATTAGCAGATGACCACAAAGAAAAACATACAGGAAAAACTATAAAAATACTTCTCGATGAGCTAAGTATCCAACGAAAACCTCCAACCCCACTATTAGTATCACCAAAACAATCTACATCACCAGCAAACAATATTGAAGTTAGGTATGACTACTTCGCAGAGCGTTGTGTTAACACAATGAATAAAAACGATAGGCAGTTATTTTAAATGAGTTATAATTTAGAAATGTGTCAACTAGAGTCGACAACTCTGAAATATCTGAACATGAAGTTGAAGCAAGGAAATGTTTGAAACATGGAGATGTGGATGGTGCAATTAGGGCCTATCGACGTATACGGCCAATGTCGATTCGCATTCTTAAATTGATGGGAAGATTATTTGCCGACGAAAAACATGAGTACGAGAATGCGCTCGAATGTTATGAACAGGCACTTAGACTCCAAGAAGAGGTAAAAAGAATTGAGACTGATCAACAAGGTCTCTAACTACCAGAAACTAGAAAAAGATGAAAGATAAAGAAAAATAATTTTTTCGTTTAATTTTTATTTGTAAGACAGGTGAAGATATGGGCGATACTCTTTCACGATTAGGATTGATTCATTATCATCGTAGTGAATATGATTTGGCTCTTAAGTATCATTTGTGTGCATTGCCCTTGTATGAATCTGCTCAAATATATGATTCAAGTTTAATTGCAACTTGTCTTACTAATATTTCAAATGTTTATCAGGCGCAAGGTGAACTACACAAAGCTCTTGATTATGCACAACGAGCATGGACGTTATGTGAATCCCATGAATCTGAAAATAACATGATTGTAGCGAAAAGTTTGGTGTTATTAGCAAATATTCATCATGAGCTTGGTGATGATGGTCAAGCACTGAAGATTGGCACCCGTGCTTTAACATTTTTAGAACATACTCGCCCATCAAATCTATCTCAAACAGCTGAATTATTGAATACTCTAGGTCTGATACAAATGAATTTAGAAGATTTATCCGAAGCGCGACATTATTTTGAACGTGCATTAAAAATATATTCTCATATTGCACCAACGGAACAGGAGAAAGCGGCTAAAACTGAGAAAAGTCTTCAATGTGTACTTGAAATGCAACACAATATTGAGAACTTACAGCACTATTCTTGAATCTAACGGGTATTTATTCTGATATTTTTAAACGATACATGTCTTCTACTTCTGTTCTTGATTTTAGAAATTCTAATGATTATGATTTAAAAAAAAACAGTGTTGCTCTAAAGAAGAGTGATTCTTCCATCTTAAATAAACAAACAACACCTTGCTGATTTCAATCTGACAAAGGATATAACAATTGCAAAATTGAATTTCTTTTATATAGAATGAATTGAGAGGCTTTTGGCATAACCAGTTATGTTTACCGATTGACGATCGAAACAGATCTCTACGTGAGCTATTATGATGTTAACATAAATTTCATGTCTATCAGTTGTAGTGTCAGAATATTAATTTTCGTATGTAAATCACCGATACGATTTATATCTAATCTAAAATACGTAGATAATTATGCATTTATTGAATAAGTTTTGACATGAACCAGGTAAAAAATATACAGCTTTATCTACTTGAGAGTGTGGTTTGGTAAAGATGTCGATGCTGTTTTTTCTTATTGATATCTTCTTTCATGTCCTTAACATATTCAAAAGTTGTATTCAGTTTCATAATTTGCCATGCATGCTTATGGAATGCACACTTTAGATGAAAATAATTTGTGACCAGATCAGGCAGACAGCAAACATAGCGCTCATTTATTCAAGATGTAAGTTATTACAGGGTACTTCAAGTGTTATTTCACCTTAATCAATTCCACAATTATTTATTCAATGAAAAATTTTATTTGGTACTTTTTGTATGTGTCGTGTTGAAAATACTTGAAACGTCTTGCTACAGAATATCATATCTTCGAATCGAAACAAAGTACTCAAGTGAAAGTACACTTGCGTCACTGATATTACATATATACTCGAATGAATTTCTTCGCCGAAAGTATAGGTCGAATTCATTGTGGCAAGAATGGTATACCTGTATATTTATGCCAAATTTATTCCACTCACGTAAGACTTTTTTCCAAGCCTGATTACAACAGGTGTGAGTTGTTATAAATGCACATAATGCATCATCATGCACAATTCACGTTGACATTCACCTACAAAACAGTGCTTATTAGATTGTGCAAAATGACGTCGGCAAACAGTACGACGGACGACTTGAAACGACGCTATGCATCACAAGAACAGTTCCTAATACAGACTACTTTACTGGCGACTAAAATTGTGAATGGAAGTTTCAACGAAGCTAAAAAATATATAGAACTGTTGCAGCAAACTAATCAAGACTTATCACTCGACATACACTTGTCAAAAGAAGTTCGCGATATCGAAATGAATAACGATCAAAATTAAAAATAATTATTATCTACCTATTGAAACTTTAATGATAAGAAGAACTCGTTTGAATTCAATAATAGTTTTAATAAATTTATTTTGATCAGAGTTTAACCCCTGAAGAAGTTTCAAACATTTTTCAATATAGCTACGAGAATCATATTCTTGTATCTTTTGATGTTCTCATCATTTTGTTTTCTCGATCGTTTTAGCGCACTTTTCATTTTTATTTAAAAATAAATAAAAGTTCATAAGATTAGGTCAAGACATCTTGATATTCACGTGAGAACGTGATTCTCCCTATTGTCGATTATTTATATTAAACAGACTTCTCTAAAATAAACTGTTAGAATAAAATTATAATATAGTTCGAAATTCCACAGGCATCATTGATGTTCAACAATTGGAGCTAGTTAGAAGCATTGATTTCAACTTTATTGAATCAAAGAAATATTTCTTTCATAAGTCTAAAGATTGGCTGACCCAAAAAATATAAAATTCAATCAGGTTTGTAAGCAATCGTAAACTTATATTTCACTGAATGATAAACAATGATAATTTTCTTTCTTAAATTCAAACCAACTGATTTTTTTATTTTCTCATGGAATATTGGTTGAGTCATTGTGTATAGCCTTCAGGTATGCAAAGCGAATGCTTGTTTTCAATCTTCTCAATAAATTAGTTTCTAATTCAATGGAGTAAAATACATTTTTCTTTAGATGCCTGACTTCACTCATCGGTTTCTGACAAATGAAGCATCGAATATTGCTGTTCTGTAGTTCTCTATGGTTAACAAGGAACGAATCGATGAAATATAAAAGTGCTATGAATTCAATAGGATTGAGTAGAACACTGTTTAGCAATCGTCGAATATATTCATCATTCATTTACATTTCAGCTTGATATATTCAAACTTCCATAAATAGTCTACGAGAATACAATAAGCATGATATAAATTTAAGTCAGTTTCCATGTGGTAGTCTTCTTTCAGTTGTCGATGCTCTTGGTAAGTGTTATTTTGCAGTTCAACAAAGTACACAATAGTTTCAGGCTAATTATCTAACTATACCGATAGCATACGTATACAGAATAATTTATGAGATTTCTTTTCTTCACATCTGAGTGATTCAAGTAAAATAGGAACATGTTACTGTTACTTAGTTTTCGTCATCAGTTTTCGTTTAATCTGATTGTTACTGTGTAGGATGGGGTGACTGCGAAGTTCACTTCGGAATATAAGTATTCATCAATCATTGATTTCAATACAATGAGTAATTATAAGTGCGTGATAGAAGTACATATGTACTTTGCATGAATTACAACAATCTACATGCAAAAATATTTTGTTGTATTGTATACAGAAACGAAGCGAAAGAACATATATTTTTAATATTTTTTCTCATTTAACATTTTATCATTCTAGAAAGAATAACAATATTAATCGATATGGTCGCAGAATTCTACGATGAACAGACAACATTAATTGATATTAATACGAAAAATTCTCATCCCGTTTAACATCAACTTGAAAATTGCATAAAAAAATGGAGAATTTAAAGTGGCCGTTGACGAAATAATTGTATTGCAGAAGATAAACTGTCAGTTACATCCATGTCCTTAATAATGACTTTTTATTTGTAAGTTTATACTATAAACAAGACGAAAATCGTATGAAACTGAATTAAAATAACAATATACATATGTTTTAATACGTTTCATTAGGAAAAAAAGAAGAAAATATGAAGTTCATCTTTTCATATGGCATCATAATACTAAGAGTTGCATTTTAAAATAAAAGGAAGTAACAGTATTTCGTGCATTGTTATCGAGAATATAACTACGATTGTTTTGTAAAAATAAGAAATGTTAAACAGGAAAATTTTTCAAAATAGTTCAATTTGATTTAGCATATTTGCAAAAGTTTGTCCCATAAGTAATCAGTTCTTTTTGGACAGATTATGTTTCTCGCCAAGTATTGAAATCGGAAGTAAATATGACTGTAATTGTTGATTCTTCGACATAACAAATAGATTTATAAAGACGAAATGAAAAATTTAATATGAGTTAGATAGGTCACATACTCATTTCATGCATATCATTCGAATTGAGAGGGCATTGGCGGTAGTAAAGATAACAGTAACACTCACACTCACACCCGCACCCTCAATATATGTCTTGTATTCACGTAGGTAAAGTTTACTATTCAGTTTTCTCTTCATTCAAATCGCGATTGTAGTAATTATTGCAACTGGCGTCATCAGTGTTCCATGTTGTACCAGTCGACCATCATCTTGATAGATTCCACAGGTAGTGGTCTCTGAAATATACACGCACGTGTTTAATGAAAAATATTATGTTTATTGGAAGTAAGTTTCTACAGCAGTCGGTACTGAATTAAATTTAACAGTGATTGAGGTGAAATGTTTTCATGATGGCTATGAATCATCCGGTGAGTAGAATAGAATTCAGAACGTGTCACTGTCAACACCACTCAATCGAGAGAGAAAAATTGTAGCAAGGTGAAACTCAACATTTCATTATCTTGCTTTTATATATCCATATGAAAGTTTAGTCACATAGTGGACAGGACACATATTTTTCTTCTATTTCTCATATTTTTTTGTAGCAACTAGAACAGTTTTAAAGTTCTAATATAATTGCATCGACAAGTCTTTTCGTCAAGAATAAAGTCATTTGCAATCGTAAAATAGTTTTTGTGAATTATTCTTCGATCTTTGAAAGTATCAGATATGATTGTATTTCTTGTTAAATTCATAGATGTGAGCCGAGCATTGGTGATATCTTAGCTGGATAAAATCTGAAATCATGTTTGTAACTATTACAACCAATGAAGCACGGTGAAAGATATTTATAAGATATGAACATATAGCGGTAGTTTCTTTCTCGAGATTTAACATTTTCTCAATTCAATTATACAATAGATGTGAGTGATTATCTTGAGCAGTATTTCACTCTTCTAGTCAGCATTTCTCAGATATGTATTAAATCATTAATCGCTATTTTTTCTCGTCATATTTCTCGAATAAGACATACAGATGAAATCATTGACTTTTTGATTGATATCTATTTATATTTCTAGTAACAAATGGAACCAGAAGAAACAACAGGTTAACTTAACATTTTAATTTTCATAGTGGGGTAACTTAGTTAATCAATATAATCTACAATGCTGTTTAGTTTTAAATCCAAGCGAACTCTTCGAAATGATCGACGGCATATGTTGGGCACCAGATTGGGGTTCGCATAGCCTTCACTTTGGCTTGTCGTATGAACCGACGGCAAGTGATCTGTTTATTGCCACCTATCCGAGAAGTGGAACGACTTGGATGCAAAATATTGTCTACAATCTTCTGAACGATGGACAACCTTTCGATGCGAATATTGATGATTTTTTTCAACAAAATCCTCATTTAGAAATCGATGGCAAACAAAGTATCAACATGATGCGACGACCAGGTGCAATAAAAACTCATTTACCTATGGATCGAGTACCATACAATCCATTGGCCAAATATATATGTGTTATTAGGAATCCGAAAGATGTTTGTATTTCTTACTATGTATTCTATAACATGTGGTCTGATGTGCCGAAACTTGATTTTGATCGTTTTTTCGAATTTTTTCTCGAAGGATATTTACCATTCGGCAATTATTTTGAAGCTCTTCGATCTGCATGGCAACGAAGTCACTATAGCAATGTTCTACTTGTTTCCTATGAAGAAATGCGAACTGATTTTCAATCTGTGATACATAAGGTCAGATTTTTTAATATTGACACGATTATGGCAAAAGACTGAAGTGCTCAAACAAACGAAAATTGTTCCAAATGAAATTTCTATATTTTGAGTCAGAATCCTTATGAGTTTTTCTTGAATGTATTCCTTTGAATCACTCTGTTATTCCAATAAAAATTGATAATCATTTTGAAGTTAAATTTATTTGAAGTAGATTATTTTTATCAGCAGTAAAACTTGCATAGAAATTTTAGTCATGCATGTGGTGGAGGCAGCAGCTGACTGTTACTTTGCAAGTTTTAAAACTAATTCAAAGAACAGATATGATAAAAATTTCAAAAATATAAGGCAAGATCTTGATCTTTTATATTTGACATTTTGTATAGATAAACATTTGTAATGAATTAACGTCATTGAGTCGCGCAACACTACCAATCACGGTATTAGAAACTACAATTGTACATTTTACTCGACTCTTTCATTATTGATTTAGGTATCTGATCATATGTAAACCGCATTTAATTCTATTAGAAATTACTCAGCGTTAGTTTAAAATCGTTTTTACACTGTTTAAAACTGTTTTACGAACGATGAGTGCTCAGCTGAATCTATCAATCGCAATGGATTTTAATTTTGATATGCTTTGTTTATTTAGATCGCCGACTTCATCAATGTTGAGTTGACCAATCATTTACTGGAGAGAGTTATGAAACATGCGTCATTCGATTACATGAAAAGCAAATTTGATGATGAACGACGAACATTTGAAAAAAAATTTATCGATAGTATTGAAGATAATGCGGTCGCTGCTCAACGACAACAAATATTTATGGCTGAGTCAAATTTGAAAACTATGCGTAAAGGAGAAATCAACGATTGGAAGTCTATTATGACTCCACAGCAAAGTCGACGTATATATCAACGCTTTATAGATGCATGTCAAGGATGTGATGGATTGGAGAATTACTGGTCGAAATGGAATGTTTTCTCATCTGATATTGAAGCAATTGACAAATAACAAAATCAGAACAATTTCGAATACAAAAGTCATACCTAACGATGATTCTGATAGAAATGTTGTTTATTTTGGCAAGTATTTTTGATCATAGAGCTTTTCTTTGATATCAACGATATTGATATGTCACTTTTTTCACTTCACAATGTTGAATGACAGATGATTCTTTCCGTCTACTTATTTCAAACTCAATCTATCTAAATCCACGATATTGTGAATTTCTCAGTACTTTTCTCATTCATAAGACCATTGATAAATTTGAGTGAAGTATTCTAACTAGAAAATATATACTATGCTTCTTCCACTGAGGTGCAATGCAATCTCGCGAAATACAATCAGGTAACCATCACCATATAAATTACTGTGATTGATAGCTCCTGTTTAATAAATAAAAACATTTTCGATGCATCACGCCATCATAACAAATACTAAAATTTTATTGAAATCGCATACTGAAGACGCTATCGAATGTGTATGAAGAAGGAAAAAGTCAGTTTCAATCCGAAAAAGTATCGACAATGCAAATAGGATCAAAACAAAACCAAGATTAGTAGTCGTTCGACAGAGTTTCATCGTGATTGATATTTTCAATTCTAATGAATTGAATAGAAAAATGCATTGGTAATAATCACTGTGACAGCATGTTTTTCTTTTGAACATGATCCGACCAAATATGATCTGATTCAGTCGATTGAATGTTAACTTGCTAGTTGTGAATAATTTCACCAGAATCAGAAACGATATTTTATATAACTGATTTTTATTGGATCGTCACTGTGTCTAATTTAAAAGTTCAATCTTGCATGATTCTCATCAGGTTCACTATAAAATGTATGAAAATAATTTCATCAAACGCAAACAAACTTTCAATTCCGTTTTAAGTAGATGCTTGATATTTGATTTATTAATTGCTAGAATTAATTATTACGCTTTTTTAATCTAAGAAAAATAAAATTTATTTTCAGCAATTAAACTTATTGTGCTCTTGTTGATCGCCGCATATTTTAAAAATGGAAAAAAATATCCTTGGCAAAAGAGCACTCTTAAGATAGAATGACCTGCATCAAATGGCGATAGTACTAGAAACTCAAAAATATTATTGAAGACTTCACGGTTATTCGCATATAGGAAAATCGAGATGAATTTACTTTTGCCATATGACATGTAATCACACGTAGACTTCGAAAGCATAATGACGGACAGGATATGCGGTCAAACCTTTGAAACAAATGTATATTTGTTTTTCTTTTTGTTCTAATTGATGTCGTGTCACTTGACCGTTATCAGATATTGAGCACTCATTCTTCGATTCATTAAATGCATTTCAACCTCTTGGCATTAGTTGAAAATTTGATTACTCAATGAGAGTAAATCTACTGAAAGAATACGAACGACTGCTAAGATGCACTTCAATCACTTGAAACGAATCAAAGTTTTGATTACTTCACAAAAAAAAATATGAGAAGAATAATTTTGACTGCTAGATCAGCAGCAAATCCAATATAAAAACTATTTCGACTGATAAGTTTAACTTGAATTGCGTTAAATTTGTCAGAAAAACTATTGTAAAATGACCTATGTTTTGTTCAAATGCGTCAATAGAATTATTTTTTTTTTATACATATTCCCTTGATTATTCAACAAATAGTTACCAGCAACTGATGGAAACTAACTAGTAAGACTAAAGTCCGTCAATACTCGTGATGGCAAAGCAAGTACAATGAATTTTCAGGTTTTAAATTTAGTTGAAAAACTATGGCACTATTAATTCTATTGTTTATTTTACAAATTAGTAATGAAAAAAATGTATACCATCTGCTTTATCAAATGCACAATCAGTTGGTTTGATCTTTTTTTGGAGTTCCGATCAGATCACAAATGCTGCCAGAATTTAAATAATCACTGATTCAGATATTGAAGTTTTTTTCTATTGAATTCGAATTATCTCATCGTTCGACAATCGAAATCTGCAATGTTCAAACTTTGCGATTGAACAACCATTGCATAAGAGCGGCCTTGAATAATAAAAAGCCATACATAGTTAGTGTAGGCATCTTAGTTTTATTGTTCAAAATTGGCAAACTACATTTCAAGTTCTTGTTATGAGTAAGATTGTTCGCCAGCTGAATGGAATAGCAGTAATGCTGACGTACACTATTAATTGAACATGAAAAAAGACTTAAACCTAGGTAATTTCAACTTTACATACTCTCCTCAGTATAACCAACAAAAATATACAGAAATACGTATTTCAAAAATGAAAATGCTTAATATCTGCAAAAAATATCCATCGATAAAATCAGTGATTGAATAGTAATCAAAATTCGCATGCAAAATGTTTCAGAAAATCTATTGAGACTGTCAAAATCTCTGTAACAGTTTCTTATTACTTTTTTTGAACTTTTTGCATTTTTTATATCTGCAGATAACTATTTCCATAGGTTGACAATTGAAAATGATAGCATCGATCTAGAATGATTCGATGGCTTATCCCTAGGTCTAAGTATAAACTACTTTCTATACATTTCTAAAGAATATTTTTTAAACAACTCTCCACATCAAATGTTCATTCTTCCACGTGAAAAAAACTGCATAGACCGATGCAGATAAAACTAAACTTAGACAGAGTTCATTTTTAATTAGTCACAAACAGCGAAAAAGTACTGAGTTATGTTAAAAGTAAATTTTAAAATGTATCCCATGCCATATTTCAAGAGAGGACATTCATTATTCTATCGCAGAGAATATACAAATGCTAGTGTAACGATTGTAATGCTTACTCCACATCTGAATGCCTTTATTCTCTCTCGTCTACTCTTGATATACTCAGAGTAGAACGATAGACGGAAGAATAGATATGATAACGACACAAAGAGAAAGAGCAAACGTTGAACATTGATCAAGGTAAAAGCGCGCGCTAGACTAAGTAGTGATATATAATTATATCAGGAGAAAAGATAAACTCAACAAGATGAAATCCGGTAGACGGTTACATAATGAGTAGTATATACATATCGAAGAGAAAAGAGTAAAACATAATATAACACCTGATGATAGGATACGGTTGGAATAACATGCACGAACAATCAACTCCATAAGAAAGTGATACTGTATCACGATACACAATAAACTCAACCGAGGTTGTTACAGTTAGAAATTTGCTATGGATGGTGCTTGAAAATAAAACTATATTATTTCAGTTGGCTGCATCCACCAACTGTAAGATTTTCTTAATAAAGTTACATTTTGATACAACTTGAACATATCTTAATATAAATATATAAGCTCAATTCTGTACTCTAGCAAGTCCTTGCTAGACGGCGCTTCAGCTATTAAAATATCTGGTAGTTTTATCTTTTAAGTTTGTCAGATTTAAGTACATTTACTAAGTATGTCATTCCAGGTCGTCGCACATTGATTTTAATTTTTAAATCTCGCGTATGCTTACCTCCAAAATGAATCAAATATTTCTCTCGATTCTAGAGTTTTGATGCTACTCAGAAGCACTCATTTCTCACGTCCCGTTTTGTAATATGAATTTAGAAAATAACTCTTATGATAGAAAACAGTTGTCTTTTAAATTTTTAGATCATTTCGATTTTTTTAATCTCTCTACACGAGCAAAAGATTTAAAAATGAAATGAACGATATTCGTAATTCTCAGATTTTTGTAAGTGTATCATCATGTGAAACATATGCAAAGTAAAATTCATTTTAAGTTTGCATTACATAAAAGTTGGTATGAAAGGCATATGTACGGAATATATTGTTGAATGTTTACCTTATGAGTAACTATCAACGACAAATGTTGTTATAAATTCAATCGTGCATTGGTTCCTTTTTAATAGTGAAAAAGAAAGAAATTCGTCATTCTTCAAACTTACTATATGTTGATAGGCAACATAAGCACATTTGTTTAGTGTACTGGGCGAATCTTACCAAAACAACTATGCAAAGGTCAGTAGATCAAATAAAACAGAATCAAACTAATTTGGTGGATCAAAAAGAAAGCTTTTACTACAACTCAATGTATCTTTAAGAATATGGGCTGATGTACTGAGACAGATGCTAAGAGAGCGCTGCCGAAAATTTCTTTTTTGTTCTGTAAATGCACATGTGTACATATGTGAGTGTATGAAGATTTTTCTCGCTCTCTTTCTTTCTTTCTTTCTATTTCTCTGTGCATCACGTCAACTTTTACTTCTAATCAATCATACATTGTATCAACTTGTTCAATTTTTGATCGTTTACTTCTTTTCACTCCTAAGAATCATCAAGAAATTCTAACATTTGCCTTGTTTCACATTTCATGAGAGATCGGAATTTTGGAGAAGAAGATACACATATCATCTTCTTTGTTTCATAGTCACCTAACTTTTTTTGCAGGATGGAAACCACACGTTACTAGTCATCTTCTGTATGTGACGTTTCTCTCTCGTTGGTGTTATTTTTCTCTTTGTTTGCTTTTGTTTGTGTTATTACATTTATTTGAGTAGTTTACCGAAAAAAAAATCTTTTTCTCTAAAGAATCAATCACTTACTTTAACTTAAATATAGTTCTCAGTGAATAGGCTAACTCGCTGTAGAGAAAGGGCAAGACAATATTGTGTCAAATAGAGAAATCATTACGCTTCAAGTAGAAAGTCTTTACCCCCATACAGACAGAAACAGAAGTGCTTTTATTTTTTTTTTAAAGTAACTTCATCTAATAGTATACATTTTCAACTCATCCATCATTTTTATACTTAACCAAGCAGAAATGCAGTATATAGAACGAGAAATCGATTATGTTATTTGTAAAGCATGCAAGAAAATGAATGAAATGTTTTTCTAGTATAAAGAAACATTCTAGTGGAAATGGATTTCGCCAGCAGAAATCAATGAGATTATTTGTTGCGGTTAATAGTGTTCAATTTGCAAAGTTGAATTGAACGAGGCGATAATGCTTCTATTGAAGTATTCAGCTTTTAAATTCAACTATGCATGCAACTATTGACAATTTTTACTAGTCACGATGTGTCCTTCTTTCGTTGGCATGAAAAATTTATTAAGCTTGAAAGCATCTTCGAAACTGTTTTAGGTATCGTATCATTTTCATCAACAGTTTTTAGTGTATAACTTGAGAAAACGATATTTGATGAGGTTTACGTATATGCACAAAACGATTGAAGGATATTTTTAATGGCTAGTTATCCAATAATGTCTTACTTTGTTCTTTCAATTATGCTCTAAATTCGAATGACGGAAAAATTTCATATCTCCATTCTACTTTGAGAAGATATGAGACAGGTAAAACATCTCTCACGTTGTCTCACCTGACAATTCACTGTTATTGGCAAGAGTAAAACTCATTCACATGAGAACCCTGTTGGCAGTTTAGTAACGTAGGCAAACAAAATACTGATTGAGTCATTTTATGAATCTTGGAAAAATATATTAGAGAATGCAATGAAAACTTACCACTCAGCTAAACTTTTACAAATTTCACTTGAGGGTGTGGGTGTGGGGTGTGGGTGTAGGCGTGGGTGTGGGTGGCGGTGTGGGTGTCGGATGCGGTTGGACACCGGATCAACACCCACACCCACACTCTAGTGTGGGTGCCGGTGTTGATGGAGAGATTCACATCCAAACCCACATCCCACACACCCACATCCACACCCTGAAAATTGAAATTAGAATTTTTTTAGTAAAAATTGAAATTAGAATTTTGAGTGGGATTTTGTTGGACACAATTCTAATTTGAATTCTGCCTGGGCAAATTTTAAATTTGACTGGATTTGAATTTTGACCACAACATATATATATGTTTCTTTCATTACGTGAACAAAAAAGGGCCTGATATGGGACTAAGCTTGGAAAAATGATGAGCGATACATACATGTTTCTTCCCTTTTTTCTCCATTTATATTTCATATGCATAAGCTTATATAGAATGAATCATTTCTGTATCAGCAGGAATCATTTTCACATATGCATATATTTGTCATATTATCCACTGCTATGTTTTCCTATTAACCTCACCAAATTTTAAACTTTTTTTTAGATATCTGCTTCGCTATTTCTTATGCCTTTGATCAAGACTTTAAGAAGAATTGCCCATATTTGAAACCTTATTGTGGATCATATCATGCAATGAATGTAAAGTAATCAACATGTGAAATAAGAATATGTTCTTCTAATCATAACTTGTTTTAGAGGCGCTTATTAGACAATATAACGTTTCGACAACGTTTCTTTCATCGTAGCAACTACACTACTTATATTATCATTATTGTCATCGTTTTCCTAACTTTAGTCGGTGAGCCAAAATTCATTTTTCAATCTCATCTACACATACCTTGGTTGACCGATGTAAAACATGTGCAACCACTACAGTGTATTTCTGACAAAAATCAACCTGGTTGGCCACGTGCTATGGAATCCTCTGAAAAATCTCCACTTGATGGCCATCTTACATTGATCATTGTCTCAGCAAAATCCGATTTCAAACGATTGCCACTCACGTTGACTTCTCTCGTGTGTCATCTTGATTATCGGCAACTTAATCAAGTTATCTTACTCGTTCCTCGTCAACATGCAACACTCCTTGAGCCATTTCTTGCCGGTGAAGCATCTCGTCATTGGCCATGGCCCATATCAATCATGCCCGACGACAATATCTTGCAACATACACATACACATTCATATCGTCTTCAAATGATGTTTAAATTAGTAATTGCTCAAGTGATAAAAACTGAATATTATATGATACTTGATTCCGATTGTATTGCTCTCTCACCTATTCATGTTACACAATTGCTCTGGCAACAGAATATGTCTAGTTCGAAAGTGAGCCATGGGATACCCTCACATCAAGCTTTATATCAACTTGAAGAAAGATCAGATCATGCCGAATGGTGGCCCGAAAGTGAACAATTGCTACAAATTGAACCGAACACATGCGTCACAAATAATCCGTCGACAAAATCCATCGGCGTTACACCAGCTATTCTATCGAAATCAATTGCATTGATGACTTTGTGTCGATTACAGAAACTTTATGGTAAGTTTATATCTAGGACCAAATATCATTCCAATATGATAACGAATTGTAGGCGATAGATCATTTTTGAACATATTAGCAAATTGGGCTTTATGGCGAACTCCATTCGGTCGAATGTGGACAGAATATACTTTATACTATTTGACTGCTCGCTGTACAGACACTTTCAATTCTCATCATTTTCATCGTGCAAATACTTCGTCAGTACCACCAATCAATTTATACGGTCCAAGTGTCTGGTGGGCCACGGATTGGACATCATTTTTACGATATCAACTTCTTGATTCAGCCAAAGCTGGACTTCAATGGCGTCAGAAAGAGATCGATAATGGAGATGGTGCATCGATTATTGATTCATCAGTGAAAGCAATTAACCTTTTCACTGTTCTTCAAAGTCGTGCAACGGTTAATCAAGCATTATTCCACACACTTCTATATCCACTCTTCATAGACCACTTGGCACATCGAAAGAACAGTCAAAAACTATTGGAAATTTTGAATCGCATGACAACGCAGTTCACGGGAAATAGTAATACCGATGGAATTCATTGAAGTGTTACCTGTGTTTATTCGATTTTTAGTGTAAATATGATTTGTAATAGTATGGCAAAGATGCGTGCAAGAAAAACAAATAACATCATAACGATTTCATGAGAAGAACGACAATAACGATATCAACTATTTAAGAGGTGAACCTGAACCACTCTAAGTAAGAGTAAATGAATTACTCTTAGGTAGATATTCGTCTTCTGTTTTACTCTTATAGCACATCCTCTCTCACAGTAGGTTTTCGTTGCTTGTAAAAAAATTTTCATTTGTTAAGATTTAAAACAAATATATCATGTTTAAATACGTTGGTTTTATTTGCATCGTAATTCTGAATGATAAAAATCATTTATTTCTCATGTCGCATATTCAACTATTTCATAATATATATTATTTCTTATAAGAAAACAACCTCTTTAGATACAGATAATCTGGTGGATTCGATTGCTTAAATTTTTGAGAATTGTGTCTAGACATTGTATCACTTAGTTGGGAAAATAATATTCTTCGATTTCATCAGAAAATTCTAATCTTTTTTTGAACAATCTCTAAACATTCTCATTGTTTTTCATTAAAAAATTCATTTACGAGTATTTTTCTACACTACTCATCGACATGGTAGTACAATGAGTGTACGTATATTGATCATCATGTATGAATTATGAATCAAATTATAAAACAAAACAATATGCTGTTTTATATTCACATTGGTGAAACAAGGAATTAAATAACCAAACTGATTAGTAGAGTTCCCAATTTACAAAGTTTGAGCGGAGCGCAAGAAATTTTCAGGATTGAAAGAGTTAATGCTCTTCAACACTACGAGATCTTGCTATCGAGTAGCATTATCGAGTGATTCTTCGCTTTTGTATTACATTCCATATCTGTCTTGCGTCACATTTCGAACTCACGTGGACTAAATCTGAATCAGCAAGAAATTCATTTTTAGAAATATGAAAAGATTACAACCGTCATAAGAACATCGGCTCTACTCGTTTGATTGATTTTGTATTGTATCTCCAATGTAAACTTCAATACACAATATTGATTTGTCATGAAAACAAATTATTTTGATCATGAAAGTTCGTTTGCTTTTCACCGTTGTGCAACTATTTGATGATATCATCTTTTACTTTAGGTATATATCACTACCTTTTTCTATACTCATTATATGGGATATATGTGTATGTCTTGCTTATCTTACACTGTCCATACAGAGGCAACCTATCTATAAATTGAAACGAGAGCGCACATCAAGCAAACATCTGCTTTTTTGTCTAGTTTTCAAGATCACAATGAATGTGACTTTTTCTGTGCATATCTGCTTTGAATTTGATATAATTCAACAGTGTGACAATACGAACGTAAGGAGTTTAAAATATTTTAAGTAGGCCGTAAAAATAGTTTTTGTAAATTACCGATGCAATTCAATTCGAATCCAAATAGCTGCAGAACAATGAATAAAACTGAGATCGATAGTATAGGAAAATATCACACACCCATCACAATGAAATCAGTTCTATATGCTTATTCATGATCCATTTTTATCATTATAAACATACAACAATTTTCTTTGTCACTGGACATTCAATAATTAGATTCCACGTATTAATATCAAGAGTCAACAATGAAGAAAAAAATGACGAAATTTATTTATATTTTCGATAGAAAAACTAGTATCATCAGTTTTAATGTATATTGATTATACAATGTGCTATTATCAATTGTCGGATATCGACGTAATTCTTAATAGTTTAATTGGCACTGATTTTGCTGATTTTATTTTCAAGTACGTAATAAGTCTTATAAAACAGTATATTGGGCACATTTTAGATAAGTATTTATTAAAAACTTGACATTTTAGACGTTTTGTATTTGTGCACTATAGTGTAAGCCAACAAATGAAAAGATGATAACATAGAACAGCACATGTTGACTGATTTGATACGTCAGTTGACATTTTGATTAGTATACAATTACCAAAATATATAGTTCAGTATATGTGTGTAGATACTATCAAACTCTTGTATTAAAAACACCCTCAAGATAGAAAATTGATTCATCTAAAGCAATAAAATAAAATTATAAATGTTTGCTTGTCTTAATTATTCTATGTAAAATATTATCGATCGAAATCATGTCGGTATTAAAAAGATAAAAGTCAGAGCATTTAATTGATTCGTTTTAATATTATTGAAATAAATTTGTAAAGAGTGTTTGATTCTAAAAGAACATTAATTTTGAGTTAAAAACAATTATAGACGAGCAATGAATTATGATTATGCTCTCGACTAGAATTTAAGATGCGTAAACAATATCGTGATTTTATCGTCGATACAACTATTATACTATTGTCGATTATACATTTTATTTCAACATTCAAATGTTCGCTCTATGCCATAGATCAAGCATCACTCGAAGCAAAATTGACGAAAATTAATAATTCATCATCTTACAATCCAATTTTGAATTTAGGTGATTTAGTATTTTCTGGTTCAGCAACGTCAACCAAACTTACAAATAAAACTTATCTTAGTACTTATCGTACGTTCGATCGTTTAGGTGTACCCCATTTCTTTCTATTGATAATTGATATCGATTTAAAATCAGTCAAACTTAATCTGACTCTAAGTGAAAAAGATGGTTCTGGGTCATTTTGGCAAATAGCAACTGTCAACACTAATGAAATTATTGGTATAAGAGAAAGTGTTCACCCAGAATCAACTCTCGAAGTAGCTAAAATTAATCAAACGGATGGTCATATGACAACTATCGGAACATATCTATATGGTTCCTATAGTTTAGTTATGGTCTATGCATCCAAACGTCGATTATATTTTAATGTAATTGAGTCAACATTGTATGCCGTCAATGTTGATACAGGAAAATTAGATATTAATATTCAAATACCAAATGATTATATCATCTATGCAATAGACTATGATTATATCAATGATCGTTTAATTGGACTTGTTTATTCCTCTTCAATTACAAATAGTTGGATTTTAACTGAAATAATAATAACAACAAAAAATGAATTAAAATTTGATCGTATTGGTAAAACAATAATTCCGTTTGATAAATATCGATGGAAAACGACATATACAATCAATTTGAGTCAACGTTCATGGATAACCATATGGAATATGAAAGATTTAAATAAAAGTGTTTTTATTGTATTGAATATTGATAGCGGAGAAGTGACTGAGAAATGGGAAACAAATTTAAATCGTCTTACTAATTTAGTCTTTTTTGATTAAATCTCATATTTTTTGCATATAATTAAATATTAAATTCCTGTTTTTATAAACTATGTGAAAAATATTCGAGTTAGACAGTTTCATTTCAAAGTGAAGCACTGTTTTATCTAGGTTTCATTTTTCGGGTGGGCGGTTGAAATTTTTGGAGGGGCTGCTGACTAGAAAATTTGTTATCATATAGTAACGGGTGCCCCTTAAAGAATGGTCGTCTCATTATTTACTCAATATCGTTTTTGCTCTTCATTGATTTGAACTGAACATTTTCCCAAAAGATTGAGCATTTAATTCTCTACAAACTCATGTGTAAAAGATTTTTTAAACTACAAAACGGCTAAGTACTAAAACGAAGAAAAAAGGTCGAAAAATCTCCAACTTTCAAGCACTAAATCCGCTTTTTTTGAAAATTTGCGTTCCATGTGAGGATCTACAAAAAACTCATTCTACCATGTTAAAGAGCATTAGATTTTGGGCAAGATTCATGTCTTCGAATTTAGTTTCATTACAAAATGAGTAAAAAATTCTGCATCAGTTCTTTTGCTTGTTCTCAAAAACACAACTGCTATGCCATGTTGTTGATGCTTGCACTAAAGCGCATGCCATTCACTTAAAAAGTTATTTTTTGACGATTTTTTTCCTTGGAAGGCAACATACTCGACTACACTCCTGTACACTTGTTCGAGTGATGCAAAGTTTCGTTTGCAGTAGACTTTCTTGTAAACCGAAATTAAGGCGTTATGGACGAGTTTTCAGAAAATATCGATTTAATAGGCGATTACCACTTTTAAAGAAACGTTTTTCAAATACATCGAAAAGAGCGTACTTGAAAATACCAGAAAATGTTTCTCCCGTAACTCAAGCCTGCGTATAAATTGTCGAAACATACTATAAATGTTAATGTATGTTGAGCTTGAAAGTTGAAGCTTTTTTAACATTTTTTCATCGTTTTAGTACTTAGCCGTTTTGTAGTTTTAAAAAATCTTTTACACATGAGTTTGTAAAGAATTGAATGCTCAATCTTTTGAGAAAATGTTCAGTTCAAATCAATGAAGAGCAAAAACGATATTGAGTAAATAATGAGACCACCATTCTTTAAGGGCCACCCGTTACTTTTATGAAATCAACTGCTTATTTTCGGGTGGGCGGCGCCCACCCTGCCCATACGGTAGATAAATCACTGAATATTTGTTTTTCTCTTTAAAGAATATTATTCTTGTTGATATTGTAGAATTTAAGATTTTTTCATTTTTTTTTTCAAAAAAGTTAAAAAACATAATGAACATTACTATACTCGATGATTATTTTGATACGATTCGTACACTCCAGTGTTACAGTAAATTGAATAATCATAATGTTACTATATGGAATGATCATGTACAAGAAATAGAAGCACTTGTTGATCGACTTAAAGAAACGGATGTACTGGTATTAATTCGTGAACGTACACAAATTTGTGGTGATCTTCTTGAACGATTGCCTCGTCTAAAATTGATTAGTCAACGCAGTGTCTATCCTCATATTGATATCGATGCTTGTAACCGTTTGAGTATAATTGTTTCATCGAATCAGCATGTTGATAGTCCTTCGTATGCTGCTGCAGAATTGACTTGGGCTCTTATACTTGCATCAGTGCGTCAAATTCCTCAACAGGTGACTGGAATGAAAGCAGGCCGATGGCAAATCGGTGTTGGAAGTACGCTACGTGGGAAAACACTTGGAATCTATGGTTACGGTAGAATTGGAAGTACTGTCGCTAGATATGGTAGAGCATTTGATATGAATATACTTGTTTGGGCACGTGAATCATCTTTAGCTCGTGCTCACACTGATGGCTTTGTAATAGCAAAGAGCAAAACAGAATTTTTTCAAACATGTGATATTCTATCACTTCATATGCGTTTAGTGGAAGTAACACGTGGTATTGTTACTGCTCAAGATCTTGCCTGTATGAAGCCAACTGCTCTTATAGTTAATACGAGTCGAGCGGGGCTCATTGAGCCAGATGCATTGGTCAATGCATTACGTGCTGGTCGACCAGGTATGGCAGCTGTTGACGTTTATGAGCATGAGCCAATGCGTGACACAAAAAATCCTCTTCTTACGATGGATAACGTTATTTGTACACCTCATATTGGATACGTGTCGGTTGATGAGTATGAACTCCAATTTTCTGATATATTTGATCAAATCGTCTCATATGTTGCTGGTAGACCCATCCATGTAGTTAATCCGACAGTTATCCATCAATAAAATTCTGTTTTTTTTGTATTGACGTTCACAATATGATAAGATTTATTCATTTTTCTCTACTAATTAAAAGTCTTTTTTTTTACATTTGATTATGCTCTCAATTTAATGATGACTTGTTAGAATGTGTCTGAATAAACAAGATACGAAGAGATAAAATATAGCAACTTAATGGTTCAAAATAGAAATTTTAGAGTAAACAAAGCCATCTATTTTTCAATATCGACACACAATGAAATTTAGAACACTGGTTGTTGAAGGATCAATATATATTTTGAAAGAAATCATCCTAGAACTCTATTTACATTTATTGATATCATCAATTTATATAATATAGATTCAGTTATATGTAATGACATTATGATATGTGAATATTTTCTAAATTCAAATGATTAATTTACAGTTTAGAGAATAGTATATAAGAAAGAAGAAACGAGCCATACTTTGTCGATAGAAGAGTAAATGTTTGAGCATTGATGATAATACAAAAAAAAATGTTATTTTTTGATGCTCTCTTTCAAATGTTACCTTCTCAAAGTAAACTAAGACATAAGGCACACATCCTTTTCATTCTTTCATGACGAGTCCATACTTAGCTCCAGTAAATCATAAGTAAATAATAAAGATTGAAAAATTCAGTACAAAAGAAATGTTTTACTGTGATGGATCTTTATTGACAAGTTTACTATATTTCCATCTGAACTTGAAGTCTAATGTAAAAATCAGTCGTTGAAAAGTTTGCCTTTAGGAAAAGACTTTCGACTTGACGAAAAACGAAATGGATTAGAGCGACATCGTTTTCGTTTTTATTGGTTATTTCGATAACACCACTTAAAAAGTATAAGTGAAATGTGAAGAAAGTCAGGTGTGTCTTATGAAATGAAAATATGTAATCATTTCGTACTCAGAGCTATACCCCAGATTTTAAGTACATTTTTCTCATTCAATTTTTAATCATTTGTTTTTGTCTGTTTAGGTAAATTTTCTCTTAGACCATTAACGATGACACCATCACCAATTAGCAATCATGCAAAAATCGGTAACAATTCCTATTTTTTTTTAAAGATTCAAGCAATTATATATTGTTTTTCAATAGAAAATGAACTTGTTTCTGCCTTAGCAAGTCGTATTCTTATTATTGATGGAGCGATGGGTACTATGATTCAACGATGTAGATTAGAAGAATCAGATTTTCGTTCTAATGAATATCAATTGGATAAGCATATACATAATTTGAAAGGAAATAATGATTTATTATCGATAACTCGTCCTGATGTTATTTTGGACATTCATCGACAATATTTAGAGGCCGGAGCTGATATTATTGAAACAAATACCTTCAATGCTCAATGTATATCACAAGCTGATTATGGTCTAGAACATTTGTCGTATCAATTAAATCTGAAATCAGCTCAACTAGCAAGACAAGCAGCAGATGAATTCACAGAAAAAACTGGTGAAATTGAAATGAATATATTTCGATAGACGCGATTGGTTTCTGTTTTTAGGTATTCGACGATTTGTTGCTGGTGCTTTAGGTCCAACAAATAAAACGTTATCAATATCGCCATCAGTAGATAAACCTGATTTTCGAAATATAAGTCAGTTTATTAGTTCACTTTGGTTTTTTACGTATCAATGTTTATTATTTATTAGCGTTTGATGCTATTGTTGAAGCATATACAGAACAAGCACGTGCTTTGATTGATGGCAATGTTGATTTATTATTAATTGAAACTATATTCGATACAGCTAATGCAAAAGCAGCTATATTTGGATTGAAAGTTTTATTTGAAACATATCCTGAATTAGCTAGACCAATACTTGTAAGAAATATATAATTATCCTATTGAGACGGCTGTAAGAAGTGCGATAATATTGTCACTGGAGAGCTAAAGTCTTCATCTTGCAATCCGACCAGGACTTTGTTTGTATAAATAACTATTTGAAACAATATTTGGATTAATATTACATCTAAATTATAGGTGTCCTATTTTAATTTAGATTTCGGGAACCATTGTTGATTTGAGTGGTAGAACATTATCTGGTCAAACTGTTGAAGCTTTTGTTATAAGTGTTTCGCATGCTAATCCGATATGGTAGTGTTCGTTTTTTTTTTATAATTTTTATATTCATTTAATTTCTTTGAATATGTTTAGTCTCGGCTTAAATTGTGCGTTGGGTCCAAATGAAATGCGGCGATTTTTAGAAGAGATTTCTAATAATACTTCAGCATATACTATTTGTTATCCAAATGCTGGTAAAAACAAATTGATGATTTCTTCTATGCATTTAATGAATAACTCACTTAGGTCTACCAAATACATTTGGCGAATACGATGAAACACCTGAATCAATGGCTCAACATGTAGGTCATTGGGCTCATGATGGACTACTCAATATTGTTGGTGGGTGCTGTGGATCGACTCCTGATCATATAAAGTAAATATCAATTTTTGCTTTTCTCTTCTTTTATAATTTTATCTGAATAAATTAGAGCCATAGCTGAGAGTGTCAAAAGATATTCGCCGAGAGTGCCACCAAAAAATTTACATAGCGAAGACATGCTTCTGTCAGGTATGATAATATTTGTTAAAATTAAGAAGAAGAAAACAAATATAATAGATACTTTTTAAGGTCTTGAACCATTTTGTATTTCTCGTTATACAAATTTCGTTAATATTGGTGAACGATGTAATGTTGCTGGTAGTCGTCAATTTCTTCGCTTACTAAAAGAAAATAAACTCGATGAAGCTCTTCAGGTTGCGAAAAATCAAGTTGAATCGGGTGCACAAATTCTGGATTTAAATATGGACGAAGGAATGATTGATGGACAATTGTTAATGGCGAAATTCATTAATCTTCTTGTATCAGAACCTGATATATCACGAGTACCTTTATGTATTGATTCGTCGAATTTTGCTGTCATTGAAGCGGGTCTTAAATGTACACAAGGAAAATGTATTGTTAATTCAATTTCATTGAAAGAAGGTGAAAAAGATTTCCTTGATAAAGCAAGAAAATGTAAAAATTATGGTGCTGCAGTTGTTGTGATGGCATTTGATGAGCAAGGACAAGTAAAAAGAATAGAATTTACCGGCTAGATTAGAAGAATATTTTATTTTATTTTCAGGCAACCGATATTGAACAAAAGTGTGCCATATGTAAAAGAAGTTATGACTTATTAGTCAATGTTGTGAAATTTAATCCGAATGATATTATATTCGATTCGAATATTTTGACTATTGCAACAGGCATGGAGGAACATAATGAGTATGCAATAAATTTTATTGAAGCAATTAAACGTATTAAAGTAAGTTAGATTTATTTTACAAGGTGTGCAAAAAATAGAAAAAAGTTTTTTTTTCCTACTGAAAATGTACTTTTAAAATGTAAATGTATCTGACGGAATGGTAGTGGATGACCCGGTTCAGTTTCGACCTTGCTCAAGGGTCTCATCAGGTGATTTTGTTTTGAATGAACAACCACGACTGTTTCGGCCATCCACTTGCTTCATTAAGTAACATAAATGTTTCTCCATAGGTTAACTCAACTTTTTCTTGTTGTTTCTCTGAGATGGCATATAGTTCCAAGAGCCATCGTCGTTCTTTATCGTCAATTTGTTTACAAGATTTAAGAACAAACTTCGTGCCAGGTGACAATAGTACTTCTTCTTCGGCACTATTATAAATACGAGCATATGGACGCATTTCTTGACCAGTATCAAGATAGATTTTCAAAATCACAGAAACAAGATAAGGATTGTCATCTGATCCATCACCGACAAATATTTCAGCAATTTGAGGATTCATAGTAGTAGAAAGAAATGGAGCAGCACTGATGATTTCTCCTATATTGTGTTTCATTTTTTCAAGTTCGAATATAGTCATTTTTTGAGCGCGGAGAAGAATTAGCAAGGTACCATCCTCTTCTGCTGTTAAAGGTCGACGTAAAGAATTAATTAGAGCGACAATAGTATGTCGACGACATACGATATCATGAAGTTGTTTTTGTCTTAAAGTATGATTCAGTATTCGATGATCAGATGTAGCTTTTGTGTACCAATCAATGATGGATGAAGAGTATTGATTGATATCTGACACTTGGATTATCTTTCGCTCTCCATAATCCACCTGTGATGATGGAGCAGCAGAGGCACCAAGAATTGTCGATTGTGAGTGAACAGAAGTTGGAAGACGATAAAGAATTAAATCACGCAAAAGTTGAGCTCTCCACTTCATGAAATGAACATTATTGTGATAACGATCGACCAATTTGTCATAACGGTCGAAACCACCCCCATGATTTAATTTTTTACGGGTGATACAAAGTAAAGATGTCGAGAGGGTTTGATAGCCTGCATATGGCAAATGAAACCACTGAAGAATTGCGTCCGCGAATGAATTATTGCTCTGAGTTAACCAAAGTTTGCTCATACGAGATTTATGCTCTTCCCATAAATACATCTTCATTGCATCCAAGTGCCATTGCATCGAGAGGGCACCATTTCCGACAGCTACATCATTAATAAAAGTTAAGATATCATTTTCTCTTGAGTAAAATTCGAAATTTTAACGTTTTAGTATGAAGCTATTTATATCAGAAAGAAGTGTGAGTAAGTAAACATATTTTTAAAACATAGAAATAGGTCTCTTATTTCTTGTTCAGATATGATTGTATAGTTATTGTGTTGTGATTACTGCTGAGACTGAAGAGATAATCAGCAATATTTTGAAAAATGGGCATCATAGTGCACGAGAAAGAAGAGTGAATTAGAATATCAGCCGAACTTTGTCATGTTTTCCCTCTCATGATGCAGATTTGAATGCATGAAAATATAGACAGCGCTGATGTCAGTAATGCTTGCTGATATTTGAGAAGCAAGAGAGTGACGCTACTCAAGTCGGTAGATATGGGGATATTCGAGCAACATATCTCTACTAACGGAACAAACGTTGAAATGCCTCATTTATCTAAATTTAGGATTAGTTTTTGTAATTAAAGGTCAGTTATACATTTCTGAAAGTTTTTCTAAGCCATTTGCGGAAAATTTAGCTAAAACACGAAGACATAATTGATATATTTTATGCAAAAATTCATCCTAGATTTGAATATTCATAGTCATCGGTTGTTATTTGTGAGTAATGATGGAATCTGTAATAAACATGATTATCTCAAGATATTAGCATGTTAAAAATAATCGCGACAAGAGAACTACCTGTACCTGTTGATTGAAAAATTAAAGCAAACATTTTCAACTGAAAGAGTATCATTTGAAATTATAGGTTTTTCAATATATGATATGCTTTAAAAATATAAGATACCTTCGTATTCATCTTCCAAGGCACTTGAATCTTCGTCAGAATGCATGGGGTGTATAGCAGAGCAAACATACGTTTTAGACGTGTTTGATAAAACTCTGTCCTAGAAAGCGAACGTTCAGTATTTCCCATGAGTCGCGTTAATTCGAATTGTGTCGGCGCTGATTTCGTTTAATTTTCATTTGCACTAAAAGATAATATTCAGTATAATTTCAGCAACGGTGTAAAAAACTTTCTTTTGCACTTACTTTATTCATATTTTATTTAATAATTCATCTATTTTGTATAGACTCGAATATACTGTTATATATAGGCAATAAAGTTGGCTTTTTCCATTTTGAAATTGTCGTCAAAAAATTCAGCTTCAGACAATTTTAAAATATTTCAAGTGTTTAACGGAAGAAAAATACGAGATCGAATAATACAGTTTATGAAAAACAGAAGTGATTGAAATGTACACATTAAGTATTCGTTTAAATGGAGAAAGAAAAAGTCTGATCTTCCTTTTTACAGTTCAAATTATTCATCGTGAATAATGATGATCTCAAAGTATTCTTTACAACAATAAATAGAAAAGAAGAAATATGAATCACATATTTTAAATCGATTGCTAATTCTTACTGAAAATAAATAAATTAATGTGCATTTTATTTATCGAAAATTGAATTTAAAAAATGTTTTGCGTTCTTGAAAAATCATCGAGCATATCGATTCATTTCTAGGCAGCTTGTCCTGGTTGTAAAACTTCTGGTGGCATATCCAATATATCTTTTTCATTTCGTGGCCAAGATCGTATACGTGAAGCAATGCATTCAGTATTTTTATTTCATGCTATTAAAGCTGGTCTTGATATGGGTATTGTTAATGCTGGTCAAATTCCAATATATATTGATATTGATCCTCGTCTCCGAGAACTTTGTGAAGCATGTATATTTAATAAACGATCAACAGCAACTGAAGAATTACTTGATTATGCTCAACAACTTAAATTAAATGCTGGTACTGGAGATGATATTAAAGCAGGAAAAGAAGAAGAATCGTGGAGAATAAATACAGCTGTTGATGAACGTCTTAAATATTCATTGGTGAAAGGAATTGATAAATATATAGACGAGGATATTGAAGAAGCAAGACATAATTATCCACGTCCCTTACATGTTATCGAAGGGCCATTAATGAATGGTATGAGTGAAGTAGGAGAATTATTTGGCGCTGGTAAAATGTTTTTACCACAAGTTATTAAATCAGCAAGAGTCATGAAGAAAGCAGTGAATTATTTAATTCCATTTATGGAAGAAGAAAAACAAAGAAATTTAAAATTATTAAAAGAACAAGGTAGTACCTGTATAAGTGGATTAGATGCACAAGCAACTATTGTTTTAGCCACTGTTAAAGGTAAGTAATATATTTGTAAATGTTTCCTATATTTTTTTAAATTTATTTACTGCTAATTATTAGGTGATGTCCATGATATTGGAAAGAATATTGTTGGTGTTGTACTTGGTTGTAATAATTATCGAGTCATTGATTTAGGTGTTATGACACCCTGTGACAAAATTCTGAAAATTGCAAAAGAAGAAAATGCAGATTTTATTGGTTTATCCGGTTTGATTACTCCATCATTAGACGAAATGATTGTAGTTGCAAAAGAAATGCAACGATTAAACTTTCGTATACCATTATTAATTGGTGGTGCCACTACATCAAAGTAAGAATCCAGTTTTTTTTTTGTTTTCTAAATAGGGCTTCACTAATGACATCTACATATTCATAGTGCAAATGTAAAATAATCCGATGCTGTGTACATTCTCATACTTAATTTTTCGAGTATACTGAAATCATATACTTTGAGAAAACACAGCTTATATAGACTAATCATGTCTAGTGAGAGAGGTATTTAGTTCTTACAAGGATCAACGAAATACGCATCTAAGATTTTTCTATAAGAGACTACTTCGAAAGCATAATCTGCATGACCTGTTTTTATTTTTTTTTGAACAAATATGTCCAAAAGAAAGTCGTTTCAGGATAAATGGCAACCCTGTTAAATTCGCTTATTTCATAGTAGACTTCTATATGGCTCATCAAACTTCCTGGACGATACTATTCGTAAATAAAACATTTTCTTGTTATGTTTTTAGACAACATACCGCAGTTAAAATAGCTCCTCGTTATCATAATGGCCCAGTTATACATGTATTAGATGCATCGAAAAGTGTTGTTGTTTGTGGAAATCTTCTAAGTAAAACAACGATCGGTTTCATCTGTTTTTCTCTAATAATCTACGTTTTCTTTTTAGATAAAGATAAAAAACAAGATTATGTAGAAGATATTGCTGAAGATTATAATGATATTCGTGATGAATATTATGCCAATCTTAAACAAATACGTTGTTTATCATTAAATGATGCTCGAAAAAAACGATGGATTAGCGAAAATGAAAGTGTTAATATAACAAAGCCAACATTTTTAGGTACTGAAGTATTCGATAATATCGATGCAGAAAAATTAATTGCATACATTGATTGGAAACCATTTTTCGATGCTATGCAAATACGTGGCAAATATCCAAATCGTGGCTATCCAAAATTATTTGATTGTAAAGAAGTAGGCGCACAAGCTCGTATTGTTTTTGCTGATGCACAAAAAATTCTATCGGATATTATTGCACGAAAAATATTTTCAATTCGTGCTGTTATTGGATTTTATCCGTGTAAAACAGTCGGTGATGATGTTATTATTTATGATCCAAAAGATCCATCAAAACAAATATCAACATTATTCGGTTTAAGGCAACAAACAGAACGTGATTCAAATGTTTACATGTGTTTATCAGATTTTATATCATCAACTACAACCGACTATATTGGACTTTTTGCATTAGCAGTTTTCAATGTTGAACAAGAAGCACAACGATTAGTACAAAAAGTAAAACAAAACAAGACTACGTTGATTATTTTCTAGTCTTAATATTTATTATTTTGCATAGGAGTCCGATGATTATTCATCGATTATCTTGAAATTATTAGGCGATCGTTTAGCTGAAGCATGTGCTGAATATTTACATGAACGTGTTCGTCGGGAATTGTGGGGTTATGCACCGAGTGAAAATCTATCAATTAAAGAACTACTATCAGTAAAATATCAAGGTATTCGTCCTGCTGCTGGTTATCCAACACAACCCGATCATACCGAAAAGAAAGCGATGTGGAATTTATTAAATGCTGCAGAAGCCGTTGGCATTGAATTAACAGAATCGCTTGCTATGCAGCCACCATCGGCTGTTTCCGGACTTTTTATATCTCATCCTGAATCAACTTATTTTGCCGTTGGAAAAATTAATGAAGATCAAGTATGTTGACGTTAGGAGTAAAAAAATAGATCTAGTGCATCGATATTAGTTTTGATATCTTAAGTGTAATGTTCAAGATTGAAAGGAGAATTCGAAGTAAACGAGTCTTTTTTTTTAAATTAAATCAGCCAAGTCAGAAATGATTATGTTCAGCACCATTAATAATAGAGAATTTTTAATATATTAAAAACTTGGCAAAAGGAAATAATGAATGAAGACACATTTGCATACAAAAATAAACTATTTGTTGTTTATTTTAGGTACATGATTATGCTGATCGAAAAGGAATGTCCGTCAAAGAAGTTGAAAAATGGTTATCACCAATTTTAGCTTATGATGTTGATACACAATAATGAATTTATTTTGATTGTTTGAAAAGTTTTTTTTGTTCTGTCAACAATCGTTATTGTTTTGTTATGATGTTCTAATTTATTGATTGCTAGTGATATAAGAAAATAAATATTAGGTGATGGGATTTTTAGCTATATTATAATTTTACATTTGCTTCAGATTTATTAAAAAGAAATACAATCATGTTAAACAATCGAGAAGCACTACTCAGAGTAAGAATTTCAAACATTCTTTTTGCTTTCAAATAACAATTTGTTATTCTAGTACATAGTTGCGATACATTTTCTTTACACAAGCTTGTAAGATTTAATAGCAATGAAAATCAGCTTTTGATTTAATTGTAAAGCAATTTCCAAATGTTGATCTAGTCAGTTGAATTCTCAGCAATTTTATTTCATAAATAATAAATTCAAATAGAAATATTTTTGAATAGATGCACTGTAATTAATATTAAACTATTTTTCTCGATTATTCTTGAGACTATCAGAGCTCAGATTTTATTGCTTTCATTGATTTAATTTCACTTTCTATTACTTCTTTTTCTTATTACTAGGGCACTGTTAACCGAATGGCTACCACCTACATATTCGCTCAATCAAATGGCTATTTTAGTACTTGGTCTTTGGGCAATAGCACGTCATGAAAGTACAATTCAAGTCGAACTGGTATGTTTTCTATAGATTCTGTTTATCTTATTATTGTTTCGTTTAGTTAATGGTAATTAAATGTGGCTCGATTTTTCTTGATGCAATTTGTATTGGTCTGTATTTTGACCTTGGTCTACGAAGTAAATTTATCCTTACACTTTACTTTATATTTAATATTTTAAAATCTTTGTTTTATAGCTTATCGACTTCTCGATCATAGCTTTTATTTTACAATAAGTGCTTTGTAAGTTTTCTAATTTTGAAAACTACATGACAATAATTGTAATTGTGTTCTAGCTTCGCTATATCTCTTTTAATAATTAAACCGGTCATGCTCATATTATTAAATAAAGTCAGACAAGATCGTCTTGGTGATTCATCATCTTCACCAATATTCACCTCACATAGTAAGATATGTTTAGCAATGATTAAATTCTCATTTTACTTTATTTATTAGGAGCCGGATATACGCAAGTTGAAGGACAACAAACTGTTTGATTTCAAGATTTATAAAATGCATTTTGATACTTTTTGTGATTTTAATTTTGATATACCAAGAGAATTTTAACGCTAGTAATTTTTTATAATAAAATTAAAAACAAATAATCAACAAATGTGAATAAAATTCGTTTTATTTAATTTTATCCTTGAATTTAAATTAATTCACAACATCACATTTGAATTACTTATTGAGTCTAAAATATCGAAAATAGGTCGCATGACATCTTTATTTGATATCACACATGAGAAATATTTTATTTTCATCAGTTTCATTCAATAATATTTTATGTTCAATATCTTTTCCATTAGCCAATTATATTGAAGTACTTTTCTTCATTATAATGTCTTATAGATAACAAGTCTATTTGATTGCTAATTGTTTTTGCACAATTTATAGTCAAATATATCTGATTACATTTTCCAAAAAGCGGTGAACTGTAAATTACGTCAATAAAACAAAATAATAGAAGGTATAAAACCTCATGGTAGTTTCACTGTTTGTTTAATCTGTAACGATTAACTGAGCTTCATATGAGCAATTTCTACGGATAATTTCAGTGATAATGGTCTAATCCTCAAAGAACATATAGAATAATATTGCTTTTTCAAAAAAAAATAAATGTGGAAACTTCGGATTTCATCCGAAAGTTATGTGTACTGCAAAAAGTGCATGGGATGTATGAGTCATTCTAGAATGTCTGAACACCAAAATTATCATGAGAAACTAGGCAATTTGATTTCTGGATGCAGTTTTTGTGCATTTTGAGACGTTTTTCAGGCGATGTTTCATCAGAAAGCTACGGCTTAGCTCAAAACTAATATCAGATTCGGAATCAGCGTTAAAAACTGAGTCGACTTATATATGTTGTGAATAATTCTGAGAAAGATTAATTTTTTGAAAAAAATTCCCTGTACTCCTCCTCAGGGATGGCCTGGTCAAAAGTGACAATTTTTTCGATAACTCAACCATTTCTTGAGGGATTCTTCTCATCTTCGAACTCGATCGAGATATTCATGAGATTGAACTGTGTGGAAAATTTCATCACGGTCTGACTCTCCTTTCGCAAGTTGTCGTGCCTACGGCCGGACGGACACACTGACCGATTCTAGAGTGTACTCACTTTTTGAGTACACAAAAACAACTTGCCAATGTGGCCAATGAGAGGCCGACATGTGCAACTCGTAAAGTCTGACTGTTATCAATTTATGATACATTGTTAGAGGCTTTTGAAAATTTTCTTTGAAAGAAAAAGTCAAGTCAATGAATGAATCAAAATTATAATCAATTTTTTCTCAATTTATTTGATTTACTTAACATCATTATACTGTAAAAGCGTATTTGAATCAGGATAGACATCTTCAATACAGAATTGCTTCTCTCCAAATGAAAATATAAATATCTGCGATATGTACCCCTGGAAACAGCAAATATAATCTTATTCTTCGCTTCGATCGTACAATTCCCATATTTAACTGCTGCATATACTGATTTTCTCGTTCGGTAATCTACCGCGCACACTATCCTTTGACTCTGCAAATGTTGACTTGTACCGCTGAGTTTTATCTATTTGATTGACAGCTACAATATACAATCTACGCTTTGCATGATAAATTCGAACCCGCACTAATTAGACTAAAATATTAAAATCTACAGAGTTTTCGAATGATCTAAGCACTGATTATACTAATGCTCCATTCACACAAAACCAAATCAGTTTAAATCATATTAGTGAGATTCATTTTTCTTGTCTTGTTTTAGATCATTACATTCATGTATACAATCACGACGACGACGACGACGACGACGTTAAATTGAAATGAAAATACAATTCGGTACGAAAAACTCCGACAGTGTATGCTTTGCTCTTCTTTTTAATTATTCAGCTCTCGCAGCGTCGTTCATTGGCCTGGCTCTCTTACACCCGCTTGAGAAATGTAAGAGATCGACTGTTCACTTACAAATGTCGAATTTCACATAATTGTTTACGATCAAGTCATTTTGTAATCTTTCTTTTGAGAAATGCCTTTGCTCTGTTTTATCAAACAAAACCGAAAGCTCGAACAACTGTATTACCGATACTGAGCTTCAATTTAGCCGCATTTTGCCACTCGTGTCATTCGTATTGCAGATATGTCTTATTCGAGAACTTTTCACGCTAGCTATAAATATTGATTCCAAGCGTATGCTCGTCTATATTATGTGGACAGCTTCTTTTTTTACTTTCGTTGCTCTTATGATTGGGATTTACTGAAAAAATTGTTCTCATCATTACATAAGTTGTATGCTTTTTTCTACATGTGTGCCATTGTTTTTTCTCACTGTTCATGATGTGTTGGTTAATACAGCATATTCAAGAGTTGTTCACAATAGTACTGTTAATACGGATACGAACCATACACAAAGAAATGAAGATAAAATAAAATCTTGGAAAGAATTACTTTAATTCTATATAAAATTTCTTTCTTTTGCCGATCTACTGATTGGCTAACTCACTCTCGTTCTATTTACTTTCGACTGTACAGAATATGCGAATATTATTCTTGTCACTTTTATTCTATTCTATAAATAAATTTTTGGTTTCTCATTATTTGTGTTGTAAGAGCCAATAGACCTTGTGCAGGCAGTATTTTCATTTTTTTTCTCTCATGTTTATGGCAAAACCCTTTTTCATTGTACGATATATTAAAATAAAATATATAACTGTGTAAGTTATAGCAAATTACTTAATTAATTGTCGTTTGCCTATTTCATCGATAAGATGATATTCGGTAATCTGAACTGAAAAATTTCATAAAACGTGATATAATCTGTTCATCAGTAGTACTATTTTGATCCTTAGAAACATGAGTATAGTAAAAAACCTTCCTATCTGATAAGCTTTTTCGATTTGCAATATCTGTTTTGGTTTTTAATTAAGTTTATGCTAAACAGTATTCAGAACTTTTTTGAATGTGCACTGAAAGTGAAGCGTTTCAGCTTACGTTTTGACGTCTCTCTTATGTTGTTCGTATAGTTAATTTCAAAATATATCCGAATTTCAATATTGTGCTTAATATTTTTGACAAATTAAAAGATCTTCTATCGAATGATCCAATCAGAACAGCTATACATTTGTTTTCATAAGTTGCTGTCGGATATATAATCCCCAGGTGCAACATTCATCATACTTTTGAACTTGTGTGATCTTCTAAAAAACCAAGCGGAAATCGTATCGAACATCGCCATACGCAGTATTGTAGTGTTAAACTCTTCAAAGATAGTACCGACCTATGATATGTCACTGTAAAGTTATCGGAATTTCATGTGTCAATACGGTCTTTTCGAAATCTTATAGTAAGCTTCTAATAGTCACGATTTTTCGTACCAGTTTCATATGACGTCGTCTGACCTGCAAGATTTTGCCCGATTGTTATGGTTTAGGTATGCGCAATGTATAAATTTTGCATATAATTTACAAATATCTGGATAATATTGCAAGATTGTTCGATGCTGTACTAATCTACTACACTGGATGCTTGTTGTAGAAAAATAATGTATCCTAAGTTTTCAACATGCTTTACAGTAAGTAATTGCGTTTCTTATGTTAGAAACAGTCAAATCAGAACACGATAATAGAATCAATTTAAAACAACTACATACATGTTGAAAAATCCTTTCAGTCGTATCTATATTATTACACTTCATGTACTCTTGCAAATTCTTTATTTATTGTGTTGCAATTTTATGCTAGAAATAGTGATAAATTAAGTTGACAATACGCGTGGTTCGTTTTGTTTGTACGTCTCAATCTTTATACTAACTTTACAAAATCTTCCGATTGGCGATATTATCAAAATATAACCTGAACTCACTTTATTTATTCCATTCAAACGTTTATTAAATTAATTAAGTAAGTAAGTTATATGAATTCTAGTTTGATTAAACTAATGAGCACTGTATAGTAATGAGAGTCACCGCATATTATAATAATACCATTTTATACGTATACACGATTCCCGATTTTTCTCAACTGTGTCGCGTACTAAATCTTTGCGGGGAACTACCTTACTGTCAGTTTATGCTGATGGAGGAGGCGTTTTTAGATCCCACACCCAAAAGCCATAAAATGTATAACTTTAGTGTCCGTACCGTCTATCAACAGAGAGGGAGAACAATATTATTATTTTATGATAAAGTTTCCATTGTCTTGATGACATCTTATCAGAGAAAAAGCATGAGCTGGATATGGGTGTCAGTCGTGGTATACATACAATTTGGATGCATATACTCACACTCACATCCACACCACCAACCCATAAATCTAACTCAACTTTATAGTAATATTTGAATTTAGCTTACATAAAAAAAGACAAGTCTTTATTAGAAACGAAGAAATATATGAGAAATTTGAATCAATTAAAAATTAGCAAATAATAACTAACCATAATTTTCGACTAACATTGTTCAGTGACATAAAAATACATTTCTATTTTTCAGATTGAATTTCACGTTTTTTTGCTAGTATTTTCTCATCTACATAAAGCTCTGATGAACATGCACTTACCACATAAATATAGTTTTAATTGGTTGTTAATCGGAGATTTAATGAGTTATAATTATCTAGAATGACTTCGAAATGAATCTCTGGTTTATTGCTAGCTACAATTCTGAAAATTTGAGGGAAACCTTCTATACTATGAAGCATTCTTTGGTGAAAGTTTCAAGCTAAATGGTTGAAAAAAGTTGCAAATTCTAAGAAATTTCTAATAGACTACTGTCAGGTATATGTCAATGATTGTTAAAGAATACTTAATAACTCGGGTAAATAAAGGCCGTGTAGCATGAAACTTTTATCGAAAAGAGAAGCAACTTTGCTCTCGCTAATGAGGTATTATATACTATAAGATTTGCTTCTGGTGCTGAGATACCCTTATTTGAAGATAAGGCTCATTTTCATCTTGTAGTTCCCTTGTATTCTATGTACAGTATTAATATGAGCCCAAACGGTTGAGGTTTAGATAGATTTCTAGGGGTAGCGGGATTTTTTCCGTGTATTGTAGATGATAGTGCGTATTATTAAATAACGAAATGGAATGGAAAACTTCAAATCAATGATCATCATTCGATGTATCGACTTTTTAACAAATAATTAATACGAAATAAATTTAGTGATAGTTTTTGAAACATTCTTTGTATTTCTCTATTACGTTCTTTTTTCCAACAGTTCAACTAGAATGATCTATCTTAGTCACTTGTATTAACTACAGAATGCTAATCAAGTCTAACTATTCGACGCTGTTAGATATTGAAAAAGTTTTAATTAGTAAAATATTTTCTGGAATAATTCAGTTGCTCGTTTGAAACTATTGACTGCATTTGAATTTCATAATCATCATATTTACTTATTGCATGGTTAGAAACAATTCCTTGATGCTTATAACAACAGAACGACATTAAAAAAGTCACATGCAACTATGTTGACACATTTCATTTTATCCATCACATTTCGTTACGTTCGAACACCAACGACAACTTAAAGACAGCAAATAAAGAAGGTAGGCAATACACTGAATCATTTTATTGGTTAACCTATCAAAACCCATTCAGAAGAGTATAATCATCTTTTAACGCCGTGTTGAGTATAAATATTTGCCATGCTAATCCATCACTCTATGTGTTAGTACTACACGTAGAACACAAGTTGATAGACCTGAGATAAATTTCCCTCATACTATTAAATCAATAGACGATGCAGATAGATAGGAACGTTATTATCAACACAGACACTGCTATTACGGATATCTGTATATATCGAGCTTTTGTTCTGTAAAAATCTTAATTCTGACAGAAGTATCTCATTCGTCAAAAATAAAAAATATTGTCATATGCTCACTTCTTGATATAATCGGTATGGCATATAAATTTCTGTAATGAAATTGATTTGATGCAAGGAACTGAAAGAAAATTTTCTTTGAAATATATGGTAATTTCTTCGTAGCGATGCAAACACTAGGCGACGATCAGCTACCGGTGACATGGGAGCGATCCATAAAGGATCAAAAACGATTTTTATTATTGGAAAATACAGATGAGTACCAATCTGTATTGACTTATTTCAATCAAACAATCAATGAAAAATGTAACCAACTGATAAAAATCGAACGTATTCAAAATGAGACATGTTTCGGTCAATATCTAGTCCAATGGCAAGAATTTGAGAAAAGATTGAAGAAAAATACTGAAAAGCGTTTGTACCACGGTTGCCCTGAACAAGCAGTAAATTCAATTATAGAGACCAATTTCGATAAAAGTTTTAGTGGACTAAATGGTAAGCTTTTTGTTTTCGGAAATTTTCGTTCGAAAAGGTGTAGTTTTTAGGAGCGATATATGGTGTTGGCGTTTATTTTTCATCAAAAGCAGACTTCAGTCATGGCTATACTGTACCAAATGATAATGGAGAACGATATATATTTCTCGCACGAGTGCTACTTGGGAAAACCACTTCGGCTAGCAAGTCAATGAAAAGCCCACCTCCAGGATTCGATTCAGCAACTGATAGAAATCTTATTTATGTCACTTATCATGATGCACAAACCTACCCTGAATATTTGATTACTTATCGGTAGAGTTGAGTAACTCTCGTCTTAAGTTCTGCTGCTAGTAATTGAATTTCTAAATGATTTTCAATAATACGTAGAGCGTGATACTTTCTCTTTTATTTTTAATTCGACTTATTTTCATGATCATTCAGAAATGAATTTTTTCACAAAAAAGCAACTCTATTCTAGGAATCTGTTAGTTAGATAACTAATATTAATAATAGAAATGATCATAAATTTGAATGATTGTTAATGAATTATCAGCTTCAAATCGAGTACATTCACGTATAAAAGAAAACAGATTCCTTATTTTAACACGTAAAATAATATGTGTTTGATTTGGATCCACTGGATTCTTAAATTCATATATAATATCCATATTTGATCGTTGCTTTACCCATACTAGACGTTCCTCATTATTATTATTAACTGCTAATTCAAGTTGAATTTGTTCATTTTGTTGTGATATCGATATGAGATTAAATTTTATTGAATGTAAAGCAAATTTTTTTAATATCGATGTAAATGTATGATGTCTTGGTACTTGTATAGCATATAGATGATTTTCTTTTAACATTTGTATATCATTAATTCTTTCATCAATAGATTCTTTAAAATTAAATTCTTCATGATGATCATCAACTTTTTCAATAATTAATTGTTCATATTCATCTTTATATTGAGCAGCAGGTATAGCTCGAATAATAGCTGAAACAAATTCTAATTGCAAAAATGCTACAGTTAAAAACGTACCAACAGTAATACTCATTAAAAATGCAGGGGATATAAATAGTGCTGCTATTATGCCATATTTTCTTATAGCAAAGTCAGCTTCCGTAAGACTTAATGACCAATAAATTGAAATATATTTCATAAAAGGAAAATAATAAAAAGGTGTATGATTTAAATATGCTCCAAATGCCATGAGTATACGAACAACTAACCATTCACAGGGACGAAAATAATTTGATTCAAAATAAGCAGACACTTTTGTGTAGGTTTTATTCGAAATTATCTCATTCGTATCGTTCGTATTGATACATTCTGTTTCGGGTTTTCTAAAAGTCAACATTATGTCATCAGTTGGATCATCTTCTTGTTCATCGTAAATAAAAGTATCTTGAAAGCCTGTTTGTCGCACACAAGAACGCCATTGTTCAATAGTACGAAATGCTCGTATTTCTTTTCTCTCTGATTCACAATCAACACCAGTAACGGCATTAAATACCATATGAGCAACGTCTAACAATGGTTTAAGTTCTTCTTTTGCATGATGTTCACGAAATAGAAATAAACCGTTCGGACGAAGAATTCGATAGATCACTTTTAAAAATATATCAAGTTGATTCTGTGGTAAATGATGCAAACCCATATAACAAACAACAAGATCAGTCGAATCGCTAGGAATGGGAACATCGGTTAGATTTGAAAAATTACAAGGAACAAATCTGCCAATAGGAAATAATGTTCTCCGTTCGATGATATCCGTCCAACGTTGACGATCATTAACAATGTAAACAAGACCATCTTTTATTTTTAATATTTGACGTAGTTCATTAATACATCGACCACCATCGCCAATACTGACTATATCCCGAATCTACAAATTAGATAATACACAGAATAATCTTGCTTATCCTCTATTTACAAAGATATATATATATATATATTTTACCTTTCCACAATATCCTAAATGTTTGAAAATTGTAATTTGTTGTCTTAACATATCGTTAATTTGACATCTCAGTTGTCGAAATTGTTTAAGTGTTGCAAATATTTTTCGTATCAAAGCAAATTGTCTTGTTTTTAAAGCATTTTGCACTTCCAAATAGATATCATCATCATTTCTGTTATTTGGATTTCTAACAGCTCGATTGACATAATTAAAAATGACATGAACAGGTTCAACATTGAAAACTGTTTGAAGAAATTTTCTGAATTTTTCTCTTAAATACTCATTAGAAATAACCTTATGAAATGAGTTCGTTCGACGTTGTTCAACAATGCTAAATTTATTTGTTATTAATTCAACTTCATTAATTTGATTTACCATAATTGAAACAGTACTTTTCGGTCGATAATATTCATACCAATCGTTTGAAAATAATCCAATTGAATCATATGAAGTTTTTTTCTCAAGAAATTCTTCAAACATTGGATACGCTTGAAGAATTTGCTGATACGTATAATGTTGCCGATAGGGAAGATAGAATGTTCCTTGACATTGAAAAGCCAATTGAATCAATGTTTGATGAATACTTTTTACTTCATTATCACCAAGTTCATTTCGTTTGATACGAAAATAAAAAACAAATGCATATGAATCATGTCGTTTTGTATAGGAAAGAAATGTTAATTGATCTCTTTTTACAAAACGTATTGTTAAATTTAACAAGTAAACATATTCATATTTGCGTTTAAGAATATCTTTTAGTTTTTCATACCATTGTTGAAAGTTTTGTTCTGGTATAAAATATTCTTGTAATACAAATGTATCATCATAATAAGTTAATGGTTGATATAAAAGTGCCATAGGTTTAGCTGATTCGTACATAGTTACGTTACGATCACTCGAATAAGTTAAATCAAGTGGACGAGCAAACATTTTTTCTAACGCAAAGCGTAAACGAGCGAATGCACTATATTGAGCAACATATGTATAAATCAAATGTTGTCGTGCATTCATGACTCTTGCTTCGTCACTTAAATTAGCAACAGTACCAAATGTTCCTGATTCTTGACGAAATATAAACAATAAAATATTGTTCGGACGAACAAGATCAACGCGAGCAATTTTTATTTCAATTGTTGAATCATGAAGAAATTCTTCGTAATATTTAGAAAATTGATCGGACTACAAGAAAAGATGAAAAATCGATAGTATGAATGTAATATCTGTAAAAACTGCTTCTAACGAATCTCATGATATCCGTTCAAGTTTATCAGTCGTGTCATTTTGCCTTAGAAAAAAAATTAAGTTTAAAATATCTCATAAAATATATTGTCGCGAATGAACGCATGTTAAAAGTGTGTCTAAAGATAGATTAGTAGTGAAAATAAAAATTTACTTGTAAGCGAATATATTCCAATGAAGTTTTAACATTTGCTACAGTTTTTAATCTTAATCGAGTAATTATACCGAAGAGACCGTAGCCTCCGATAAGTAATGAAAATAATTCTGCTTGTTTTTGACGGCTACATTCACCTCTTTTACCATTCATATCAATATATTCAATACTGATAACAGATTCAATCATAGCATCATCCGAAGTAATTCCATGTGCATTAACTGATATTGTTCCAGCAACACTAAACGTACAATAACTTTGCATAATAACCGGAGATCGACCATATAAATTCAGTTTATGAATAACTTGAGTCCATGTTGCACCAGCCTCGACTAAAACTTCTTGTGTTGATCCATTATATTCAACATGATGCATATATTTTAAATCACAAACATAGTTCTTATTTTTATTTCTTCGTGATGGTAATGTTTGCCCACCCATTGTATGAGCTTGTCCACGCATAGATATTGTTTTACCTTGAGATTTAGCTTTCGATATTAAATATTCAATGTCATTGATTGTTCGCGGATAAAACAAAGAATATATTTCTGTTTCATTTAACTTTGATACATCGTTTAAATAAATATTACCTATAAAGATGAAAAATCTACAGTAAATCTCAAGTATAACTTCAATAGTTCACATTATTTTGTTGCGTCTTTTTTTACATGAAGACTATGACGAATCGATAGTAATCAAAGTCTTTATTAAAAGCAATCAACACCTTTGCTTGCTCGATACTTAGAAACATCGGGGTGAGGGGAGGGGGTATGACAACTGGGTTACCTTCAGTTGTAATTACATTTCTAAAATCAGATATTACCTGTCAAGTTCAAATCAAATTTTGATGTTGGCATAAGATATTGATAACATACATATAATCCTAGACCTATAATAATATAGAGTATGAGTAACGGACTAGTAAATAAATTTGTAACATTGATGTTTATAGTGGAGATTAATTGAAATAGTATATTAATAAATAATAAAATTAAGAATGATAATGGTGTTGGTATTGTAATAGAAAAATATTTTCCAAAAATTTTCATTTTTTTTGCAACAGTGAGAAAAACTTTCTTTGACATTTGAGTAATTCGATCATTTTTAATAATTGAATAGATACCAAATAGGAGAAGAATCATAGTTATTAATGTAGAATAAGGATGCGAAAACAAATTGTTTTGTATTTCTTTCGGAAAACTGTTTTTGTTTAATATTTCGGATGAAAGTTGTTTTCGATTTTTCTTACCAGTAAATTTTAATATAACTAACCAAAGTTTTAAAATAATTACCAATAAATAAATAAAAACCGGTACATTAATAACAATTGGTTTTTTTATTATTGATTTTAAAAATTGTTTTATCATATGAAAAATTTTTCGAACTGAAAATATAAATTTTGGTATTCCAATTAAACAAATAATCATAATAAATATTGTTATTATTTTATTTGCTTTCCATAAATTAAAAATATATGCAAAATAGTAAATAATAATGAAAAAATCTGTTCTAATTAATACGAGAAATAATTTTAAAAACCAATCCGAAAGACAAACAATAATCAATGCCGAAGATAGATGCGTATTTCCAACGATCTGCTTTCTATTTGTCTCCATTTTTTTATTCTAAAATTTGTCAAATGTCGGTTTGCTTTTATCAGGTTGTTAATACTGAGTAAAATCTTTCAAAAACATATTTCACGATAATTGCAAGGAGAAGAAAAAAGAAAGAAGAGACGTAAACATATTTAATCAAGGCTACATCGCATAGTCATTTTATTTTTTCATATAAAAAGAACGAAAGGTTTTAGAAAAAAAAAACGATGTACAAATTTGCATCAACTAATAACACGTGTGTGTATGTGTAAATTTAGAACAAATATTGACCACAAAACGACTGTTGTTATCAGCTATCGAAAAAGAGTCAAAGCAATGGATCAAGTGATCTTGATTTAATCATTATTAGAATCTAGTTTGCATCGGAAATTTGCCATTCGAAAAATATTATGAAACGATAAAATGAAATAGTTAACACATGAAAAATACACCCTTTTTTCTAAAGCAGTAAATTATCTTATTTGATAGCTCAGCCAAACTGAGAGTATGAACAAGTTTATTAATATTGTTTCTATAGACGTGTACATAATGCTTGGACAGAATAAAAACTTGTTCTCTCATATTTATCACAAATAGAAAAATCAAAAATATTTTCCATCGTTTTAATTTACTGAGTTAATGAAATGTTTTATTCTTCAGAGGTTATCTTTCAAAGTACAAATGTTGATCTGGCTGAATTTGTTGTTCTCTGTACAATACATCGATACTTTAATTGGTGATATCAAACTCTTTGTTATGGGTTATCGGTTAGTCATGAAAAAAACAAAAATAGAGAATGAAATACATACACATGTACATAATAGATAAATTCAATGTCAGTAGCTGCCTATTTGATCTTTCTCTATTGTCATACACGATCAGTTCGCCACTCGCATCATCATTTATCTTTTTAGTCGATGACAATAATGAATTGCATAAATTGTTCTTTTACCAACTGTGGATTTCTTTTTGATGAACAGTATTCATAGGATTCTGAGATATTCTTGCATGTAATCAAATCAGAAATGAAGTCCACTAGAAAACAACGAATGCATAAGAAACAAAAATTTCTCCTAATTTGAAATCTTATAGACAAGTCTATTAAACTTAATATATTATTACAATTTTTAGATTAATATGTCCTGTTGTCTTGATCAATTACCAATCGAAATCTTTCATCGAATATTTAATCATTTATGGGCTCATGAAATTTTATATTCGTTTTACACCATCAACGACTATCTGAATAATATTATAACACATTACGACAATTATTTGATTAATTTTGAATCAATTCGAAAATCTCACTTTGATCGTGTATGTCGCCATATTCGACCGGATCAAGTTATTTCGTTAGTTTTATCTGATGCAACAGAAACACCGAATCAATTTAAACTATTTCAATCATTTTTCTACATTGAACAATTTACTCGTTTACGTGCATTAAAATTAATCGATTTGAATGACGACGGTAGTACATTCTTCTTCCAATTGTATCAACTTCAACATCTGGTTTCTCTTGAAATCAACGTTGACATTGAGTTTCCATTAGTTAGATGTACACCACCACTTGAAAGATTGATCATTAATATTCCATCAGGTGTTTATTTTGATATTGAACCAGCAATTGATTTGATTTCGTTTGAACAATTACGGTATTTGTCAATATCCAATATTTCCTGTATGATGTTAAAACGAATATTTTCTCAAGCTAATCAACTTAAATCACTTGAAATTTCCTTTCAATTTTTAAACACAATCGATAGCGCCTTATTGGCTGATATTCATCAAGGACAAGTAACAACACCGGCACTTGTGTCTCTGTCATTGAACATTGTTGCATCTAGTGAGTTTTAAGATCGTACTATGCATTAACTTCTTTTTTTTCATTTGTTTTTAGTACAAGTAATAACACGAGCTCATATCGAACGATTTCTGGCTCCGTTCCATCGTCTACGACAATTGGAATTAGTTGTTACCATCGGTGCAGATCCTCCATTTGCCGATGCTTATCAATGGGAACGATTTATTGTCGAATATCTCCCACAATTAGTAACATTTAATTTTAAATTCTCTTCTTTGCATATCAATCAAAATATGCTCAATCGATTTCGTTCTTCGTTTTGGCTCAATAAGCGTTGGTTTGTTGCTTGTAATCTAGATGGTCGGTGTCTATTCACTGTACCTCATTTTGCTCCAACTTCAATGAGCAATGCATGTGCTCCAGTATCATCAGAATGTACAACGTTACCTGTTGAAGAACATATTATTTTATATGATCGTGTTACTCAATTAGTGTACGAATCAGATCAGTGGAACTTACATTATCGTTATAATCATGTTAAAAAACTTTTTCTCAACGATCCTTACATGCAAGAGAATATTGTTGATCTATCTCAAGTACAATCACTATATGTTAATACTTCTGATTGGTCATTGTATATGATATTAACATTGCTTAAAGAAGATATGCCTTCGGTCAATTATCTTAGCCTCAATTGTGCCTATACCAATATAGATTATCAAGATTTTCCTAATATTTCATTACCACAAATTCAAATATTGTGTTTACCTAAATATGGACAATATCTAGATAATGATAGACTTCATTTAACTCAATTTTTTCCATGCGTGGAACGATTAAGAGTTTCGATTAATTCGAAACATCAAATTCCATTTCTAATTGATCATTTTAAAAATATGCTCAGTGGCTTCTTTTATTTTAATTCATCTGAATACGATGGGAACAAACGAATTCGAATGACACGTCAATGGTTAAAGGAGCAAACTGATCGTTTAAGAGGAAGCAACAGGAACAATTTTATTTGTCAAATTGAGGATAAATTTTTTTTTCAAGTATCTATATGGATCGGTGATAATGACGAAGTACGTATTATGAACAAATTCTCATTAACATCATTTTCGTCGGTATATTTTTTGTTTCAGGTAGATCATAAAGGTCAACGAGTAGTACGTAGAAAACCCTGGTGGCATCAACGTTTTCGATGGCATTCAGTCAAATAGACAAAAAAAATACTATTAATAAATTCATCTTATTTTTCTTTGTTAATTTAAATTCATTCACAATAAATCTATCAGTACTATAATTCAGCTATAATTTGGTCGACAGTTTCAAATCGATTGCATTACTAATCATAAAATGAAAAGACGATAATGTGTGTGAAAAGTTTTTCGAGAAAAATACACGGAAGCTACTGTTCGGTAACATAACGATAAATTTCAAGATGAGCACAGGAATACTAACTTTTAAATTGCTACTTGATGTTTTGCAAAAACAAATAAACCTTAAATACTTGAGCTTGTAGCGAATGGTTCAAATCATTTTGTTATTCCTATCTTAAAATATTTTTAGAACATTCTCATTACAACTTTTCCTATTAGAAAAACAGCGCTTCGACTTAGCCTACATAGAATGATTCATTCATCGATCAAAGCTGGGCGAAATACTCGAAGTACTCGTACTCGTACTCGAAAAAGTCCGTACTTGCCCAGCTCTGTCATCGATATATGATAAACCGTAGAAACTTCATGAAGCAATCGTATTTGAGAAATAAACATTCATTTCTAGCATTCCAAAAAGTAAGCTTTTGCAGATTTCAGTTATGCAGTGCGCTGAAAACATTATTTTACTTTTCACTCAACGATACGCTAGATACTTGTACTGACGGGAATCAAATTAATATTAGTTACTTCCTCTCTAATATAATGACAATTAGAGAAATGCTTGTTAAACTCTATTAAGGAAAAATTCTTATTAATGATGTCTGACTAAAACTTCATCGATATCGTCTTATATAATTTCATATTGCAATGCAAGTGAAACTGCGAAAATAAAGCGTACTTCTCAACAAGTTAGGAAAGCAAAGATCACGAAATTGACAGCATAATTGAATTTCTTTTTCTATCTTCGTCGATACTTGAGAATCAAAGATCAATAAATAAACAACAATGAATAAAATCACATTTTTGTTTTCAATCTAGAAAGGTAATTTTTTCTTATGAAAAAAGAATATATGCTATACATTATTTTCATCTTTCTATTTTGAAGACATGAAGATCTATAACGTTTGAAAAACAAGACTAAAAACAACAAATTTTCAGTATATCAACATCGACAACTAGATATACAATACACATTAGTTCTCACATTCTTCACTATTACGAAGTCTACCGTGAAATCTATTAGTAAGTGAATCGCAGAATATTCGGATAATCAAAAGAATATCGATAGCATCTAAATAGATTCTACTGAAAATGGCAATGATGACAACAACGGATATGACTACAATACCATCAAGGAATTCTCAAATGCGTTCGCAATATAGTGTTGCTGATGAACGACAGATACAACCATATCAACATCCAGGAGGATATCAAGCATGGGCAGCAGAAGGATCTAAAGAACCGTTTGTTTCTTCCAATATCAAGTTAGATTACTCAAAAATTGTTTCATAAAGTATAACATTATATTTTTATTTTCAGTCGAAATGATTCAGTATCATTTAAAAAATATCTTACAACAAAATGTGTAATGTCCTTTCTTATTGGTTTTATTATTTGTGGTATTCCTTTGGCTATTATGGGTGCTTTGTATGCACAAAAAAGTAAATTCACTAGTTTTATCATTCTTGGATCTATTATAATAAATTCTACGATTAAATTTAGTATCATCTAATTCCAGTTCTGGAAGTTCAAGTAGAGTAAAATGCTATTCTCATTTTCTATCAAATTAGTTTTCCATATAGATCCTACTAGTTCAACAAATCTTCCTACACAATGCACGTCATACACATCCATTGCAGATACAACACGTCTTACAAGTTACACATCATGTGTTAGTTGCTTCTGGGATATAAGCCCATATTTTATGGCAGGTTGGTATAGATTTATTGCTCCCGGTGGTACTCAAATGCCGGCAATGCCTCCGAGTACTGGAGCTTGTGGTGCTGCATGGCCAACTTGGTACAATGGTACTTATCCATCGACTTCTGGCTCAACAGTATCCAGTGCAGTTTGTGCACAGGCTAGTGGTACCTTATGTCATCCGTCATATTACATGCCAGTGTCTATTACAAATTGTAATGGTTATTACGTTTTCTATTTAACTCCGGTGTCTACAACCAATATCAGATACTGTGCATCATTTTAAATTCTATTTGGCCGACATAAAGAAAAAAACAATAAATTTTCTTGATATGATGCTTTTTCAGTGTGATTTACTCTTTTATTATTCAAATACAGAAAATTCTATTTTATCTGAATTATTCTTCTCAATTCGCATTTATGTTCAAATACCAATAGAAAGATAATTTCTATTTTCTATTTTAACGAAGCTAAAAGAGAAAAATAAAGTTCGAGAGAGAAATAGTTATTTCATACAAACAATGCATTCCAGCAAAACAATTCGTAAGTTAATTACAAGTCGAAAACAAAGCTATATGTGCTGTAACTCACTAAAAATATGACGTAATCTTATCTCTCACATGAATCGAATGTTTTCACATAGACAACACTAATTTTTTCTAGAATAAACACGAATGTACTTTTAAAAACAGAGCATCGGCCTTCAAAATATTTATTCATTATGATCAAAAATTTAATTTTAAAGAAACATAACTTCGAAAGAGAAAAACATATTCATCAATATTGATGATTCTTTCTTTTTTTGCATACAATATTTTCTATCCCTAAATACTGTTCAATTCATTCTATTTTCTTTAAAGCAGTTCAAATTTTATACTTATTGTTTTTGTTTTCGACTGATTTTCCTTCATGCTACACATAGCTTTGAAACAACGTATAGAAATATTATTTGTCACTCAAGCATCTCTATTTCATTAGACTGCTTTTTATATTATTGTTCCAACGCAATTGTGAGATCAATGATGACTTATAAAAAGAAAACTAAATAAATAAATATATATTCAGTCTATCAAGTATTGATTCAAGGGATCATATAGAATATAAACTAATTTTTTTCAAATTTGTACTCAACAACTCGCCATTTTCAGAATACGAAACTCAGTGTTAAAATCACACGCAAACGCTATTGCTCAGAATACAATACAAAAAATGACTTCTTGGGACAAAAATAGTTTTTCAAGACCAGTTGATCCATCATCATCATCAATGCGAAATGCTCCAGCACTAACGATGCCAACAAATAATTATTTTGTACCAGTTTCAAAATATAGTTCTCAAGTTCATCCACAGTATGGTGGTGATGGACGACAAATACAACAACCAGGGTATCAACCAAAATATATTGAAGCATCGCAACCAACACGAGTAGATATCAGTCAGACGAGGTAAAAATCAACAGACATATTTTATTTTGTGACGAGTATCAATAATTTATCATTATTTTTCAATTTCAAAGTGAGCCCAAATCATGGATAGATCGTATCACAGTAAGCCATGTAGTTGGGTTTTTTCCGGGTCTTCTGCTTACTGCGATTCCAATGGGTGTACTCATTACTTTATATGTTCTGGCATGTAAGTTTCCGAGAATAACTATAATTTTATCTAATGTATTCATGGATTTTTGTTTTCTGAATTCAACAGCATCGTCTAATAATACGACAAGCTCCACAGTATCATGTAAGAAATAGTTTTCTTGTAATCCTTTTTCTATTCAAACAATGAAATGATTTTCTTTCTAGCAACAAGTGCGACATCAGTCACTCTACCGTATCAATGTACGACTTACAGTTCAATCAATGATATGTCACGTCTCTCAAATTATAATGCTGGCTGTTGTCCTTGTGATTCTAGTTACAATGGTTGGTATCGATTTATAGGATCATCAGGCAGCCAATTGATTACATTTCCTGTGAACATAGGTTTTTGTAGTACAAGTGCTCCTGGTTGGTGGAATGGTACTCATCCATCAACTGTTGGTGCAACGGCAAATGGAAATTTTTGTACTAATTATGCTGGATATATATGTAATCCATCGTACTCAGCTGCTTCGGTGCTTGCAACTAATTGTAGTGGATTTTATGTTTATTATTTAGTACCTCTTTATTGTTGCTGTGGCATTTACCCACGCTACTGCACTATGTAGAAGCTATTACGACATCATAGTCGTAGATATGTTAATACCTATTAATTTAGCAAAAATTTACATTCAAAAACTAGATTCTTATTTTTTTGTATTTAATCTTTCATGACACAGTCTGCATTTCATTTCACAGAATAAAAAGCAAAACATAATAAATTGCTTCAAGACAATGTAAAATATAGTGCCAGTTAAAATTTTGATAAACAATAAAATTCGATATAAAGCGATGAAAAAAACTCGGAATGGGCATCTGTATTCAACGGTGTTCACTAAGAACGTCAGTAAGATTAAACAAAACAGGTATATCGATGTTTGTAATTTTTAACGTCGCTAAAATTTTTATAAACTTCAACCATTTATAAAGTTAATGAAATTCATACAATATTCATACATATTGTACGAATATAAAAGCTAATTGCATTGATGAATTTCATTCAATATGATATCAGATAGTAACTTTAGCTAATCTCAACTATTATGAAGATTTAAACAGTTTTCATGCATATCTTTGTTAGCTTTCTGCAATCTTCGTAATCAACTATTTTTTTCCTTTACTTAAAAAAGTCAATACAAACTACAATTTTCACCCATGTTTCCAATCACTTTTACATAATATTACACGCATAGTAAAAGATCGGATATGAACATCACATCAGAATATCAATACTTTCCTTGTGAAAGATGTCTGATTTCCCTTAGCATTATTCATTTCTAAAATCTTATTGTGTATATGTTTTAAGTCACGTTTCTTTGAAATTGAAAAATAATAAAACGCTTGATTTTGTCCAATCGAAATTCATATTTTATTCTGGTTTCAAAATGAAATTAGATGATTTCTTTGTTTTTGTAGTAACATGATGCATATATGATGAAATAATCTAAATTAAAATTTTCAATCAGACGTATTCTGAATCATGTTTATTGTTTAAATAAGATGCTGAAATTTAGAATAATTGAACGTAATTATATATAAAAATCAAACGGGTTGAATTATAAAAAACACTTAAGAAATTAATTTTTTTAAATAAAAAATGAGTAGTTGATTAAATTTAGTTCTATGATTCAGAGAATAATAAAAGCACAAATAGATTTAATGTTTGTCTTCACTCTAAAATTTAATCTATCAAGTAATTTTATATTAAAATAATCATTAATAATGGAAAAGTAAACATGTTTTACATCTAAAATATATTCACGCGATTATAATTACACGAACACTTTATATTTCTTATTATTTCAAGAATCTCATTAGTATTGAATTTGTGATCAATATTTTTTTTTATCAAATTTCTCACTTGAAAAAAAAGAGGTATAGAAAGAAAGTTTCCTAATGAAGAAAATAACATCGATACGAGCTAAGAACTGCAAAAGATAGTTTATTTGGATAGCTGTTTTTTTATAGAAAAAAATTAACTTCGTCGATTTAATAAGATAATTAAATTTTACAAAACATTTGGCAAATAAAGTATGCTACTGTTGGGACAATTGTGTAGACTTTTATTGTCTCTGCAGCATGTTCGCGTTCTGAAGATTGATTATGTATGCATCAGCGACATAAAATAACCAACTTCAAATTGTTGTCATTGCAGACAGCAAATGATATACGTAATAGTTCCCAGTATTTCATACTTCGTCTAAAATGTAAGTCAAAATAAATATATGTGAAGCAAAAAATCACGCTGAGATATTTAATGAGTTGATTAAAGAGAAAATCAAATTGACATGACTATCTTGCTCAAATCCTGAGATGTGAGATATTTTTCTTGTATCCATATTTTATTTTTATTTAGTAACAACGTATCTCGAGCAGATTAGCAAAGTTTCTTTGATTGGAATTAATTCTTCTTCTCGGATTATAACTGACGATGACTACTGTTTTTAAATACATTTTGTGAAATAAAAACGATTCTTAACCAAGCAAGAGTTATATTATGGCAAAGCAGAGTAGAAATATAATAATAGACGTAATGATTGGTGAGAACAATGTTTGTTTTGTACATCAAGCTAGCCCATGAGCAGGACCAGCGTCGAAACATTTGAAAAGAGACATATGAATATTTATTCCGGTCTCGCCAATCTCTCGGGACAGGTCATTTGGTGAAGTGGCATCTGCATTGGAAAGAATAATCACACCTAAATTATGCTTTTCATTGATCAGCATCAAATGTAGCATGCCTGGCATCGAACCAGAGTGACCAATGTACCGACGACCATCCTGCATTGTTTGCCAATACCAACTAAGTCCAAACTCAGATGGATGTTCTTGATCTGAAGAATCATTGGCCGAATTCGGATTATAGGTTGGTATGAGACCACCACCTACAACAGTACGCATTTGAGCAATTGACCGCGGACGAAGAATAGAAGATCCATTGCTGAGAAACATGCGAAGATATATAGATAGGGTACGAGCCGACATCCGTAAGAGACCGGCTGGATATGCACTGAAGCTAAAATGTGGAATGTAAAGCCAATTGGAGAGATTACCCTAAGTAAAAACCAATTGAAGTAGATTTTTACTAATTATTCGAATGAACTTACCGGCATTTGTTCAATATTCAATTGTGGGATTTGTTGATTCCATCTTTTGAGATACGATTCATTCGGTGCATAGGCATAATGCTTTACCAAGTCTACTGTATCCTTGAAGTCGGACAAACGCACACCAACTTTGCTTATATCAATACCTAGTGGTTTTAAAATCTTCTCTTTGACATAAACACTGTAGGACATATTTGAAACTCGTTCAACAACCAGTGCAGCTAAAGCTGAGCCTTCGTTTGAGTATGATGCCACAGTACCCGGAGGTTTTGGTAACCAGTGTGATGTGTTTGGATTGATATATTTGAAGCACATATCAGCCAATGATTCCTTGAATGCATCGTCATCAGATTTATAATAAGTATTTAGTATCAATGAGTCGATATGAATAGAAGCCGAATGCGAAAGTAACTTGCGTAAAGTAATCGAATGTAAAGGATAGTGTGGATGAAATATACGTTTCTGAGGTTCCAACAAATATTCGTTAATATCTGTATCAAGATCAACGAGTTCTTGTTCCACAAGTTGCATGACAGCAGTAGCAATGAAAGTTTTCGATATCGAAGCAATAGGAAAAATGGACTTGTCGATGTCAATAGGTTTTAGTGGCAACAGAGATTGGAATCCAAAGGCTTGCTCATAAAGTATATGAGTAGCATTGACTACAAGAATTGTCGCACCAGGAACATGCACTTTTTCAAGAGACTTTTCTATCCATTGCCGATTCGGACAATCAGAACCATTGATTGTCACGCTGTTGAAAATAAAAGCAAGAAATACCCATAATAAAAACAACATCGTTGGAATACTTTCTGATAAAGAATAATATTTTTACTTGTGACAGCAGACTAGAATGGATTAAAATGAAAAGAATACATTTTACTTCGTCTTTTTACGATTAAAGGAAAAGAAAAATAGTTATATTTGATTAACATCGCATCTTTTCTTTTTCTTAAGCCCATTGCACTTTTGTTTCAAGATAACTAATTTATCAATATTTGACGAGAAAATGAGTAAAAACTTTCGATAAGCATACAGCTACAAATATTCTGACACCAAGCATACTTCAATTCATAGATGCTGATATGTTTATTGGTCTTTTCGTTGTTCTCAACGGTTTAAAAACTTTTGTTTTTGTTTCAGTGTTTGAGGAGATATATATATACACAACTTCTTGATTCACACTTGCGACCCACACCTTTTGTTTTGGTTATTCTAATAGTATTGATCCAATATCAGAAGCGTCTCGAAGTGTCTATAGTTGAGATATGGATGTCTAATCGTTACCGAATTCATCAAGCTCGGTATCGGACGAAAAATTATCGTAATCATGTCATTCAATTATTCCTGTTTCGATATAGCATAAGAAATTTTCAACGAACTAATCCAACTGCTCGATAATTAACTCTTGCAACTAGTATTGACGTAGATATCAAACTACGTATAGAGAACATTCATAGCTATTGAATGAGTTGACTACGAGTTGAAAGGAGAAAAAAAAACTTTATAAAGCACTACGTAGATCTAATAAGATGGGGATATTTGTTGGTTTTTTAAAGATTATATGAATGCGATTGCAATAACAGATTAACAATGGATATATAGAAGTATTTTAACAAAAAAATGTTAACTATCGTCATGTACTCTTCTGATATATAAAGTATTGTAGTCCACCTAATCAGGGTTCACTTTAATTAGTAGAACGAATTATATATTGTATTACATGTAATAATTGCCGACGGATTACGCTAAAAGTTTTTCTTCTTTTCTTGTGCAAAACTGGAAGCAACTTGTTCATAATATTTATTTGAAAGAAAGAAATTAATACATAGTTTTTTAAATGAAAAAAAGCTACTATTTGCAAACATTATTAACGTCGAAATAATCATACGTCCTATCGCAACTGGATTTGATCTGATATTCACCGATTTGCTGGTCGGAACCAATCCCACGGTGAAACATGAATAGGGGTGTACTTTTTTCGATGGAAGCTTTTCGGAGTAGAAACAGCAGTTCTCATCAACTTCGGAAGAATAACATAGCTAGAATCATGTTGCTTTTCCACCTTGTCAATGATCATCTTTGGATGAATATGTTTTTGTGTAACAACTTCGACAAGGTTCGATGATTGCCATCTCGATGGAGATATCACGCTTTTTTGAATTTCGTTCGATTTTCCAAGACCGAACGTAGTACGATCTGACAGAAAATACAACCACTCAGCAGTGTTCAGGATTAATTTCTGTGCATACATCTGCTGTATCCATTGCGTTGGAATGCGATTATAACCATAATAGGCACCTGCAAGTTGACCATAGATAGCTGCTATGTTTTTCATATTAGGATTAAGACTAATGGAATCAAGTAGGCCTTTTTGAAAAGAATTGCAATCAGTCCAGAATGTATACAAAACTGTTTCGAGCGTCTCAATGATATCATTTGTAGGACGAACACCATTTCTAGGATCGAATCTTTGTTTATAAGATCCAAGCACAACAGAACGTATGCTTGGATGAATATCTTTCCAATCAAACCAATCTCGATGATCATCATAAAATCGATGACTAAGTAATGCTTCTTTGGACTCGCCACGAATAGCAGCAGTCATCAGTGCCCCAAAATATCTGCATACATCAACTATTCTATCATCACCATGAGTAAGACGTGCCGATAATCCTGAAAGTTCAACGGCCACAGCTGGTGTTCGATAATATAGTAGCGGGATAGGAGCAAGGCGTACAAGAGCTGCACTTCCGTGAACACCTTGTCGGCTACAATTCAGATCAAATCCTGCTGATCGAACAATTTCGTCATTCGGTAAACTGTCGAGTTTATCCTCTGTAAGATATCCATAAAAAACGTTCAAATCAGTCTGGCGACGACAAAATTCATCGAGTGAATCACGCATGACATTGTCAATATCGAAGCAGTTCCCTGTCGGTGACAAGTATCCATATTTATACCACCATTTGTAACGAACTAATTGATCGTAGGGATTAAATGTACGTTGAGTTATGAGAGAAGACGCAAGACATATCGCCATTGATGTGCTCCCAGTCCATTGACCTAACTCAAGATTCCGTTTTCTTGTAGATCTATTGCCAAGTGGTGAATCATGTACATATTCAGTACTAGCCTCCACCATATCACCTACCACTAGACCAACAAGTGATCCTTTAATGCAATCAAGAATTGTTTGATTGATACGATTGAATTGTGGTGATTTGCATTCAATTTTTTCGGGTAGTATTTTGTCTGTTGGTAGTGGAAAATGAAACATAATAAAGTGGTAGCAAAGGCACAATAGATAAATGAAAAAGATTGATTCGCAGTAGCACAAGTAAGATGTATGAGAAAAGCAAGCAAATATAATATTTTTGTTGAGAATAATATTTCAATTAGCGATTGACTGTATTTCTTCACCGGTAGAGTAACTCGAGATGATATCGATATATAAATGAACAATCTAAAAGATTAATAAAGCACAAAACCTATAAGTTATTTGAATCAAAGATTTCACTATTGGTTGTTCAGAAAAAAAAATACATATATCTATACAAAAAAAAAGAAACGTTGACTGAAACGGTTGCTTGAACATTTGAAGCTGTGGTACCCAGGAGAATGATTCCGATAGTGGGATCCTATCGGATTCGTGTCGGAATCTTATCATATATAGTATGGATTTAATTAAACCGACGAAATCCTATCGGTATCCGGGTGTGGGACCAACAATCGGAACCCTAGTGTTGGAATCCGATAGGTTCCAGTGTCGGAATTTGACGGAATTTAACATAAGCATTCGACCCATGTGTTCTATTGACACCATATGCTTATTCATTGGTGATTAAGAAAATAGTTTTTTTTTCCGTCGGATCCGTTAATAGGTCCGTGGCCAGGAATTTGATCGGACTTTGTCGACTTGTTGGATCCCATAAGATTCGATAGGATTCACTGTCGGACTCATTCACCTGGGTAGCAATGATAAGTGATATGGAAAATTTTATTGCTATTGCCTAGACGAATTAGCAAACGGTATAAGAGTAACGTAACGTCGTTAGCAGTTTGGATAATGTCTGTTTGTAGCAATGAATATACGTAGAAAGTATGATGGCTCTTACAAAAAATATCTACAGAAAATGATTATGATCAATATAAATAACAATTATTATTTATAAACTTTGACTCAAGATAAAAAAATCATTCTGCGTTTCATTAGTTGGGCAAAAGAAATCTTACTTGATGATTATCTGTTTTCTACAACAAGATATATATATGAAAAAATATCGATCTAAATAAAATTAACAGTCAACTAATGATTGCTTAGTAAAACATTAGACAGAATCTCATAGTTGATGGTTTCAACCATAATTCAAGATCATAGTTTTAAAGAATAACTTCGATTTTATGCAACTGTATGGATTTGACGATGAAAATAGAAGGTTGAAACCATTTCCGTCCACTTCAAATCGCTCACGAAAAAATTATGTTAGTATTTTTAAATTTCTATCGTAAGACCAACAGAAATATTTCGCATAAACATATTCTCCATGTAATGGAAAGAAATCGACGATTCAAAACTCATACATTTTACTTTAGTAGAACAACAAACTTTGTTACTTATTGATGTTGCTTATTTAACTATTACTATAGATCGTTACGGTACAGTAGAAGAGAAGCGGTGGAAAAAGAAACAAAAAAATATCTATTCAAACAGAGAAGCCTACTAACCACTGCATCGTTTATAAACTAAAATGTAAAGATAATAAATCGAGCCCTAGCTTAATTGACTGTGTTGCAGGTAGGCAGAAAATGGTTTAGTTAAAAAACAACATTCTCGTGATTGATAACCAACTTTTAGTTGATTTAAATTTGTAGCTTAAAAGTTTTTATATATATTATACCGATTTAATACAGTCAGCAAAGGATTCCTTGACTCATTTTAAGCACAATCCTTTTTGTGTTGTATATTCTTATTTTTAATATGAATTGAGTTTCTTTTGCAAAAATCACTGCCGATCAATTGTGCATATGCTAAAACACAAGCTGTTCTTGAGGATGGATTCATTTTCAAAATCTTTGAATTCCACAAGATTTTATAAATAGATTATGCAGCTTATAGTTAGGCGATTTTTTTCTCATTTATCTGCAGATCAGCCATTTAGAGAAAATCTTAACAAATTTGAGGAACAGGAACGATCTATGTTCTCAAGAAAATATATTCTCATGCGTTCTACAGGATATTCAAAGTGTGACGGAAAAGCATCTAAGAATTTCTAGATAATAAACAATATCTTTGTTATTCCATCAGAGTATATGAAAAACTGTTTTGAAACTCTTGAAAGCAGTTTGACGTTAAATTCTGATTTTATCGTAAGATTGTATAAATTTTCATACATAGTTAGGCATTACAAGTCTAGCAATCCCTTATGATGCTCTTTCACTTTTTGTGATTTTGAGAAATCGGATGAGTACTGAGTAGATCAATATGTATATACTGTAAAAACTGCAATGCTAAGCCGCTTAATAAATTGTATTGCCGGGATCGAAGCAGCTTGCAAATATCAATATGGTCGAGTGGCCTAATACTAGTCATAGGCACGGCAATAGATCCCATGAGCATTACATAGTGAGGGATTTTTCTTCATGATGAAGAATTTCAACATACTCATGATATTCATTAGAGCATCTCAGCACTTTCAATAGACCACCTTAGTAAAATCAATGAAATTACCTATTTTTAAAAATGAATCATAAATGCAGTTCGATTCTTGATTAATTTTTCACACAGAAATCCTTGTGACTACATCAATGCAACGAAAGAGGGCACTGATTCTTTGATCATCAAGAAATGTTTGAACGACAATTACTATGTCTTTAAAAGCATTCGTTGCCACTAGTCGTTCTACAACTGAAGCCTTGAACACTATAATTGCATTAGATCTACTTTTTCTATAATCATTTATTTATAATGTATGTAATGGTAGTGATAATCAAGCTTTTATATGACTAAAAAGTCGGCGCCTTTTAGAATTGGTGCCCTTGTATGCTACTGACTTTCGTTACTATTTGCTCAGTAGCGTCCTCTTCTATGTGTGGTCTCTTTCATTATGCCTTTTTTTGTGACTTAATCATATTTGTATTTCATTTATATCTTATTACGCTCTGCATGAACAGATATATATGATATTCTTTAGGCTTTCTCGTTCGTTCTGTGCAGGTTTTGTGTTCTCTTTAGTGAGTTTTTATGGCTCTGTATATAAAGTTTTCTTTCTGACTAGCAACTCAATAGCTTTTTACTATCTATCATATTTCAAGCCACATTTAGATTAGTTTATGGTACATGAAGAGCAATATAAATGCATTTTGGCTGTCTCCGTATAGAAAAAGACAGTCACAAGGAAATAAGAGTAAAGAGGTATCATTTTATTGCAATGATATCAGATTTATTTCTAGTAAAATTAACAGAGTATTAGTTAATTCTTATCACAACAGAAACTACTAATAATGTTATCATTTAATAACACGCCATCAGTCTTTGCTCTCACACTCTGAAACGCTTATATCAATATAGATCGGACTGGGCAAGAATGTCGCCGAAAATCAAATAGGGTCTATACCAGCAACGACATTAAGAATTGTTAATCTTCACCCACACCATAACTTCGAGCATTGGTGTGCAGATATATGCGAAAGTGGCAATACATATCATCCCGGAGCGGTTTTGAAGGGTATGTTGTCGGTGAATAAAACCGCTCCGGGATGATACGATTTCTGTTAATTCTCATGAATATACTTATAGATAGACAATATCGTATCCATGCGTACACTCTTATGTGAGTGCGCATCCCCACACCCAGCACGGACGCAACCGTACACCCACACCTTCGCTAAGCACTCTTGACAGCGCAATGATCATTTCGTCCTACAGCAACATTACAGTTGTATGCATTGATGTATGTTTTAAAAGAAACAATAGAATTTTGTTACTTATGTTTTCACGTAGATGCAGTTACGAACCTTCTAGTGACTCCAGCATTTTTCTTATTTACATTGGCGTCGAAAAATTCTGCATGAGAAAGTCTCTTTGAAATAATGTGAAAGTGTATTGACTGTTTCAAGTAGAAGTGAATGTTTTGTTTGCCACTGTTACTTTTTTTTTGGTTTTTCTTTGGATGAAATTCAGTCAATAACAAGAGTGTTCTGCATTATTTTTTGCTATTTATACAAAAGTCTATATGTGATTAATGAATATGAGAAGAGAAAAACTATAGTTAACTTATTTTTTAAAGGAGTTATCTTAGTTTTTGATAGAAATCTTAAAAGTCGATATGGTAAGTTTTGAAAATACAAGCAAACAGAATACAAAAAGAAAGTGCATGTTAATAGTTTAAGTATGGTAGAATCAATAGTTTATAGTTGTTCATCGTATGTTGACGATTTGACTGCTTTAAGCAGGTTGAACACCGCCACTGAAGATAAAAGTTTCTAAATACCAATAGAGATCATGTAGATATTGAATTCTCTTTTTTTTTATTTCGAATAGAGATCAATCTTGGTTTTTACAAAATTTCGCACGTTTGGTATTTCAATTCGTCATAAGAACCTACCAAAAAGCTTTGAATGAAACAAAAAGTTTTGAAGTATGAAGTCAGCAATTGATATTTTGCATCCGTCAAAAAGGTAAATGAATTTAGTAAACCAACGATAAGAAGAATCTCATATAGCGTCTTTACTCTTTTTTGATTTGTAAGCAGAAAAGGTAATTTTTGTTCTTATCAAGCATGTGGCGCGACACTTTATCATATTCACTTTTCAAGCAGTTTCCTTCGAGTAACCGAAACTTTTATTCAGGGTAAAATTACACCCAGCAAGAAACATATAACGAATAGACTCGCCACTTCAATAACGCATTTACAATCATAAAGCTGTTTTTCGAAACTCTTTAAGTATGAATTACCTGTCATTGATGCAACTTGAGTACCAAATGGTGTATCATCCGAAGATGGTCGGCAGTGCTCATGAGCTACGTCTAGAGTAAAGGCTTAGCATATAAAGACTATTGACCGAATCTTACTTGTTGTCATATTGGCTATAATTTGATTTCTAGTAAGTGCCAAACCATGAATATGATGAATTATCTGATGTGGACCATTTCGATCATCTGAAATAAGACTTTAACCGGACTATTTGCGCTTTCATGAATCGGCTTTATGTGCAAGTCAAGCGCAGAACCAAGTTCAACAATTCGCTTGTGACCCATCTCGTTCATTTTATTTGGTA